TTGGAACTTTGGGAATACTTCTCGAAGCTAGTCACCAATGAGCACCAGTTCAATTGAATTTTTGAGGGAGTTGTGGACCGGTGGAGTCAAAGCCTGATGGTCGTGAGGACAGTTACTCAATTATGGTATTACATGGCGATTGCGCTATATCGTGAGCTAACAGAAGTGGGGAATATGGAGCATTGGGTTCTGACCCAGTGGCTAAATGGCAACGCGCTGGCCGCGGTTGCGACCCCTGGCGGGGTAGTATGGTTAGTTTGCAGAATAAACCAATAGTCAACAACCAACTGTAAGGTTAGAGAAGAAGAAAATTTGAAAAGTCAACCGAGTAGAGTAAAAACAGAAAATATCATAAGGGAATTGTTCAATATACTTAGGCTTTTATAGTTTACATTATTTATGCACAAAATGAAGTTTGAGGGGTTTATGGGGATTTAGAGACATTTCAAGTTGGTATTTTTATCGTAGACTGACATCAGTTGGAGAAACTATGGAAATCTGGGAGCACTGGACAGCTGTTTCGTCACGGTGACTAGCTTCGAGAGGTGATTCCCCAAGTTTCAGTGATAAGTCGTGACTAGTGGGGCAAACCTGGTAGCCGTGAGGATAAATGCTCAACGATGACATTACGTGGCGGTCGCGCTATGTCGTGAACTGACAGAAGTCGAAAATATGGATCATTGGATTCTGACCCAGTGGCTAGCTCAATTGTAACGTGCTGGTCACGGAACCTGAAGGTCAAGGGGTTCGATCCCTGGCGGGGTCGTGGGCGCGCACTGCTGAAGAGTCCCATACTAGGACGAAACAGCTGTCCAGTGCTCCCAGGTTTCATTTGTTCCTCTAGCTGATGTCAGTCTTTGATGAATAACAACTTGAATTATACATATATAACACATAGGGGGAAAGAATAAATTCAATAGAAATCTCTTGAATTGTTTCAATTTCAAACGGGTAAAATTCAAATAATTTTTTAACTTAGTGATAAACAGCATGAATAAAAACTGGAAAGTTTTTCTTTGTGAAAAGAACATCAAAATTAGTTGGTGACATTGTAGTATCCATAGATCATACTGTAGATTCACAGGAAAGTACTTTACAAAAAATTGGACCATATACGTCTAGTAAAAGTTATTGTATTGTAAAGATACGCATAATCATAGAACAGATTATAGAGTGGCAGTCAACTCTCTACCTCAACTTTATCGACTTTGAAGAGGCCTTCGACAGCGTCGACACAGAAATAGTTTGGCAGTTACTTCAACACTACGGAGTACCACAAACCTTTATCAACCTCATTCAGCAGCTATATGACGACGCCACATGCCAAGTAATTCACAACGGGGAGCTCAGTGATGCCTATGAATTGAAGATAATAGTAAGACAAGACTGCCACCTACTATCAACGATAATCTTCTTGATTGAGGTCGAATGGATCATGCAACAAACCGTAAGAAGCGAGAAGATGGGCACACCCTGGACCGATGAAAAGATCCTAGAAGATATGGATTTCGCCCATGATGACTTGTGTTTAATGTCACACAAACTCGAAGATATACAGGCAAAAACTAAAAGAAGAGGCAGCGAAAATGGGACTTCAAGTGAATTTAGAGAAGAAGGAGGTGATGAAGATACCCAACCAACAACAGCATCAACAACAAGAGGCACCAATCACCATCAATGGGAGAACCTATAGGAAGCAGCCTCTTTCACCTACCCACCAAGGTAGCATCGTTTCAAATACAGGAGACGCCACAGGCACAGACGACGACATCAAAACCAGTCAGGATCAAGAAGACTGCAAGAAAAACTTTCACTAATCTGAAATCAGTGTGGAGATCTACTGCACTCCACTCAGCACAATAAACAAGATCCGGATTTTCAACACCAACGTCAAGTCAGTGATTCTATGTGATTGATGGTTGACAGACTTGGTGTGTCACGAAGAGCACCTCCAACAAACTACAGACATTCATCAACAACTGACACATACACTCACTCCATACTGAACATCAGATGGAGATCAGATGAACAGAACAACAAGAATGAGCAACAGGCAACTCACTGTGGCAATGAACCACCGAACTAAGAAGCTATCATCCAACAAATATGCATAAGAAGGAAGTGTAGATGTATTGAGCATAGAGTGAGAAGGCCTATTGGAGACATCACGTGCGAAAGCATGTTGTCGAGTGGAAGACAAAGGGGAAGTGTGGTGTTGTGCATCCGATGTGAGGGTGACATGGAGGATATCGTGAGAGGAAGGAATGAGAGTTTGTGGGTTGTCGTGGAACTAGTTTCAAACGTTTGGAGAGAAGAGAGTGAACTGGAGGTGTGCTACTGAAGCCTTGTGTTACACTAGGAACTCAGGGGAAAAAACAGTAGTCATACTAAATGGAAGTTATTGTTGTTAACATGAATTTCTACTTGAGGCTATGGTACATTGGATATATCGAGACGGCGAATGCAAATATTGAGTGGATCTGCTGAAAGCGTCTTCTATTGAGAAGTATAAAGCCAGTCTACTCTCTATAGTGTAAAGTGGCGTAGTTCAGTTGATTTCTAAAAAAAATGACTGAAGTTCTCTTGAAAACTTCTTTCTACATCTATGACCCAATAAAATTTTATCCGGTCCATTTTTTCGTTGAAGTGTGGTCTGACAAATCATGCAATCCATAGTAATTAACACCTGCTGAATGTAGTCTACCGTAATACATCTGACATACATCATAAGATTTGAATTCCTATCCTACCTACAGTAGTGTTCACAAACAATTGAAAAGAGGTTCTCTGTAAGAATAAATATCTCCGACTTTGAATCTTTTCCTTGTTCAATCCAAAGTATTTGAAACAAACTATCTGACTAAATATTCCACCAATTTATATCCTTTGTACTTCATGATATTCTACAAATGGTGTTCTCATTGCGTTATTTAACTTCATTAAGGGGACTTAGTGTATGAAACGTTTATTTTACGTTAGAAAATGTTTACTTGGGTCATAATGTTAAATAATCTAATTTCTAAGCTTTACTCATATATATATATATATATATATATATATATATATATATATATATATATATATATATACTTCTCATAATCAGTGGAAAATTTAGTGATAAGTAGCGTTATAACTGAACACATCATGAACACCAATCACACTTTTTCAAGGACTTCCTCGTTCAAAGTCATCTATAAAGTGAAAAGAAACCTCCTAAAGGCTGTATGTTTTCGTATTCTCTGCTTCACCGGAGCTCTTGCTATCCATATAGAGAAACCTGAACTGTGTACTCAAAAGAAGATTGTTCAACCCCTTCTTCCTTCATGGTTTTAGTTATCAGTGTCCTCTACTCCCTCTTTTTTTTCTATTCCTATGTTTTGACACTATTCACTTCTTAAGTAATTTTGCCACTCATTCTTGATGCTTTGCTCTGTCTGATCACAAATCAGTTTCTAGTTGTGTCGTCATGTTACGAAACTTCTTGTCCAAACTTATTTTGATTTCTATTCTCTAATAATAAGTTTTTGGTTTTTTTAATTTTAATGACAGCTCATTGATTGACACTATTTGTGTTGTCATGCTTGATAAACTGTTCTTAACTATCAAATCCTTATGATGGGTTGCTGAATTACCCAGGATGTACATTTCGTCCTATTCGGGACTTGTCAGACGGATGTACCTGTACCCCATTGAGTGATCTCGGTCCTACTGGGACTTGAACCTCGTACTCATCGCTTCAAACACCAAGGCGTTATTCACTGTGCCACAGACCGAACAATTTGATCCAATAAAACAACGGAGAATTACAAGTATATCGATAAATAGTAATATCAAATCCTTACACCAAAAAAGAATGTATAAATTTACTACTAAACAGCTTTGAGAATGAAATCGCTGAGAAGAAACTTCTCGCTGAAATGCTTATTCTTCTTAAATTATAGGTTCTGTAAACAACAAAAAGTAACAAACAATGAATATCATACAGTTTTTAATTCCCTTCATCTTAGATCCAACAACTTTTGGATAAAACTGTCTATGAAGTCAACCATGTTAGTTCAAAACCAAAGACCAGCTCTGATTGTTTGAAGAGGGATTAGTGAACGAAAGGTAATTATACTTGATGAGTGGTAGAATGAAATTATTATCAGGATACAATTTAGCTGTTCATATAAGCTGTAAAAAGGTTGTCGATGTTTTAATTACGTTTACTAATGTTACTTTTATTTTCATTGGTCGGTTGGGAAATAACAAAGATTTAGGCTCAGAATCTGGAGGAGAAAGCTTAAGAAAACAGATCAGTGAAATCAACCGAGAACCTCGCATATAAGTACATCGATTCCAAATACCACATTTCACGGCAGTATCTGAAAAAGATTGGTTGCAAAAATACTGATATCATGATAGATGAAATAATATTGGAGGAAAAGAAATTTTAAAATGAAAATCATTGAGCTTTACAAGAAATCATAGAGTGAATGCATCTGCTCCATTGTCACCGACTTTCAACCAGATCATCAAGAGTCTGAAATCATCGATTTATATGGTCTCAGGGATCCTAGTCAGACAGTATACACCCCCACATATAGCTCAGACTGACAGTTGGAGGCTTCATGAACTGGTGACTCATCTTGGTTAGGCCACGTGCAAGCGTTTTCTGATAATGAAACTTTAAGCATTGCACATCAGAGTAGGTAGTGGTTTGGCATGCATAAACCATGTTAAAACCACCTCAGCTGCTGCAGATTCACAACCTCATCGCCTAACTGACTTTCCAAATAATGAGTCAGTATTAGTGAATGTGTATTTTGGTAACGTTTTTATTGGGAACTACCTTTAAATATGAAATTTCATTGCATTATGGCTTTTACATGAAGTGTCACGGAGGTGAGGTTAGTGTTATCTAATGGGGTGTGCAGTAATAATGAAGTTGTTAGCACTTTCAACAAGGCATACACTGGAAACCTCAACAGGACTTATATCCCCTAGTTGATTCAAACCTGCATCACTCAGTGGATAACTTTAAAAGTAAACAGGAAGCTGAAATGAGGAACTATTTATTGAGTTAGTGACAGTTTACCTGGACGTGAATGTAGATTTTTTCTGTCACAGTGAGTAGATCATTTACAATTAGCAAAATCACTTCAATAAGGATATGCAAAGATGAAGCGGTCATGCTAAGCACAACTGTGAGTTTTTTTTTATCATCTAAAATCAGACTTATATACTCAAATTAGTCAGGAAAACCAGTTCGATTATTACCCATTCCTTCTTTAGTTGAACTTGATTTTCCACCTAGTTGATTTGGACTGACACTTTGTTCTCCGCTCTGAGTTTGTGAAGTCATTACACCACTTATCGGCAGTAGTTCACGTTTTTTCTCTCGTGTACGCTTACCAAGCATACAATGCATATTTTCAACATGTCGAATCGGTAGTTTATCCCCTGCACAGGCTTCTGGTATATCTCCAGTTTCAAGGATATCTTCAAGTGTCAAATTCATTGCTAACAATTCACCATGTACAATTGGACTAGACAAATGTTCATGCAAAAATAAGTTACATGAAAATTTTATCAAACAAGAAACACGATTATCAGATAATTAGAAGTCTAAAATGAGTACAATTCTTTAAATAATAAGAGCATGTTCTTCGATCCATTTTAAGTATGCACAAGTATAGTATAATTGCTTATATTATACCATCACTGACTGGACTGAATTGATCGGTCTCTACTGGCATATAGCCTCCTGTGCGAATGCCTCGATATTGCCTATGTTTTAATTATACATAGTAATGATGAAGAGTGGTAAGCAGCGGGATCCAGGATACTCATCTCGTCTTATTTGGGACGCATCAGCTGGACGTACCTGCTTCCCGGTCAGTGATATTGTTCCCACCGGGATTCGCATCCTAAATTCCACTAGTAGCCATTATCCATCATTACTATGTATATGCACAGGTATGCATAAACACCTTGTTGGAGAAACTAACTTTCGAAATAAATAGTGTTAACTGATGCGTTGTCTTATTCAGAACACGCTGAATAATATTAATTTTAGTGTAAGATCAACACTAAGTTACGAATCCTATCACTAAAACACTTGTAGTTTCTATGCTAACCACTGACGTTACCTATGCTTTAATGCTAATTGGCTGGTACTTGGTAGCACAGGTTACTAATAATTTTGTAGAGTAGTACATGAGATTAGAAGATTCTGACCGGATAAAGAGATTTTAAAATCTACCAATCTTTCGAGCGAAGTAGACACATACAAACACATACTTTGTTGTTCTTAAATGTTACGTAACCTTGTTGAATAAGTAACTGTCAATGAAATATTTGGGTTTCAAAGCAACCTCATCATTGGTACAAATGACTTGTTTCAGATTAATCAACATGTGTGTTTTCGATCACCGGTGAAACATACATCTACTAATCAGAAGATAATCACACTATGCATCACTTTGCTCTGTTTAACTTCATGACTATAAGTTGCTTGTAGATAGTGGATATCATGAATAACCAGATTTTCAACCATAAGTGTTCTTGGAACCCTATTCATTTGTCGTGAGGCAACAAAGTGAGTAGTTTTCAGGATTAAGCATAGATAGAAGGGTAAGTCAGTCGGTGATCTGGCAACTAAACGTTAAGAAAAGTAACACCAGAAAATATACATATGAGTCCAACATCTATCCACTTCAGTTGTTGCTTTGTAGTGATTTACCGATTTGAGTGTAACTTTCATTAGGGACTGGTGCAAGTTGATGAATCATTGGAAAACATAGGAGCATTCAATGAACAGCTGTTTTATTTCAGTGTGGGACTCTTCGAAAGTGATCCACTGAATTCGAACTTGGTGACTGGATTGAAATGAGATGAATAAGAAATGTGATGTCTCTGAGCTGGATCCTTCATGCAGAAACAAAAAGAAGTAGTGTGGTGTCATTGATTATTATTGCTTGTCGCTTGGGTTCCTGGTGGAACATACAGCTTCACTGGCATGCCTCCGTTCCACTCTTTTCAACTTCCCTCCACGACTCCCCACAAACTCTCATTCCTTCCTCTCACGATATCCTCCATGTCACCCTCACATCGGATGCCCAACTCCTCATTTCCCCTTTGCCTCCCACTCGACAACATGCTTTCACACGTGATGTCACCAATAAGCCTTCTCACTCTATGCCCAATACATCTACACTTCCTTCTTATGCATATTTGTTGGATGATAGCTTCTTAGTTCGGTGGTTCATTGCCACAGTGAGTTGCCTGTTGCTCATTCTTGTTGTTCTGTTCATCTGATCTCCATCTGATGTTCAGTATGGAGTGAGTGTAGGTGCCAGTTGTTGATGAATGTCTGTAGTTTGTTGGAAATGCTTTTCACAACGCACCAGGTCTCTGAACTACATAGAAGTACTGATACTCATCCTTTTTCATCTCCTACTCGTTTTAGTCACTTTATTGTTCTTTCTCGCACCCTTTGTTTCTGTGCTATTCCAGTGATTCATTGACTTGAAATCAAGGCATCTTTTGCGAAGTTCTGCGTAAGTCTATCTTAAACTGTTGTCGAAGATATTGATCTGAAATTAAATCAGTCCTACCCCAAGCTAACTATTCACCTATGTTGTATTCAGTGACTTTTTTATTTCATATGTATGAAATAAGTTTTGTCATTCTTATTCGCTGGTAAATATTTTCTGCATCAGTAGACCGTTTTTAGAATTATGTTTAGTCTTATGATATCAGTTCCGTTGGAGCTAAACTTTGATATGTGGCTTTTATAAAGGCGCATATTTTGACTACACTTGTAAATCAATTCAAATGGCTGATCAGTAAGTAAGTCATCGAAACATTCTCATTTTCAGTCTTCACAATAATTTATACCTTTGAAATGCCTAAAAGTAGCGGAAAAATAAAACATCTTGAGATTGGATTAAAGTAATGTAAAATTTTATGAGTCAGAAGCAGATGCTATAATTTACTAAGCTAAAATGAACATGCATTTTGACTTTTAGAAAATAATTAAAGCTATATAGTCTTATTTACTGGTAAATAAGACTTAGGTTATGAATTACTGTACTGCACATTGGTTTGTACTTGTGGTGTTGCTTCAGATACTGAAATTTACAGAGTAACGGTAGTTTTATTCACAGAATAAAGTCTGTTACACAATCCACTGGAAACTGATCAGTACAGTAGTGTACACCTAAAACACCCATATTTGTCTATTTTGGTACTGATTAGCTACTCGTAGACAAACCAAGAAAATTAATCGAAAATTTCAATTTACCCACTATTTGTTCAAGATGTCTTCATAAATGTTTTGGTAGAATATTTTAAAATATCTGAATTTGAAGTTAGATAAGATCTTGCACCATATTTGTGGTACGTTTAAGTAAGGGAGATGGAAAAGTGTAACTTAATAGTATTACATTTTTTAGTCTTGAAAAACCTCATTTCCCTTCTCCATGTCACCTTTTTACATATGTAACAAGAATTCTTATGAGCACTAGTTTTTTTCATTAATTAGTTATACACGCTTGGGGATAATAAACTAATGATTGATTGACCGAACTCTTTGTAATGTCATAATAAATTATTCGTTATTCCATAAACGTTGTCAATTCTTCCCTGTTCATCATATAACGACAGAATGCTGACAAATAACCTTTGAAGGGATTATTGTTTTGTGCTTTCAGATTAATAAAACTATAAGCATGCAAGCAAACAGATTTGCACCGATAGAAAAATAGAGCATATTATCATTATTATTATTGTTATTATTATTATTATCATTATTATTATTAGTCCCTTGGGTTCCTAGTGGAACACAAAGCTTCAGCAGCATGTCTACATTTCACTCTGTTCTCTGAAATCCTTTGAACCTGGCTCCACGACAGCCCACAACCTCTCATTTCCTCCTTGCACGATCTCCTCCATGTCACCCTCACCTCGGACAACCAACTCGTCACTTCCCATGTGGATTCCACTTGGGGGGCTGACGCGTGATGTCCTCAGTCGGCCTTCTTAGTGCATGCTTAATCCATCTCCACTTCCTTCTGCATAATTGTTGCGTGATAGGTTCTTGGTTGTTTCGTTCCTAGAGCTCCTTGTTGCTTATTCCTTCTGGCCATCTGATCTTCAGTAGCAAGCCAGCGTAAGCAGTTGTTGATGAATGTCTGTAGTTTGTTGGAAATCCCTTTCGTAACGCGCTAAGTCTCTCAACCAAATAGAAGCACTAACTTGACGTTGGTGTTGAAAATCCGGATCTTGTTCCACATGCTGAGTGCAGATCTCCACGCTGGTTTCAGGCTAATGAACACCTGTCTTGCTTTTCCGGTTCTGACTTTGACATCCTCGTCTGACCGCCTGTAGTTGAAACAGTGCTTCCTAGATAGGTGAAGGAGGTTACTTCCTTTAAGTTTCTCCCGTTGATGGTAACTGCAGTTTCTTGTTGTTGGTGGTGGGGTATCTTCATCACCTTTGTCTTCTCTATATTCACTTGAAGTCCTGTCTTCGCTGCCTCGCCTCTTCTGACAACTTGTTAGTTTTCGCCTGTAGATCTTCAAGTTTGTGTGACATCAGGCACAAGTCATCACTGGCAAAATCCAAGTCTTCTAGGTTCTTTTCCGCAGTCCAGCGTATCCCTCTCTTCTCACAGTTCCCCACTGTTTGTTGCATGATCCGGTCGACACAGTCAGGAATATCATGGGGGATAGTAGGCAACCTTGTTTCACTCCTGTCTTCACTTCAAAAGTATCACTGAGCTTCCCATGTTGAATTACTTGGCATGTGGGGTCTTCATATAGTTGTTGAATGAGGCGGATAAAGGTTTGCGGTACTCCGTAGTATTGAAGCAGTTTCCAAATTACTTCTCGGTCGACGCTGTCAAAGGCCTTCTCATAGTCGATGAAGTTGAGGTAGAGAGCTGATTGCCATTCTATGCTCTATTCTATGATGATGCGAAGCGTTGCAATTTGGTCTGCACATGATTTGTACTTCCTGAATCCAGCCAGCCAGCCAGCCAGCCAGCCTGTTCCGGTCGTAGTTTTGAATCCAGTGCATCTTTAAGCCTCTCCAGGATGATGCGGCTTAATATTTTACTTGCTTTGGGTGGACAGGAGAGTGATTCCTCGCCAGTTCTTGCAAACACTGAGTTCCCCTTCTTCGGAGTTCGACAAGGTAACCCTTCTTCCAATCAATGGCCAGGTACCTTCTCTTCCTTCCACAACTTCTGCAATAGTGGTGTGGTGTGAGCATATCCGCTGTTGTCTCTGTATCTGTTCTCAGCGCTTCTGATGGGATTCCATCTGGTCCTGCTGCTTTACCACATTTCAGTAGCTTTATGGCGTTCAGGACTTCCATTTTTGTTGGAGGGTTTATGTTCACTTGCAGTTCTGCGGTCGGGCTGCAGGTGGTATTTCTGGACGAAATGCAGGTGGTGGTGGTCGATTCAAGAGCTTCTTGAAGTGGTCAGCCTATTGTTTCCTTTGTTTCTCTTCTTTCGTAATTAAATTTCTGTCATCATCTTTTATTGGTTTCGTCTGCGTTAATCTCTTCACTACCAGATAGTAACTTAGTAATTTGATACAATGTCGTCAGGTCTCTCCTACCAGCCTGCAGCCTGTTCTGCTTCACTTGCCAGTGTTTCGTAGAAGTGTCTCTTGTCTTTGCGCGCACTCTGCTTTACTTCTTTGTCCAGTGTTTTATACATTGTACTCAGTTCCTCTTGTCGTTGAGCATCCTTGCACTGGTTCATCTTCTGCTTCACCATCCTCCTCTAAACTATCAGCTTCCATGTATCCGTCGAGATCCATTCCTTATCTTCTTTCTTCTTCCTTCCTAATACGGTTATGCAGGTTTCTTTCCAAATCTCTTTCAAAGACTCCCAGTGTTCTTCCACACAGATTTATTCAGGGATGTTCCTCGATATCTCTCATTTTGTCTTGATGGCTGCTGTGAAGATCTCCTTTGTAGCTTCATCCTTCAGTTTCCGAGTGTTGTACTTGAACTACGGTCTATCACCAGCTTCCTTGAAGGCTTTTAACTTGATTTGGAAGGTTCCTTGCACTAGATAGTGATCTGAACCTACATCTGCTCCTCTTCTTGACCTTGTATCAAGTAGGTTGACTGCGTCTCCACTTTCTTCATATTGACATGAAGTCGATCTGATTTTTAGTGTAGTGTGTCCTTCTGGCGAAATCGAATCCATGTCCCTTTGTGGATATGCTTATGCTTGAATACACTGTCTCCAATCACCAAATCGTTGAATGCACAGAATTCTGCAAACAATTCTCCATTCTCGTTCATCACCTCACCGAACGCTTCTCGACCCATGCTTAGTTCTCTTCGTGTGTTGTCTCCTCCCAGTTTGGCATTTATATCGCTCATTAGAATTTCGATGTCGCCAACTGACGTCTTGTCCAGTGTTGATTGAAGCTGTCTATAAAATTCCTCCTTTTTTTCTTGATCTGCATTATTTGTAGGTGCATAGTATTGGCATTGTATGATTGTGACTTTCCTTCCATTTGAGTTGAACCTTGCTGTCATGATCCTGAAGGAGACTGGTTCCCACTTCATGCATGAGAGGCTTCGATGCTTTTAAAGAAATCATGATAGCCGCTCCGAAGCTCAGTGTGCTCGTGGTTGTCGTCTGGGTGACCGTAGTAGATTATTGATTCTCCAGTTGACAGTTTGGAGAGTCCACTTCCATTCCATCTGCTTTCGCAAATGCCAAGCACCTCAGTGTGATACCTTCTCATCTCTTTTGCAATCTGGGCTGCCTTGCTGGGTTCAAACATCGTACGGACATTCCATATCCCCACGTTTACTTTTGCCTTCATCGAGAGAAGACACATCGGCCAACTGGCTTCCTGAGGGTTTTCACCAACTGGCGTCATTTCGCCCCTCCGATTCCAGCGAGGAATAATTTTGTTTTTATTTTTTATATTTTGTTTGTTCTGTGAAGTTTCTTTAGCGGTTAGATTTGTTTTAGGGGGTAGGGTTGCTAGCCCTACTCCCAACCTTCCGTCTTTACCCGGGCTTAGGACCGGCTAGTAACTAGTGAACTAGTTAACCAAGTGACGAAGATACCCAACCAACAACAGCATCAACAACAAGAGGCACCAATCACCATCAATGGGAGGAACTTATAGGAAGCAGCCTCTTTCACCTACCCACCAAGGTAGCATCGTTTCAAATACAGGAGACGCCACAGGCACAGACGACGACATCAAAACCAGTCAGGATCAAGAAACTGCAAGAAAAACTTTCACTAATCTGAAATCAGTGTGGAGATCTACTGCACTCCACTCAGCACAATAATCAAGATCCGGATTTTCAACACCAACGTCAAGTCAGTGATTCTATGTGATTGATGGTTGACAGACTTGGTGTGTCACGAAGAGCACCTCCAACAAACTACAGACATTCATCAACAACTGACACATACACTCACTCCATACTGAACATCAGATGGAGATCAGATGAACAGAACAACAAGAATGAGCAACAGGCAACTCACTGTGGCAATGAACCACCGAACTAAGAAGCTATCATCCAACAAATATGCATAAGAAGGAAGTGTAGATGTATTGGGCATAGAGTGAGAAGGCTTATTGGTGACATCACGTGTGAAAGCATGTTGTCGAGTGGGAGGCAAAGGGGAAGTGTGGTGTTGTGCATCCGATGTGAGGGTGACATGGAGGATATCGTGAGAGGAAGGAATGAGAGTTTGTGGGGAGTCGTGGAGGGAAGTTTAAAAGAGTGGAGAGAAGAGAGTGAACTGGAGGTGTGCTACTGAATCTTTATGTCCCTCTAGGAACCTTAGAGACAAAATATAATAATAATCTGAGTAAATATAATAGCAGTTAGCATGTTGCTTCCTTTCTATCCATGACTCACGCCTGAGCAACAATGACGCATTGAACATGTTATCTGAAGGCTACAACGTGCGCTTGTTGCGGATACAAAGGATATCATAAGTTGTTTGAATAACTACCCATATATGTGCGAGTAAAATGAGTTCGAATCTCGAAGGTATTTGTTTTGAAGATTATAAACTCGGATCGCTAGTTGGTATGAACATCAAAAAAATGTCGACATTTTTATCTGCAGATTAATTCTAACCGTCCAACAACAAAACACTAGCCATTTACATACGGAAGCTGTGTTATTAACTATAGATACTGATTAAGTGTCCAGGTTAGTCTTCAGACACAAATATACCTACAGACGTCCGCCACTAGCCATATTTTCCCAGATGATGGAAGCAACAGAATTGATAAAAGCGATGCGTGTGATAATATCGCCATGATATAGATCCTCTATCCAAACACCAACATGAAAGTTGGAAATTACTGTGTCAAGTGGTGTTCATTATTGTAGTTTACTTTCTGTATTTCCATCTAACTTTAGCATAGACTTTCTTTTTAGGACTTCCCTCTTCTCGCAGACCGTAAACCGGAAAACTTCTATTTCCTTATTTGGCTTGGACCAGTAGTCAGAGACTTTATGGTTTGATGCTATATTTCATTCTACCCATATAAAACCTTTTTGTAGACTAAAATCACTTCATCTTACACTGTGCGAAAGAGTGGATGGTGATTATGCATGTATAAAGCATGTTCCAGCCATTTGAGTCGATGGATGTTTACATTCAACCAACTAACATTCCTTTTCTACTTAATACTGTACACCTGGTTTCTACATCACTTACATGGTATCGGCACGACAAGAATATACTACGAAGGCAGTGGGGTTAGAACGCCTAAAGCCTTCTCATATCTTCTGCCTTAACCGTTCATATTTAAAAGTCATGAAGTATAAGAAAGCGAATAGTAGCGTAGTATGTCTTGTCCATAATGTACCAACGCGATAGATCATAGAACTAGATATAAGCCAACCGAGTCTGACAGTGACGTATCAGGACTTACCAAGAAGGTAAAGTGTAGGCTCAGTGTCCTCAGCCACTTCACCAACACAGATGAGTCCTGGAATAATAATTCGTGTACGAGGAGTGAGAAGTGCATCCAGACACTTTCAAATCCTCCATCTACGTGTCAACAGGACTCTTCCTCTCGTCACTGCCTTCCCCAATAGAAATATGTCATATGTATTCTCTAGGTCTACTAAAGAGTCTTCTATGACAAGGTTGGTTCCTGTAAATTTAGTCAAGGAGAGGAGATTCTTTAGCTCACTTAGAGTACACAAACGTCTTACTTCTTCTAAATTAGGATGTCAACAAGAGGCAGAGGATTATGAACACTCCAAGCAGCAATTTGAAAATGCTTTGATTTATTTCTTAATCCCATGAGTGCTAACTGTTTCTTTAGGATTACTCTGCATTGATGTACCATTAGGAAGAGAGCAATTCAAGGAGCAGACTATACCACTCCCACTGTTAGTTGACGAACCCTTGAATGTGAAAGGCTCGATTGACATTTGCCATATTATGTGTGCTGTGTGTGATGAATACATGGTACCCAAAAAGCTTGTTAAACTCAATGTAAGCGTCAAAAGTGGAACACTAGAAAAGAGAGGCAAGTCAGTTGATGACGTTAGAAAATTTCACTGACTGAGCTGGCTGAGATGCGTTGCGGGTGCCAAGCTGCCACCACATGTAACATGTGGTATATTTTAAGTAAGGTCAAACTAGATAAGACGTATTAGCGGTTACATCAGGATATATCGGGAACTATGAAGTCTCTAGCCGTTGACGTTAACCAAATAAAAAATGTTAGGCTCTCTGGTTGGAATTCGTCAAGCAACCGAAATAGGTGGTTGAAGACGGCACTTTAAGATCGATCTTGGTGGAGCATGTACACCCATGTATTCATTTTATCTTCATCTAGAAAGTGATTTTATGATTGTTTATAATTCTCTTTACCCTACGATATTTTACAACTATTAATACTGTTGATATGAACATTATTTTTCTTTTATTAATGACTATTACCTTGAAATGTGAAGCGCAAAAACATGTAGCAATACATCATCGTGCCAATTACTTCCTAATCTATATCCACTTGTTAAAACGTCATTCTTAATGTAGATAATCTATTAAGTTAAAAGTATCAGAGCATACCATTTGTACTTACCGATCAACTGGTTTTAGTCCAGCTAAACATAAACGTATATTATATTCAATCAGTGTCCAACTAGAATTAAGTAATAAATAAGGACCATACTGATTAATTAATGAACGCCATGGAAGTATTGATTGCGCTATATCATCTCTTGGTTCCATTGGTTCTGGTACACATAAATCGATTGCATTTACACATCGTCGTTGAACATTGGACAACTCAGACAATGGGATATGACTGTTTTCTTTCAGTTCCTAGAAATGAACAAACAGAAAAGAATGTTTGAAAGGGGTTGTTTATCACCGAGAACTAAGATGATTGTTATATGAATTCAAGAAGTACAATATATCAACTCACTCCAAGTAGACGTTTACAGATTATGATAATGAATTGATGAAAGGATTTTATTTAGAGGTTTTTTAGATCTATTTTTATAAGCTTCCTTTTTATCTATCACTTATTTAACAAAGACACTCAGGTCATTATAGAACCTTGCGTAAAAGAGGATTAGCTCAAGTCCCTACACTTTACTCCAGCCTGCCACAAAAGGATGAGCAGTAAAGTTTCTGGAATAAATAGATGAAGGGTTCTGAAAACATTAAAATCTTCGAGAAGTAATGTACTACCTTAAAAGTACAGGTGTTGTTCAACGAGTTGCAGTTAGCTACTCCAAATGTCAACCACTCTGTAACTTTACCTAGTTTGATAAGTTGTATGCCTAATTTATTGTGTATTCTGAACTTACATTATATGCTGCTTGTTAAAAGACAGTCAGTGTCTCATTCAGTGTACCGTTTAGTCACTAACCTATAGGTATAGTACTGTGGCTGTGATTTGTGGTCATATGAAAGATTGATCTTCAGTCAAGACAAATTATATTTTTGAATCTAATACATTTATTGAATGCTAAAACAATCATAACCGAAGTAAAATGTCAAATATAAAGTGTTTTCTATAACTGGAATTCGAATAATTATCATGTAGTTTCATTATTTTTGAGTAATATTTCAGGAACTGTTTTCACTGACATCTTCAGTGTGTATTTTTACAAAATTAAATAAAGTGGAAAAACTATTCTTCATTTGATACTGGGTGATGACTGAAGGTGAAATGAGAATTCAGACCCCGGCGGGATTTAGACCAGTAATTATAAGGCTTCCTGCCTGATGCTTTACCAAGCTGATGGTTGGTGCTTGGAATCCAACCGAGGTCTAAATTTTTTTTCCACCTTCAATCACTATCCAGTATCAATACTAGTTTGCCAAACCACGGCTATCTCAGACAGCCAAAGAGATATTCTTCATTTTTAATTTCTACTTTCCAAGATAACGAAACTTACTAAACACTAAAGTTTGTCCGCCAAATGTGACCTTATAGCCTGAAAAGTTTAGTTCGACAGCAACATTTCTCATATTCAGATTGGCAAGCAAGAATGTTAGCGGGAGAATTCCGACCATGAAGTATTTAGTAACACAAAATTGCAGAAATTTTAATTACCTATTTGGTGGGAAAACCAAAAACAAATTTTCTGAATAACTGTCATCATACCTATCAGAATCATGTTTGCTAGGATGAAGAAGATTAGGTTCAGAAACTTGACATGTCACGAAAAGCACCTCCAACAAACTACAGACATTCATCAACAACTGACAATACACTCACTCCATACTGAACATCAGATGGAGATCAGATGAACAGAACAACAAGAATGAGCAACAGGAACTCACTGTGGCAATGAACCACCGAACTAAGAAGCTATCATCCAACAAATATGCATAAGAAGGAAGTGTAGATGTATTGGGCATAGAGTGAGAAGACTTATTGGTGACATCACGTGTGAAAGCATGTTGTCGAGTGGGAGGCAAAGGGGAAGTGTGGTGTTGTGCATCCGATGTGAGGGTGACATGGAGGATATCGTGAGAGGAAGGAATGAGAGTTTGTGGGGAGTCGTGGAGGGAAGTTTAAAAGAGTGGAGAGAAGAGAGTGAAATGGAGGCGTGCTTGGAACCCAAGGGAAAAATAACAATGACAGTAATAATAAGTGTGTGACTGTCTAGAAGTTTTGATTTGATGCATATTTTATACATTGGCCAATGTGACTCACACTTGACGTTTATAGTATGATAATTTATAGAGGAAAGGCTTTAGCAAGTAGATTTTCCTTTGGCTATATCATCCTTAGAACCTTTATAACTCCATTTTAATACACGTATTGTGCAGTACCTGTGTCAGTATTCGTCAACTTATAAATTGTAGCAGGTAGTGGCCAGGAAAACATTGTGAAAATAAAAGTCACATAAGAAAAGTGTTTCTATTTTTTATATTTTGTTTGTGTTGTGAAGTTTCTTTAACAATTAGAGTTGTTATACGGGGTAGGGTTGCTAGCCCTATGCCCAAAGTTTCCTCTTTAGCCGGGCTTAGGAGCGGCTAGTAACTAGTGAACTAGTTAACCAACAACTGCCTACGCTCTCTACCGAAGATCAGATGGCCGGAACGAATAAGCAACAAGGAAGTTGAGAACGAACCAACCAAGAAGCTATCACCCAACAAATATGCATCAGAAAGTGGAGATGGATTGGGAATACACTGAGAAGGCCTTTTGGGGACATCACGCGTCAGGCCAGGCTGTCGAGTGGAACCCAGATGGGCTGTCGTGGAGCCAGGTTCGAAAGATTTCAGAGAACAGAAAGCATTGGAGACGTGCTACTGAAGCCCTATGTTCCATTAGGGACCCAAGGGACAAATAATAATAAAGAGAAGTGTTAAAGAAACTATCTGATATAGCAGTGGTTTAATGTGAAGATAGTATTCGACCGTGAGGTGATATGGCAGTGTCTGACTGTGGAGGGAGTACCCAGCAAGTATATAACGCTAATCAAAGATCTGCACCAGAACTCGTGCAGCTGTGTAAGTGGATATGGCGAGTCATCGTCCACACTGACGAAAACTAGCTGCGCACACCTGCTATCACCGTTCTTGTTCAAATTTATTGCACATATAATAACGGAGATAACCTTCGGTATGTCAGACTTCACAGGGATTAATCTACTCCCTGAAGGTCGTCTGTTTGACTTGGAGTATGCAGACGATATCGTCTTGTTAGGTGAAGATGCTGACGCAGTGTAGGGTCTTCTGAACACGTTGAGCAGAAATCTGAGTATGTTTGGCATACGTCTCGCTGGCACGTGTCAAATGTAAGATGATGCTCTTGGATAGTTCTACTGCAAGTACTCCCAGTTCAGTGTCAGGGTGAAGTGGTGAAACGTGTCAATCACTTCACTTACTCGGTGAGTTGCGTCAGTCCGAACTGCTAGGCTGCTGATGACAATTCAGCTCAGATACAGAAGGCTCACTTAATATTTACTAAATAAGTCATCTGTGTCATTAGTGAGATATCCGACTACCTATTAAAGAACGAGTATAATGCACTGCAGTCTGCTATGTCTTGTTATTCGCCTGATACATTGATGTTCAATGCAGAAGATAGGATGATATTACAACTTCATAACACTGCTCACATACAGTGGAATTACTATGCGAGCAGTTCTGAAGTTAGAGGAAAGACACTATCCAAGGAATGAAAGGTAGTCTATAACCTTGTGAACCCTTATCTGCTGAGGTGGTTTGAATATATACTTTGCTTGCCCAGCCAACGGCCACCTCAACGTGCAATGCTAGGAAAAGTTGGTTTATATGGAAAGAAGGTTCAGGGTGCCCAGACGAAAACAGGACACCAGCCTATGAATTCTGTGAAACTTGTTCTGAGCTGAGTAGCGAGTTATAGACTGCCTGCCTGGCTAGGGTCGCTGAGACCATAAAATCACTGATTGTAGGCTCGCAGTCACATCTCTGAAAATTAGACACAACGACACAGATGCATCCACTTTGTGATGCCTACTAAAGGTTGAAGTTTTCTACTAAAACTTATTTCAAAATTCCTTCTCCTATGCCCTCTTGTTGACTTTGATATCAGCTATTTTCTCTGTACTTGTCATTTGTATGTTATTGTGAAGTGCGGCAGCGTGAATCGGTGCACTTCTGTGAGAGGTTCTACCTTAGTGTGGAGGACTGAAGGTGAAATGAAAATACTTGAGTGAGTTGAATTGAAGAATTCGCAACACAGTAGGCAAACAGCTGTCAATTGGAGAAGAAATAAGAAATTGGTAATTGAACTAAAGGGGTGGGCATCATAACAATATGAAAGTGAAAAAAAGGGTTACTTGGCCTTGGAAACTGGAGAGTCTAACAATTAAGAAGTGAAAAAGGACAATGGACGGCAAATTTTCTTCTAAGTACACAATTCTAGTCTTAATCTTTGTATTGCCAGAGCTTCAATAATGAGAAGTAGGCGTTTCTTCGGAACCTTCGGAAGATTGTGTTGTGTTTTGTGGATTACTGAGGACGAATTTTCTGGGACAGCGTCTGCTATCAATTAATTTGCTTGTGAATAAGATCGATTTAGTGGCAGATTATCTTTAACAAATATAATTTTCTTTAAAAAAAAACAGTATACTGCGTAATTTGCGTGAAGAAATCATGCAAAAACAAGGTGAATAAAATGCCCTACTTACTTTATACGCATCTTCATTACCAGCAGCTAGAAATGTTTCCCCCAGTACAGTACGTATACAAACATCAAACTTTAAGAACATTGTATCACGTCGAAGGCATAAAAGTTGAATGATTTGTTCGGGATCTGTTGAGTCTGGTAAACGATTTATTTGGTATTGGATTTCCCTTAATTCTGTGGCTAAATGTCAATTTAGAGAGGAGGAAACAGAGTATAAAAACAGAAGAACTGGACTATTTATGACAGTATAAATATAGTACATATATATATAATACACACAGAATGCATCAATCTGAAAGTTTCAACAAGTAATTTATGTAATGTATGGCTTCTGTAAAAGGCTGTTTGGATGCTAATGACCAGTAGTGAAATGATGCGGTTAAATTGTTATTTAATAGAGGTAGATATGGACCTCTTCAAAGAATTGCTACATTTAAGCTGTCACACTGTATAACGGGACGGCAAAACATTTAATAAAAGTAGATATGTAATAAAATCAACAATCAGTGAAGAGGCTAGATATGGACTAAGTACGTTACTGTTTTTGAAATGAATGGGTTACTGGATTATTAAGCCTATATTTTCATGTTACGCAACCTGATAAATATCATCTCTGTCAACACCTTACTTAGATTCTGACTTGGCCTATCACTACAGATTATGATTACACGGCATTCAGAAGTATGGCTTTTCTTTCCCACAGGCAAACTGAGCGTCACTAATGAGACCTGATTTCTTATCCATTTAGAATTTAGAAAAGTGGATCCATTGTTTAAAGAGATTTGGTGAAATGGTTCAAAGATAGATATATGCCCCCCTTATGTTTCTAAAGCAAGCTATAAACAAACTACCACCACAGTTGTATTTATTCTTTCGTGTGTCGTATCTCCGTTCTTTTTCATGTTCTTCCATGTTTTTGCGCTTCTGTCTTGTGTTTTTTTACATAATACGTCAACTATAACAATTATGCTTTCAAGTTGTTATTCATCTAAGACTGACATCAGTTGGAGGAACAGAGGAAACCCAGGAGCACTGGACAGCTGTTTCGTCCTAGTATGGGACTCCTCAGCAGTGCGCACCCACGACCCCACCAGCAGGGATCCCCCCGACGTCTTACACGTGTGTACTCGTCTATCGACTAGTTTCTCTAATGAGTAAAAGCATATATACCATTGCGAAAACAGACTGTTTTATTCACTTACAAGGAAACTGTGTCTTTTTCAATAGATTTCGATGGATTTGTACTGGTGCAATTTTCGTGTGTATATTTTTAATCATGTTTAACATATCAGCATGAATCTTAGTGGTTCACAGTATATACACTAACAAACTATTTTGTCAGTTCGTTAAGTTTAATGCATTCACAACTCGTACCTTTAGTGCTGTCTTGTACTTGTTACAGACTGATTACGTAATAGGTGTGAACTTTTTTAATTTTTACCATGAATTTCTATGTGGATAAATAATGTGAGTGTAGACAGTATTCTTCGGTCAGACAGTTCATAGGTAAGATAATTGATCAAGTTTTAGATTTATCAAACAGGTCAAGAAGTCATCGATATGACTCTAGACATAATAAAAAGATAAGTGATGAATTGTCGTAAATGTGTCAAGCAACCATTAAGATTATATTGAAAATTAAGGCTAACTGGTAAGGGAAGCAGAACATCATCTACTGATGACTGAGGTTAAAAAGGAACTTGAGCTCAAGATGGAATTCATCCAGATTTATTGTGCAGTTTCAGCACGATCAACTTAGTTTAAAAGGAGTCTACTGAAACACAAGGCTGATGGAAATACAATATCTTCTGGGTGAATGTTATTACTGGCCACAGAAATACCATTGTTCAATCCATGATCGTATTGCCAAAAGAAGTTTTTGATGATATTGAGCATTGAAATAAATGTGCCAAGCTGGTACGCTAATCATTGGTTACATCTATACGAGTAATAAGGTTGAGCAAATGTATATACTTGTTTCATAAAATTATCTAAATGATCAATATTCCCAGGGAATATTCTACATCGTCATTCGGTTCTATGCCTAATGACCACTTATAGGTATACAATTTCGTTAGGATAGTATGAGATTACTCAGTAAGTAATTATGAAGTTGTTTCATGACAAATTTCATTGGAAAGTGTCAGTAGGTGAAGAAGAATTAAAGTAATTCTAGTTTGGAACATCCTATTATCCTAGTGTAAATTTCCCTCCTTTTCATTTCCCTTTTGTGAAATAACTGACCCGTTATAATCCAATTTTCATGAAGTCATTTAGAGTAAATTATTTTTAATATTGACTGATAGTAAAAACAGAAATATGAATTTACGGATATTTTGCTCATCAGACAAAGCAGTTTTGGACACTGGTTAAATGTCACGTGTAGCCTCACTATCCTTTGCCTTCACCTAATTTTCTCTTCTATAAAAGGTATGCATTTAAAACATATTTCTGAATTGATTGTCTTTTCTCAGTACCATTTTGTTGCTCTTATCTAACTGAAATTAATTCCTACTCTAACCTACACTTGCATTTCAGCTCCATTCGTTACTTGAAAGCTATTTTGTCAAACCATAGGACAATTTTTAAACAAACTACTATTTGTTGATATACTTTTAATTCTCTATTGTTTTACTGGATCGAATTGTTTGGTCTCTGTTGGCATATGACGTCCTACGCGGATGCGTCGATGTTGTTTGAATATTTGTAGAGATAAATTACTTCGTTTTGGCTAGCAGAGCAGTCCAGGATATGCGTTTCGCCATATTCGGGACTCGTCATCTGGATTGACCTGCTTTCCAGTGAGTGGTGTTGCTTCCAGATAGAACAAAACGCGTGTCCTGAAATCCAAAATCAAGTAATTTATCCCAATAAATACTCAGGTAATATTGAATCATCTGCATAGGAGTCCGTATACCAACAGAGGTGGATTTATTCGATCGAGTGTAACAACAGAGAATTATAAATACTGTATTCCGAGGTAAAAGGGGATTTCCAATTTTCAAGTAGTATTCTTCAAGGACTGACATCATTTGGAGAACCACTGAGAACCTGGAAGCACTAAACAATTGTTTCGTTCTGGTATGCTCTTCACAATCACGCACTCAAGAACCGGCTGAAGATCAAATTCAGGACCTTCAGGCTTCATGGCGAATGCACGGACCACTCAGCCACTGCTTCGGAATTAAGTGCTTCACAGTTTCCTACTTCTATCGATTCGCGATATGGTGCGACTATCACCCGAGATCTTCAGTTGACATTCACTTCCTATTGGTTGACCCACAGATCATGCCTTCTTATAAGAACTTCGAGATATCCATCTGGAAGCATGTGCCTAATGACCACTGTGGTCAGCCAGTCGGAAGGAAGGTGAATGCCAACTGAAGATTATGGGTAACAGTCACGCTATATCGCGAACCAACGGGAGCAGGAGAATGTGAAGCATTGAACTGCGATCCAGGGGCTGAATGGTTCCCGCGTTCACCGTGAAATCAGGAGGTCGTGAGTTCGATACTTAGCCGGGTCGCGAGTGGAAACTGCTGAGGAGTCCCATACTAGGGCGGAACAGCTATCCAGTGATCCAAGGTCTTTGATCAGTATCCAACTGATGTTGCACCTTGACTAATACTACCTGAAAATGACAAATAGATCGATAAATAGTAATAAGTGGTAACCTTTTTACAAGAGATGAATTTCATGCCCTAGAAGCCTAGTGGATAAGGCCTTGGTGTTTTTGAAGCAATGAGTACACGGTTCGAGTCTTATTGGGAACAACACTACTCACTAGAGTGTAAGTATATCCAGCTAACGAGTCCTAAGTACGACGAAACCCATGTCCTAGACTCCTATTCTAGCCAGAACCAAGTGAATTTTTAAAAAGAAAGGAGATTTAGATTTAAAATAAGAAATCACACACTAATGGAACAATAAACCAATATTTAACCAATTTAAGTAGTAATGGGTAAACGAATAAATGAATAGAAAGAATCATTTCAACATTATAAATACCTAGTGTAGACACTGGACCTCCATCATAGTCATCTATGTCATCTAAAATTCATATTTTTTCAAGGATTAAGAATTGAAATAAGTTTAGGAATAAAAACATATTCAACACATTTTGAGGTTAGTGGAGATTTTTTAGGGTGGTGTTGATCAAGGACTAATATCGTCTAATAAAGTAGTAAATACTTAGGATAACTACACGTCTGTTTTGTCCTAGTATGAGACTTTCAGCATCACGCACCCAAGGCTCGGCTGAAGATCTAACTCAGGACTTTCAGGTTACACAAACAGCGCGTTAACCAGTCAGCCACTGTGTCGCACTTCAATGGTTCACAGTTTCCTACTACTGTCATTTTGGAGTATTTTATACAATCAGTGTTGCTCACACGCACTGATATACAACAAAGTTAACTCTTTTGTGAATAGGAAATCATTTATTGATATTCTGTATTGAGAAGAAGGAAATAAAAGTGATAAATAAACAAAGATATCTTGAAACAGTTTGAAGATTCTTCCATTAGAAGTTTATTGATAAACTTGGATAATGTATAACTTGTCAACGTTTTCATGAAAACTGATACTGACTTTTTAGATTTGAGCTCATTTCGAATATGGTTAAGGATATTGGCGGTTAACTGCCAAAATACAACAACTACTATTCCCTTTTAGGTCAGGAATAAAATGAATAAGTTATTTTTATAGTAATTGTCTATGAATATGCGTTAACGTCCAAGTGACAAGTTATATCGGTATAAAGATGAGTGATGATGACGAGTGTATGGTAAATGTTTCTGTGTCAACCACGTATCTAAGTATAGAGCAATTCATAAGACTGACAACGAAACAAAAGTAGCAATGAAATGCAGGTTTTATCAGTTATATCAAGTCTGCAATAACTTTTAAGGTACACTTATTGAGTTCACATGTTGATCAGCTGAAAAAATATAAATATTTCTTTGAGTAAACTAAGTGGAATGATCTGAAGGAAGGTTACCTTTGAGTAACCTTTAGTGGAAGCATGGCAAGATTAAGAGCTACTGATTAAAATTATTTCACATTTTTATGTCACTGATTGCTCTTTAAGTCAATTAAACTGCTCCTAGAACATATTATGAAGGTGTAAACCTTAAAACTTTGGACAGGTTTCATCCCAGCATAAAACTCTTCCGCATTGTGAGACCATAACCACTAGAGGTATAGAATTCAGAAATCTAAGGTTTTATAGCAAAAGAATTACCATATAGCTACTGGGTTAGAATCTATACCTCATTAGTGAAGTGTCTGTAGATGGAATTCCTTAAGTCCTAGTGAAGAGTCAACGAAGTCAGAAAGAAGGTCATGGGTTAACACTTCTCAGAAGTTTTACAGTTGGACGAAACAAATTAGGATTGCCCTCAGCCTTTTAATAGTTCTCCAACTGATTTATATTGATGATGAGAATCATTTTCATATCAAGAAATTTCTACAGGCCATCAAATGAACTGCATTATGCAGGTGTTTCGAAATAACAAAAATCAAAGCAAAACACTGAATAAACTTATGAATATGTTTATTACCTACTGACTGATCAACAACAAGACTACGACGTTGTATATTTATATCTATTGGTGTAACAGAACTGGCTGGTGATGATAGCGCCAACGACATAGTTTCAGTTGTACCAGCTGATATCAAATTTGGGGTTGGTTGTTGTGAAGCAAGTATTTCTGTTGTAGTTAATGCAGATTCTTCAGCTGTCATTATATTTTTCTGATTTTGAACAAGAAGAGCAAAAAGAATTAGAGTTTTATCAGTCATCTTTAAAGAGGCAGATCAAAAACTTGATTACTTTCACCAACCAAATTTCATAGTAAATATCTGTAAGTATGTAAGAAAACTGGAAGCAGACAGTCAATCAATCAGGATCAGCATGCCCCCATGCATTCACCAAGGGACCAAACAAATAACGCCTAGGGAAGTTAGTACTTTATGAATTTCCGTGCAAAAACCATTACTTTACTCCATTGTGAAGCACTGACCAACTGATGACGGTGTCTAGCGTGACGTTAAGACTTCTGCCAACTTTAATTCTAGTTCAGATAACAACTGACCCTGAACACACATACTATAAGTCAAAAACATTGGTCGAAATTCGTATATAGAAAGTATATTTCACTTCTAATTATTATCACAGTCAACATTAAATCTGAAAAGTGCCTTACACATTGGATTCCATGGCTGGTCACTGAGTAAATCAGGCAGTATCGATGCATCTGCATGGGAACCCATCTACAGCAAATCGAATCACTATACCAACGGTAAATTCCAGTTACCAACGAATCATGAAAACCAGTAGCTATTATCTGACCCAATTTCGGACTGAGTACTAATTGATAATATAGGTGTACAACTTGGACACTGTGGTGGAATTTAACTCCATATTAGATTGATTTATTTGATTTATAACACAGAGTGATAAAGTATAATTTACTTGATCAGATTTCCAGCATAACTTATTGCTGCTCATAATCAAATCAATGTAATCACACTACTTTCGACCTCTGATTTCTATAGTCGTATCACCCCATATGTGCCTGACCTCCATAGTCTTCAAGTTTCAAGACAAAATATACAGACAAACAAAATGAGTAGCAATGGAATCGCCAACATCCCCGATCGGAGCAGACATATTTATTCATAGTTGGGAACACATGGATGCTTTACGAAACTTTAATCCCGCACCTAAGATATGGTGGCGATATGTGGATGACACACTTACTGCATTCAAATCGGAACATATCGACAATTTCCTCACACATATAAAATCAGTAGTAGGCGCAATCCAATCCACTAACCAGGTAGAAAGTGAACAAGGAGAATTGCCTACATTGGATTGCAGGATAAAAACAAGGGACAGATGGTGGTTCGGATACCACTGTCTACAGAAAACCGACACATTCTAACATGTTTCTAGACTTCAAGTCATCTCATCCAATGTCAGTCAGTGAAGGCAGCTTCAGTCGAATGTCTGAATGACAGAGCTAGAAAACTGACTAGTCAGTGCAAAGACCTAAACAAGGAACTGAAGCACACAAAAGAAGCGATAATAGTTAGTAATCATCCTCTGCAGTTTGTCAAGAACACAAACACGAACACACAAGAAACCAAATAATAACAGTAACAACATGAGTACGAATAATAATGACAACACGACTGGAAGAGAGTTCACAGCCTCCATTGTGTTACGCTATAAGGAAGGTACATCTGAAACTTTATGTAGGATCCTCAACAAAGCTGGAATTGAGGTGGCATTTAAACCTACAAACTCACTCAGAGATAAGCTCTGTCGGTTTAAGGATTGGAGAGAACCAATTCAGCGAAATAATCTAATCTATCAAATTCTATGTAATGACTGTGAGGTCAAATACACAGGTCAAATTAGCCGGTTGAGGTCAGTTAAAATAGCCGAATATAGGGAATTTGGCTAAATATAGAATGACAGACCCGAATAGGTTCAATAATCTAGAAAGACACTCGGCTATTGCAATGCACGCATTAGCGCACACCCACACAATGCTATGGGTGAGATAAAACCACTGTACTTCAGTCCAATATAATTAGGTGTAGAGAGAGATTGATTATTGAATCTTTGTTCATCTAATCAACACTCAACACATGTAATAGAAATGACAACGCCTATATCAGAGATGTGGAAAATTTTACTACCAATAAAAACAAATCATATGAGGTGACAGGACTATAAAACGCAGATGTCTAAAGTAGTGTGATTACATTGATATGATTATGAGAGTTAATAATTTATGTTTGAAAACTCGTCAAGTAAATAATACTGTATCACTGTGCACTATATATCAAATAAACAAATCTAATATGGAATTACATTCTACCACAGTGCCCAAGTTTTACTTACACTTATATAAATAATACTTTGTCATTCAAATAAACAAATTTAATATGGAATTAGTACTAATTTTTCTTGATCCCAGATATTTGTAAGCTAATTCATTGAAGTATGATAACCAATCTTTGTATAACAAAGAAAATTTGTAGTCTTTTGTTACTGATCTTCTGGACTGAGTTGAAGTGTATGAATTTCTTTAGTGAATGTCTCGATGTTATTACTGTCTGAATCCAAACAATCCATTCAACCGAGTAAATCGATAAGAGGAGATTGTGAAATGAAATTTCAATAAATGTTATTTCTTTATATTATACAGACAAAACTGTGGTGTTACCACTACTAGATGAAATCAACGTCATTTCATTTATATAACATCATAATTATAAAACAGAGGCAATTTCTAGAATGAAATAGAATTATTGAAATTACTGAGACATCACAAATAATGTTTACTGTGAAACCAAAGTTATTAGACAGTTATGTCTGAAAATCCAGACCACTGATTAAAACAATTTATAAAACTAATACGATCTGCACGAATTATATTGCACATTTCGGAACCTGTAGAAAGTTTCAGCAACAACATAAATGAAAAACCTGTCCATTTGACGTTTCACTTAGCTTTTTGTTTCACAGAGAGCCTTGGTAACATTAGTATTAAGTAATAACATGTAACTGACCTTATAAGAAAGCCATTTATTAGTAATCTGTTCTACATTAAAGTTCTGTTATCAAAATCTGTTGACCGATTCTGTTCGTTTTCTGGCAGCATCAAAGTTCATGATAGTTGTTCTCATGTAAAATATAAGATAGACTTACTAAATAGTAAAATTGTTGTATCTCTATATGAGGTGATTTAGATTGACAACCATTCAGTATCGACTGACCTTAACGTCACTATCTGTAGTTTGCATTTACTGGTTTTTTGACTACGTCACGTAAGCGTTTTCAACTTTACACATTTTCCATGTATTCCGTCAAATATAATAGTATTAATTGTAGCCTAATAGAGTCCGCTTGTTTTCTCTCTAAGTCAGCTGTTTTGACATTTGTGATCGTCTGATCACTAGTAGTAGACAAAAATCGCTTTTTGGCAATTCCCTTGATCCTTTAATCATGAGATCAAAACCGACTGTGCCGAACGCACCATCCCGTCGATAATAAAAAAAATTACAAAAAAATGAGAAGGTAACAAGCACAAGTGAGACGCTTACCCTGTCAGACGTAGCTATTATCCGATGACGTTGTTCAGGGGTTATCCGTGATGAACTTATCCCCAGTCTAGCGTATGCAACTAAATAGTGCAAAATATCATGTAAAGCTCGAGCTATTCTTGCCATATGACGTAATGCTTTTGTACAGGCTTCATCATCCAGATGACGAAAAACGAATAAAACTTCAATAAAATGTGGTAGAAACCAGAGATTATAAAATTTTGTTCCATCTGTAGATAATACACGACGAGGACGACTACGTAGAGATCTTGGATTAGTATTTTCTGTGTCAAGATCATCTTCAGACGACTTCTTTTCAAATGCATAACCAATAATGAAGAATTCTTCACTATGAATATGATGTTGAAAAATAATTCTTTTAAAAAAATATTTTAATGTATAGAAATTGTAATGAAACGATGAATTCACTCAGCAATCTGTCTTGAACTAATTTGTATTTGGAAATTTAACTCAATTAATCAGAGAAAAGGAACTCACAACTCGTATTCAATGGTATTGTTTAATGGGACCGATTCGCAGTCACCAGTGAAATGTGCTCTAAATGAGTCTCAAGTATGTCACCTCCAACTACTTAATTACCAAATTTTCTTTCTGAGGTATCTGGATCTCATATGACTCTACACAACTCCCTTGAAGTTGTACAAGTGATTTTGTTTGAAATACTTAAAAGCGCAAAGTTAACTTACAGTAAATTCTGCATCCTACTTTTGACTACTGGATACAGACTGCTAGGATATTCTGTTGTTTACTTTATATTGCATCAAACTGTCTAATTCGTACCAAAGATTCTCTCCAACACTGAAAATTAAGAATGATACAGATAGCTCTTCTACAGCTGAAGAACTATTGACTGCAGCAGATAACTAGTTGACACCATGTAACGTGAACGAAGAAAAACCGACTATTTGAGAGGAATGACGTAACACCATACAATATTACCGGTTCCCCACTAACTACTTACACAACCCAGAATATCGAAAAATCAAGATCGTAATGGAAAGCATAACTCAAGAAAAGGGTAGAAGTTAGGAAGTTATGTTCTGCAGTTAAACAGAGACTTGTAACAGCTTTCCGGAACATGATCGGATCTAAGAAGTTTCATAGCTATATCTTCAGAAGATCTTAGGAGATTGGATCTACTCTATTTGCTTATTATCTTGAAATATTTTGATGTGTTCGTCTTATCGCTTGTGTCAATCGAATGATGACCAAATGAAATATTAAAAGTGTTTATCCGACTACCTGTTAGAGGATGATTATACTGCACTGCAGTTGGTTGTGTCTTGTTATACGACTGTGAGAAATAGCTACTGAAAGTGGAAGCTATAAAAATATTACAGGTTTTCGGACATAGGTATCTTCGTAACTCTGCTCACAATGGCGGAATCACCAGGCGAGCAATGTCGAGGTTAGGTGTGAAGCACTAGGGAAGGATAGGGTTGTAAACTTTCACCGATTCAGGTGGCTTAGGCACTAGTTAAGCTTGCCGATCTAGCTCCTACCTCAAACTACAAGGCTGAAATTACGACTAGTTTGGAAGAAGGTGTAGAGTGGCCAGACCAAGACGTGACATCAGTTCATGAATTTCATGACTGTTGGTCTGAACCCTGTAAGTAAGCGTAGACTATCTGGCTGGGATCACTGTAAATAAATTTATCTTTTGGTCTTGTGACGTAGTACTATCCTAAATGGAAACTTTAAGGTTGACCCTGGCAACAGGCTGAGAAGGAAGCTTTCACGTAAAATTAGGATTCTTCACTAGTTACTTGGATGATGCCCAAAATCATACACACGCACACACACACTTCAATCACAAACATCTCGTTTCCGTGTTTTAAGGAGTTTAAACGTCTATGAGTCAACAAGTAGACACAAATCCTCCGCCTGTTCCCGATCTTTTGTACTGTCATATATTTAAATGACAGTATACAACTCGAAAGACAACGAACTGTACATGAATCAAAAATACTCGACAAAGACATTTAGGTTAAGACAATGTAATACACCGTATAGTTAAATAACAGCACTTTATGAATGATAAAGCGTATAACAATAGGTACTTGATGAGTAGATAGCTTATAACACATGCCTACAAAATAATATTACGAAGTAAATATTTGGAAGAATTCTCTTCGATATATAACTTGAAGCCCATGTTTCTCTGTAGCTTCTTTTTTCACTCATCTCCTGTAAACACACTCACTTTCCTAATAAATGTATACTTGCGACAACCATGAAGATGAATACCAATTCAGTCAGTTTGCTCTATCAGTGTCATTATACCTATAGTGTATTGTTTGATACTATCATTGTAAATTATTCATTCAATAATGATTTGTGAACGCCATTTTCCTGATTCGTTCATTTCATTTCATTCAATTTTAAAATCAGTTAAAAAAATAACTGAGTGCATCTATGTTGTGTAAAATTATGTAACATCAGGGAGATGTTGGTTAAGAGAACTGAGGAAACATGTTCTGCACTAATATGATTAGTGAGCTGTCAGTAATACTATTATGAAGTCAGGTCAGGTGTTTGTAGTCCCTTCAGGTAAGTTCTATTCGTCACTCCCTCAAGGTCAGTCTATTTTTCACAAATAAAATAGAATAAGTAAATCGTTTACTATTAATGGAAACGGAAAGCTTTTGTAGAAGAGCTGAAAAACTTTGATTCTAAAATAGTGGTTAACTTGACCCTCAAGATGTCCAAGAAAATTAAAATATTCTCTGCATATTCAATTGCAATTCGAGAACTAAAACTGAGGCGTCCTTTTGTATCGGTACTCGTAGAGTATTTCAGTGCCTCACATAAATTATGGTTTTATAGCGCAAAATGGCTTGCAAACTTAATGGAACCTATTTCTAAAACCGAATGCTCAGTTATTTATTTTGTTGCTGTTACATTCTTGTTGTTATAATTATGCATAAAATGAATAGTTGTCTCATTTCTGTTAATTCTTTTGTTATCTTTACCATTTCTTAACTATTCAACAGCTAGTTATCGTCTTTACTTGTTATTCCTGTGCAGCAATCTATTTCGATGCCTTCCACAATTCACCTGTTACAGCAATTCAATTATCAAAATCAATGTAATTGTAATAAACTTAAGGATAAACGTACGAAACAGTTGGTACACTTTTGAGTATGATCATTATGGAGCTGTAAGTTGCAATAATTTGTGCTCTAAGTGATGCTTGTTGTGTACGTTCACCGAAATCTTGACAATACTGTGACAGAAGTTCACTGAGAAGAGAAAAATCAAAGGAATTATTACAGTTTTGTAGGTTAAAACTGGGAAATAGTAATAAGTTGGATTCCATAAGAAATTGTCTGTACTTATTGGCTTTTTAAGAGACTGTAACTTTTTATTTTTATACTAAAGCATATTAAGTGTACTAAACTTGACTGTGATGTTAGCTAGTGGTATCCTGAAGTGATATTCCATGTCAAGAAATCTCAGTTCATCGATGCAGGTTAGTCTGCTTACTTTCAGTCTCGCAGAGGTGTCTCCCTCACAAATATCCACCAATCAACCATGTACACACGTCAAAGCTTTAGAAGATATAAGCAGTGGCGAGTAGAATAAGTTGTATATCTATCAAGCATAAAGTAACCATTTGAGATTGCCTTCACCAAACAATATTTTGAAAATGACGTATGAAATCCCCAAGTGCGCTGACTACTTCAGTAATCTTGAGTAATATCTTCTCTTTTAGAGTATAAAACAGCATCTTCAAGCTTGAGAATGGAAGTATATATAAATATATATAAGTATAAAACTGGAGCATTTTGAAGGGGATAACTTCAGTTTAGTCCCGTTTGTCTGAAACAGTACTGACTGAGGTTTCAAGAAGGTGTTGACATCTGTTGCAACACCAAGATAGCCAGACAACTTTAAAGACTGAACGTGTATGTATATACGTATCCTTTCCACTTACAACCTTTCCTACTATTACTAGTGGAATTGCTAATCCCTCAAGAACCGGTACTGATGCATTTCCTATTCATGTAATTCCATGATCAAACTCTTTTTCCACATGACTGTGTTGAAATTCAGTACTGTTATACTGTCTGGGTATATTGAACGATAGCTTCTGTTGCATAAAAATGGTGAATTTTCGTTCATATTACTTATTTTTTTGAATGCATCAAATTTCTCAAGCCTTGATTTCTAAATGACTTCAAATACCAGCACAATCTAGTATGAGAAAAGTTGACATTTGAATCTTTGATTGCTGAATCATCTCTATTGCATGAAGTAAGGATGAATTGGTTCCAATTCTGGAGGCAATAAAAATTCTACAACTAATGAAATCAAAGGATGAAAGGGGAAAAAAGTACCTAGTCAAATCATCATGTTTGTGTCATAAAAACAATGTCCATGAAACATTATTCAGTTATTAGCACTGCATGCTTTTGTGTTATATCAAAAAAATCAGAAGCGAGAAAGAGATGCAACTTTCACTTTTACTCATATAACAGTGTTATCAGTAGTCAACAGTCAGTTTTCAATCATCGCTTAGTTAAATGACGCCAAGATGTACAAAAAAGATTTCCTTGAAGTTAATTAAAGATTTAAACACCAAAAATCTTGGTAATGTAAAGCAGATGAAACTTTATCTTCGTTTTAAGACTATAAACTTAATTATTTCACATCTGATAATGCATCTACATAAGAAATAAATATATAAAAACATCGAAATTATCACCGAATGCATTGCTTCAAGATGAAACTAATGAAAATGAAATTGTACAGTTTCAGTGTTTCCTATCAGTCGTTTTCTTTCTACATAAGCAGCGTTTATTTCAATGACCACGCATAGGTGCATTCACCTAGATTAGGAACAGCAGGTATTGTATCCAACTTGGAAATATTCTTAGATACCTGCTGAATTATCTTAAGTTGGTTACGACGCCATATTTTCTAGAGATTTCAGGAGTTAAACTGAAGTAGACCTTTGTATTAGAATGAATGTAGTTTTCGAAATCGTTTTCCATTCACTAAATATTATAATTTTGACGCAAGTGGAATCATTTTTGCCACCTTTCATATTGTAAAACACTATCTAATGACTATTTTATAAGAAAATGCTTTATAATCGAAAAAACAACATGATATTGAATTAAATTAATGAGTAGAAAATAAATTACTAATTACCGTTTCATTTTCTCACTTTCCACAGTACTTTTAGATGAAGCAATACCTCCACCTTGTGTCCTCTTTATAAATGCATTCTGCATTCTATCTCGACTAGGTCCCTAAAAAATTGTTTATTTATTTAAAGAAAAAAAATCCATTTTTCAGAACTATTGAGTAATGAACAAAGAAGTAAGCGATGGTCAGCCCGATATACATGTTTACGTTAAAAAAGTAACTGCTAAACTTTCTTCTAATCAGGGAAGCAAAATAAATTAGGTGTATAATTAAACCTACACTGAATGGGATGACTGTGACGTATGCCGTAAATATTTACTTAGTTACATAGTCTACCACTTTATATGGTATTCTATGAAACACTAGGTGAAGTTTCGACGTCATTGGAATGCGATATAGCACAGTTATAAATCGTCACATAAGATTGTATTTAACTAACTTCATGTAAACTGTATAGAAGGAAATCGTTTTTTCTTCGACCTTGAAATAAGTTGATTATGGAGTTAGCTTACTGCTTCATAGCTAAAACTAAACATAAGATTTCTAATGAAAATTACACTAATTTTTATGTGTCAGTTTCTTGATGAAGTATGTCACTACAAATCTTTATTTAAAAGGTCAAAACGAAGAACAAATATTTTCCAGGAAAATGATAACTCAAAAATACTTTTTGCTTAGAAAACCTCAGAGTAATTTGTTCAATTTCTTAGCTAATGAAAGAATAAGTCACAAGGTTTGATGTTTTATATATGCATTTACTACAGTCAGACAGATTTTTTGTTACTATTATTGCATTCATCCTAACAATACTAAAAGTTTTTCATCATAAACACATTGACGTTAACACTTTTTATTGTGAACAAGGTACTCCAATGAATAACTGCCCAGTGATATTCATTTGCCATATAGAAAATAATATTAAATCAGAGCTCAGAAGTACTGCTAAATCATGGTAATCAACTATAGTCAACCCATATAGACCATACACTTCGGATAAAACTATGAGAGTGATAGACAAATACAATATCAGAGTCTTCTACACAACATCAGACATATCGCAGAGCACCTTAGTTCATTTGAAGGACGAGATCTCTATAGATTCAGAGTCTAATTGTGTTTATAAAATGAACCGTTCAGACTGCGATGAAATGTATCTTTGACGAATTTCCAGTGAAATCAAAATCAGAAAAAAAAGAACACTGAAGAGCTTCTATCAGATCCGCTAGGAATTCAGTGGAACTTAAAAAATTGAAAACACACCAGCCGTAGCTCTACTCAGGTCATAATGTAAATTTTGACATTTTCGAAAGTATTCTGAATAATGAACATTCAGAAGTTATAAAGAAGGTCTGATAGTAGAATCTCTCTACATAAAGTGGCTTAGTGGATAACGCTTCAGCATTCAAAGCGGTGAGTACTGGGTTTGAATCTTAATGGGAACAACATCACTGCTGATAAGTCCCAGACAGGACGAAATGTGGGTCTTGAATTCCTCTGCTAGTCACCAAGATCCATGGAATCAAAACTGGCTGAGTCAGAATTAAAGAACATAACTTAGTTTGACCTGATCTCAACCCACACCTACACATGCTGACATAGCCAGCAGATATACGTTAAGGACTATCAACATACATGTACATAGAAATCTCAGTGTGTAATTCATACACTGTTCACACATAGCACACTATAGATGGATATAATCTTTATTCTATAATTATGACTATGCACAATCATTCACGCAGAAAAACACTGACTGGTTGACCCCACACGGAAGTGAAGTGGATGTTAACTGAAGACCTTGGGTGGTAGTCGCGCTATGTCGTGAGTTGACAGGAGTTCGAAACTGTGAACTACTGGAAACCGACTCAGTGGCTGAATGGTTAGTGCGTTCGCCGTGAAACCTGAAGGTCCTGAGTTCGGTCCCTAGCCGGGTCGTGAGTGCGTACTGCTAAGGAGTTCTATACTGGGACGAAACAGCTGTCCAGTGCTCCCAGATTTTCAATAGTTCCTCAAATGGCGTCAGTCCGTGATGAATACTACTTCTAACTTATCAAGTTAGCATATATAAGCTTTGATATTGTAAATTCTCGTGTACTATAACTTTCATAAAGCTATTAGTACTAAATAGGGAAAGGTCAGTTGAAATGAATTTTCATTTTGTTTTATATTCACTGGAAAATACCAAAACAATGAATATTAACAAATCTCAACTTGGTCTGTATAGCTGTCTGTTGTAATCTTTTAAAGTTGCTATGTCTAACAAACACCGTAAATATGGTTTAAATCAATAAGATTTAACAAAAAGTGATTAAAAAGTATGAGGAGTGCTAATGTAAGAGATTTGTAACTGAGAAGCAATGTTAGTTACACAGAACGATGGGTATTGGTCGAGAAAAGTTTGGTCAGTAAGAATAGTGGTGACTGTAAATATTTTACTGGATATAATCTGAAACTAACAACATTCTTCGACAAATTATACTTCAGCTTTATGAAAGTCAGAATAAGATTCAGTAAAGTTACGTTGTGATACTGAACAGTCTCTCCTAAGATGTTTAAATCTCAAAGTAAATAAGGAAGTGGTTTAGCACGGTTGGACCCAGCGTTTTTTGAACTTTGAGTTACCCTGTTTTTCCATAGAATATATTTCATTTATTCAAATATATCCTGTATTTTCATTAACTGCTCTCTCATATCTTTAAAATTCTTTGAACCTACCTCTTTCAAACTCAAGATAAAACTAAGAAAAACAACTATGGTGGCTGACAACAACTGATTAAATGACCATTTTCAAAATAATTAGCATTAGATCTTTGCTGAAAAATGCTGACTACATTCATTTACTTTTATTCACAAATTTTCATCATAATTCAAATTTTATAACACTAAATGCTGACTAACTAATTCAGACAAACAGTTTAACATTATTTTGAAAAGAACAATTTATTCCCAAGAGGAGGGAGAATGGTGGAAATGTAGCTAAGAATTAGAATACTTCCACCTTAGCTTTTTCAGAGAAAATACTAACTGGGAATTATTATTCAATGTTATTGTAAGCAGTTAAGTAAATACGAACAAATGTATCGAACAAACATTTGAGTAAAGCCTAACTTTGTTTTCTCCAGTTTATATATTTTTGGTGTTGAATTCACTGAATGTGCAACGCCTGTTCCAACCAAACTTTTGTCGATAATCTGTGATCTTAAACTGTGTGATTACATTTTCTTCTCATTAAATCGAGTCTAAAAGTTAGGAAGACTATCTTCTTAACAATACACCCAAGAAGGTCTAACATGTATAAAGCTTGCATACAAACTGATTGATAAACTGTGATCAATGCATCATTTATATTTGACTCAGTGAGTAGGAAACCACACAAAAGGGCTTTGTATACCTTTGCAGTAAATTCCAAATCAGATGCTGTTCACAGGAAGATGTACCAAGTTTGTAAAGTATTTTAAAGGAAACAAACTGAGAATATTTTTATTTATCACTGTCACTATCTCAAATCCTTTTTTGATATAAGTTGCCATAGAGGAAGGATCTTGAGATAGACAAACTTGATGGACGTTTTTCTCTGCATCTTAAAACGTTTCGAAGAAAAAACAAAAGATCGTGCAGGAGGAATGATGACACTGTCTTCAGAAGACCTAAATGTCTAATTAAATTCAAAATGCAACGTCCAAGTACAATAAACAACCAGAAGTCTATTTTATGTAGGAACTCTACCAATATATGGCAACTATTTATTGGTGAAGAACAGAAAACTGATGAAGCTCTTCAGTATTACTGAGCTTTTATTTTTAAAGCTTTGTAATCCATGTATTTTACCCGTTCTTCCTTATTGTTCCCATGAATCTTTCCTTGTCTACCAAAAGTGCACTATATAATATAAAGAAGGGCTTTGAAAGCTGTCAGAAGGGTTAGTGGTATGCTTCTGACCAAAGTGACTGACACTATAGCCGACAAACTTTTGAATTCATTTGAGTCACTAGCTACTATCATTTTTATTGGAAACTGAACATCCATTCCATTCATAGCTTTCTCCTTATTTTCACTCAAGGGGATAAGGAGGGATAACCTAAGACTAGATGCTCGTATAGGTGGATATAAAAATTCTATTGTAATAGTCATATTGGTGAGTAGCAGAAGAATCAAGGGTGCACATTTCGTCTAATTTGGGACTTGTCGGCTGGAAATACCTGAGCCTTAATGAGTGATGGTATTCCCGCTCACATTGGAACCCATCACCCACCGCATATGAAGCATTTGAAGTGATGGATACTGGGTTCGAGTTTCAGTGGGAACAACAGCACTCATAGAGATGCAGGTACTTCCAGCTGACGAGTTCCAAATAGGACGAAACGCGTGTTCTAGCTTTCTCTTTTAGTCACCAATATCAACACAACACCATGAATATCCAGCACTATCAAGTCATCTGCATAGGAGCCTAGCTGCCAACAGCAGAGGTTGAGCGATTCGGCCCTGTATCTCAAAGGAGATTACAATTATCATTACAACAAAAATTCAGTTGTAACTTATCTCGTGTGTATCGTATGTCAGGAAAATTATTGTTCGATCAGAACTTATTCATCTACTTGTAATAGGAAATAAACGGATATTTCAGTCTTCTAACCATTTGCATGGCATTGTGTTCATTAGTATTATATTTGCATAATATAATTACCATAGTCATTGCGTATAATCTTGCTTATTGCTCACAGAAATATTCAGGCGATGATCGATTTTCATTTGATATTAAACCGATTTATTCACAATACTGAAACACATCTGTATAATAATGTAATGTCTAAATGAGGATTTCTTATTTCTGGAACTCAGGAAAAACTATGAAAGTACAGAGAACCTCATTCAGCAGTGGGACTATTAAGGCTATCACACAAAAATTCAACATATTTCTCAGTGGAAATGAGTATAAAGTTCTATACTTACGTCTTGGCTTTCAATACCACAAAATTATAAGATAATAAGGCCGATTACTTACCAGTGGAGGTAAACTAGAGTAAAATTACAAGTGGGTTGACTATATGATGGTCATATGTTTTGTGTGTTAGATAACACAAAGATTCACATCTAAGTTACTGTACAATAAAATTAAGCGTAAATATTTCTCTTCATTATATTTTAGTATAAATCCCAGATAAGACAGACGATGAACGGAATGTCTTATACTTTACAATTAAAAATACTCATTCAAAAAATGTTACTCATGTTATATGAATGAACCACTGGACAATGAGACGAAATTCAGTATAATTTTACCTTTTCTAACTGGATAGAAAAATATGCTTCTGGATGATAATCTGCATTCTTTTGATGAGTTGATCTTTCAAGAGCTAAGGGTGTTGGACCCACTTGTATGCCACTCAGACCATTATAACTCATCAAATTAACTCCAGTATTTTTCGATTGAATTACACCATTTCTAAAAAAGCAAGAAATCAAAAATAAGCAGACATTTTCATATGGGGGTACGCAGCACTTTTCGTTAAAATTTTAATTGAAAGATCTTTTTACAAGTAGGTTATCAGATTGAGATTGGTGAGCTTATCCAAGTGTCTTCAACCACTGATTCGGATCATCTTGGTGACTGCAGCCAAGCAGTCTGCATCACCCACATGGCTCATACCAACAATCAAAGTCTTCATCGACTGATTTGACCACTCTGAACCCTCTTGTAACCCAATAGAGCTTATCGTAGCATGGCAAGTCGAAGATGGCAGTGATCAGCCTGTGTGCATTATCTGTTCAAGGCATCTCAGTTGACCAAGGTTGATACTTCATCGACCGACTTTCCGGTCTTGCTTAGCACCATTCGCCTGACCTCAATATTGCTCACATAATGATTATACCAAACGTGAGCAATGCTATGAAAACATCTGTGATCAAAACCCTGTAATTGCTCCATGTCTCCTACTTTTAACGACTACATCTCACCACGACATAACAGTACAGAGCGAATTGTAGTGCAGTATACGTGTCTTTCAATAGATAGTCGAATATCTCCCTAATTGGCATCAGATGTGACGCAAGTTGGCAAATGCCAAACGGCCCTTGTATATCCAAGCTGAGATTTCATCAACGATCAACCTGTTTAGACTTCATGATTACTTTTTTCTGGTAACTACAGCCATTCCACCATAAATTCTTGTGTTCAATTCGAGGAACGAATTTAAGAAAAGCTGAGAAGTCGAACTCCACACTGCGTATCACTGACTGATATAGATATTCAAAAATATCTACATCAGTTAATCAGTAGTGTTCACTAATTTTATCAAAACGATCAGAACTTCAGATGACAGACATTTTTGTCAATTCAGAGCCGACATCATCTAAATTGTATCTGGATAGCAACTGTTAAGAGGATGAAGTATTCATACCTATTCTGTACAGTTAACTCCCTTGCTCATTTCAGTTCTTAGAGGTTATTTTCTACTGATGTTTTTTTCGTAGATGGGTAGATTGATCATATACACATACAGATATACAAAGAGACTGAGCCGTATATTTTTCGAATCAGTCAAGAATTCAGTCAGTCGGCTAGTCATATGAACGCGGGACAGTGGAATATTTCTGTTTGTTGCAGATATAAGATGAATTTCTCATTAAGAATTTGACGATTAGTAGAAGTAAGTTGCTGCATTGGTCACTATCTAAATAATTTTATGAGTATATATTTTTATATATGTTATCGTTAAATAGCACTTACTTGACTTTAGGAGCATGAGCCGTATAGAATGCAGGACATGCATTATAAGCTAATATAATTGAAGCAATCAAACCATTTTTATGGGCTGTTTGAACTTTCAACGTGATTAGCAGGTTTTCGACACCCCTTGTTTCTAGCATCTACAGTCAGACAAATGAACAGAAAACATCCTGGTTTATTACAGATATATATGCACATATATATGATATGTACTGCATGTAATATATGTTACTTTAGGAACAACGTCTGGTGTTCTATAAGCTTTGATATTTTGTCGTAATTGTTTCATCACCTGGCTCTGTAACGTCTTTAGCACTAACTTAATGAAGTCAAGCATGAACGCTTAGATAGTGTTTTTGTTGACCTTATAATGTTGTCCACTTGTAAGACGGTGAAGAGATTTTACCACACCTTGACCATTTTGACGTTAAATTTCTTTCACTCACACTGGTGGATAATATATGTCCATCAATAGCTAATAGGTCATTACAAGGTCATCAAAATTTGTCGACGAGGCAACAAGGTGATTATGGTTAGAAGGTCAACTCAAGTTCATCAAAAACTGCTCATAGGATTAAAATAAATAAATAAATGGGTAAATAGACGTCTTAGGGAGATTACGACCAAGGTGAAATTCAAGACTAAACATATCCTTTCTGATACCAAAGACCATGTTTGAAGCAATGAGTTGTTCTCACTCCTTCAAAGTGTTTGATTCGAATCCATAAATGACTTTCAAAGAAGATTTTGGTGGGCCAGAGTTGACTAGATGGTTAAGAATCGAGCTGTTTATCACTTTATACTCTCTTTTAGACAACAATATGGTATAGTACTCGGAGATGCATTTGGATAGAACAGCTCTATGTGGCCCATGTAACCAGCTCCAAGAATGCAGTTGAATCGATGGAGACACGTGGAAGTGGTCCAAGGCGGTAGTTTAGCCTTCACTCACCTTCGAATTAATTGTTGACTTTCTGTGCTTTGCACAGTTTGTTGTTGAATATCTCCGCTAATGTATCTCCCTTGAACTCAATGTTCATAATTAGCGCCTTCTTTGGAACCCTAGAGGTTCCTTTTTGGGAGGGCTTAGCCTTCATATTCCCCGCAATAAATCTTGAGAGATAGACATTTCCAATAAACACTTTTCTACTTCATTTTAATGTATCTTCTTTGGGAGTTCTTCTAAGTCTTATGCATGGTGAATGAACTACATTTCTTTTCTTATCTAGTATAACTCAACATGGAAAATGTGTGTATTATCCATTCCACGTTTGTTTCCTCTAAATCGATCTCCTTAGGGAACTTTTATATCTTCTTCTCAACCTGACGTTCACGAAAAGTGGAATTCTGAGTTATTTTCAGCTTCCATGGTAAATTTAATTTACTTGTGACATTCACTGAACATTTGTTATATATCATCAAGGTTGCTGTTCTCCCCATAGATTATGAAGGTGTCATCAATATGTCTCTTAGTAGATGCTGCTAAGTGTTCTTCAGGCTAGCTATGAAGTAATTAGTTAAGAGAGCATTCAGTAATGAACCTAGTACTTACCTATTCATTACTAAATGTGAATTGTATTGTAAGGATGATGCCTTTAGATTATGTTCAGGAATCCCAGTTTCACTCACTGGGGTGCAGGTACATCCAGCTGACGAGTCATAAATAGGACGAAACGAGTATCCTGGATTCCACTGCTAGTCACCAAGATAATTGTAACGTTATGAAGAGAACTATTTACCTATAGTATTATACACCTGTGATGACAAACTTATCTACTTAATTCTTAATATAGGTTTCCAGTACCGTTTCCCACTTATACGGATTTTTCTATGCTACAAACGTCACACCATAAACACAGCTAGATTTTGGCTGATTATAAGTATTGTCTTGGTTTTCAGTCTACCAAGCACGAGACTCTTACGTTCAAAGACTAGACCTAAAGAGGCTTTAACAGTAATCCTTTTTCCATAAAAATACTAGTTTACAAAGTGTTGTCATAGGAATATGAAGAGAACTATTTAACGTATTCAGCACTATTCATGAGCTCTAATGATTGTACTGCCAAATATCGGGTAGTTCGGATTCGTTCAACGCCCTGCTACAAAGGTCTTATTTACAGAAGTGCATGCTGCTATTCAATATCACTGATGTGGTAAGTTTATTATATTCCTTACTTCTACAATTAGGACCCAGTCTTGAATCGTTCTACCGTGATGTCATTAATGTTATGAGTTTTCTTTATCTATGGAAAGAAATCTGGTAAGAACGAATAATTCTCCAACAATTCTCCACTATCCTCGTTAGCATCTAGAAGTGCTTACAGTCATATGGAATTTCAAACAAAAGCTCCGTCATCTTAGCCATCATACGCCTTGATAACACAAAAGATAAAGGAAGATGACAAATAAAGACAGAAAGGAATGAAAATATTTAGTGGGTAGCAATTATAATACCATACTTTATCAACATGTAAAAAAAGCTTTTCAAAGAATCAGCATGAAAACAAACCTCCATAATTGTAGCTTTTCCACGAAATGAAAATTTTCCAACATGAGTTTCATCTAATTCATGAATAGCGAGTGGTAGAGCAGAAGGTAAATATCTTAATTTTAAAAAAGAAATCAAACATTGTATGATATGCAATTAAAATCAGCGCATCCAATAATGTTTAAATAGTATATACGAGATATTTAAATGTTATTAAGTAACCTCTCTTAAGATTCAAATCCACAAAGTCAGTTATCATAATGAATAGAATTTATTGTCTACTTAATGACCTTAGTACGATATTTGCCTAAATATTTGTCGAATAGCTCAGTTATATCTTTTATTGGAGAGGACTTTTACTTAATATAGTAATTCAGTCAATTGGTCAACATAACGCTATTTCGACACACATTCCTTTAAGTAGTTAGTTCATTCATTCTTCAGCCACGATCACTCGATACTATCGAAGTTATGAGATGAATAAACCAGTAAGATAATCTTCTCTAGTCTACAATCATACGCATGTGACTCAATCTTCATAAGTTAAGTTAATGATAAGAAGCAATAGTCTGAACGAAGAATATTCTTTTCGATAAATCCTCTTCAGGTTTTTCAATTATAAAATACATTTGTATAGCATGAAATCAAGTCAGGGATAGAAACATTTTCTAAATTGAGTGAGAGCTAGGGATTGTAAAGATGATACGCATACAGAAGAATGATATGATGGTGAAGAAAAAAGATAACGAATAAGATAGCAGGAGTAGCCCTTATTTCACTGAAGGCCAGTGGAGAAGTACCGCTTAGACCTGTTCTTTCTGAATGCATATTTTGGGCGTGATCAGTCTTATTGCGACAGCCTCCGCTATGTTGAGCAGGCGTTGGTGAGCTACATGTGGTATCGTCTTTGAAATATGATGAATGATAACGAAAGCTTTATTAGCATCTATGTGATGCCCTGTGTCTACTAGGTACGTTAGGACTGAACTTTTCACCGCTTTCACTTCACCTTTTCTGAACCAAGTCAGGAAAATGCTCTCGATTTGGAGGCGCACCGGTCTAGTCACATCTCCTGAGTAATTAGTTCCACGGGAACAGCTAAACTGATATATTCAAGATGAAGAGCTAAGATTAAGCAGGCTATCCTTCAGTCTCGGAATGAGCATTGGCTGACTGCTGAATGATATACAAAACCAGCTGCATAAAGTGTTCTATTGACTCCTCTAGCTAGGTGTTGTGATAGAATGTCACTTGAAGCATCTCCCTTGAATTATAAAGGCAGAAACAAAGGCTTCTTCTCCACTGTCATCAGTTGTTGTTAAGAACCTATGAGGTTGATGCTAGCTTTGATGAACTTATCCGGACATCCGCTTTCACTTAAAATATCACGGATACACAGTAGTTCTTTTCCAACACATTCCTTGGAACAAATCGATCTTACTCTAAACACCAGGCACTTTATTATCTTAAGTTTGTACGTCATCGATACGAGGATGAGAAAGTGCGTATATAGTGTCTTAGACGTCGGTTTTCTATATGCACTTCGCAGTATAAAGCCATCTTCTTTTCTTGTCATTAGCACATCAAGTAAATATATTTAACCATTGATTTCATTTTCGTATGTAAAGTGAATTGACGGGTGGGCGCTGCTGAAATGGTTGAGAATAGAATTAATACACATGCACCTGTCAAATACTAAAAACTAATCATCTATGAGTTGACAGCACAAGAAGAAGTATACATATAGAAGAACGATCGATACAATTCGGTCAGCACTCAAGAGTAGACGGTTTGAGACTGGTAACTCTCCAATGACTAATCAATGTATTTAGTACAGTCTTACAGGAGGTCAATAGTGACCAGAATAGACCTTAGGTAAAATCGCTGACAACAGCACTGGGTGATGCTGGTTCAAATTTCAGACAAGGAATGGGACACGTTATTAATCAAGTTATGGAGAAAACTATACAGCTCAATTCGTGCTGAAGTTTGTGCCGATGATTTTGTCTAGAATGACGGTGGAACCTTCACGATCGAACCATCCAGCTCAGACAACACAACGCCATCGAAATAATGATATCATATCTAGAGATACTCAGTAAATTGGGCTTACTGTCGAAAGTTTGGGAAAGTAATAAAGCAAGAGGCTGCACCTCCTTGGTTAAGCCATTAAACCAAGTCTCACAACAACGAATACAACAGCCATGTAGACCTTAAGCATAAAGCCTTTATGGCTAAGTCCAATAGTCTGAGACTTCACCAACATATGCGAAATTTTTGTCTGACCGTCCTCAGCTAATGAAGGTTTCAAATCGCATGAAGTGAACTATCGCTTTCACCTAGGAGTCCGCACTTAACCTCTGAATTATTCACTTGATGGTTCCGTAACACATTGCTAATGTCACGAAATCAACAGTCATCAGACACCAAAAATAGTTTAACATCATCCAGTTATCAGGGTCTTTTGTCCTATCTATAAAGTAAAACAAAGTGAACAGTTCGGAAATGCGTCCAGTGGGCAATCAGTTATTTTAGTGTTGTCCTAAGTTACGCAACTCCGAAAAATTTGACCAAGCCTTTCACATGCATACAGGGATTTCATTGGTCCCTAGTCCACAAGATGCAATGTTCCCAACAAGCTAAGCTAGGTTGCTGTATATCGTTATAAGATGGATACACGATGACCAGTTCTGAATTTAGATGATGAGAAATTCATTCAAAGCATTCCAAAACTATCACTCAGAACATCGAACTAATTCGACCCACAGAGCCGAATTTGATTGGGTGCGCCACTGATGAGCTCTGCTCTAAATGGGTGAAACAGCCATCTGCTGTTTAGATCACTCTAATCTGGCTGGCGAAATACTATAGATTAGGTTGACTGGTTCCTAACTACTCAAGTTGTTCGGTAGTAGTATCTTTTGCTGTTTCATGACACTTTTATCTCATGGATCACAACTAGTGATCTCAGATGAAGGTTTTCCAGCTGAAACCCTAGTAACATCACATTTGGGCATTAGAAACTTCCTCATCTGTGAGAAATGACAATGTGGGCAGTGAAATTTGTAAGTCATTTGCGAATTTTTCATTCTATGTCTAAAACTCTGCTTATTGTCAGTACTTTCTCCTTCTGCATATTGTAATTTGACTGAGGAATCTTCTGTGCGAACATCCATTTCTGCAAATTCAGAGTGGTAAAGAGCAAACTTAGTAAGACTTTTTATGACAAGCCAAAAAAAAGCAAAGTAGTCATTTATGAGAGACATCACTTGATGAGGATTACTAAACCAATCGCTTTATAGCATCTCCAACATGATCAAGAATCTTTGAGGTCCGAAGGCAGTCTGGTTTTCATGAGTTTCCCATTCTCCAGGTTCAGCATAGTGTCAAATGGTTATGTGACTTGGAATCTTAGGTACTATACTGATCAGGTTGGTACTTCTAGGAGTTATCAAATAAGGATTTTTCTCCCTCATTGAAGATGACCTCAACTAGAGATTGGGAGTAGTTAGATAGCATGTCTGAACTTCATATTCTGGACAAAATTTAATTCAGATCGATCAGTTGTTCATGCTTATCGTTCTTAAATACCTTCAATGCTAGTCCATGAGGACATGTTTCCCTTCCTTGTTTAAGGTAACTGACTATATTTTAAAATTTATGCCAATATTCTTTGTGAATTAATAGCGGACAAGAGAGGATTAGCTAGTGACCAGTTGAACCGATCCTTGAAGTATTATATGCTCTCAAGTTATGGGTTTAGGCTTTGAATCTTTCGCCATCCACTTCAACCTGAGAACTGGGTGGTTTCATAAATCCTCACGCAATAAGTATGGCTCACTCAAAGTTTTCTATTCTTCATTTCAATCGGTTGCCATAAAATTGGATCCCTGATTTATCTCTTTACTATGGTCCCACTAAGCAGCCAATTTTATACTTTTGACATTAATGAGTTTAAATATATGCCTACTGTCATCTACAACCAGTTAATTTTCCATCCCATTGTGCTTTGCTGTCAACCAACGCTGGTACTCATAGTGCATTCACTTAATTATTATTTATTGATGATGTCTACGTTTCCCGTTATGATATAAGCTTAAAGGAATCAACTCATGTACACCAAATGATGCGGATAAAGCTATGAGTTGCATTGAAACTTTCCTACTTTTCGTTTATTGCCATTTACGTTTCTTGCAATTATTATCACATCATACGTCAGACAGTTGTAAGCTTTACCGTTGACGAGTTATACTGTCATATCCTGATTAATGTCTAGCTATTTCGTCTTTAAAAATGGTATTAGCATCCTCATTATAGAACTCAGTGCATATGTTCCAATTATCCCCTGATAACGTTTAATCAGGAGGAGATATATGCATGCTCGGGTTAACTCATGATTGCTGTGCGAGCAGATACACTAAAATAGAGGGATATTTTCAAAAAAAGAAATTACTGGGTGTTACAATAAAAGGTATTCATGTCAGTGCATAATCCTAACTGTAGTTTTATTATTATTCCTAGGAATTGTTAAGAATATTGTTGAAATTAATGGTCTTCAAAGTTGTTTTAAGCAATGAAATTTAGAGAACACAGTCTTCGAAGAAGAAACAATAATCCCACAAACCATGGGTATTTTATAACAAGTATTCATCATAGAAGCGAAATTATATCTGAAATCCTGAAAGATTTCAGTTATACAAGGTGGAAATTAGTTGTTAATATTAGTAGGATGACATTTAAGTAGTATATTGTGTTGCTATTGCAGACATTTATGTAGAATTTTGTTTTTATTTTTTAGATTTTGTTTGTGCTGTGAAGTTTATTTAGCGGTTGGATTGGTTTTATGGGGTGGGGTTGCTAGCCCTACTCCCAACCTTTCCTCTTATCCCGGGCGTAGGACCGCCTAGAAACTAGTGAACTAGTTAGCCAGGCGAGGATTTGGATCTCGCCGATGACTTGTGTCTGATGTCACACAAACTTGAAGATCTACGGGCAAAAACTAACAAGTTGACAGAAGAGGCGAGGCAGCGAAGACAGGACTTCAAGTGAATATAGAGAGGACAAAGGTGATGAAGTTACTCAACCAATGTCACCACCAACAACAACAAACTCCAATCACCATCAACGGGAGAAACTTGAAGGAAGTAACCTCCTTCACCTATCTAGGAAGCACTGTTCCAACTACAGGCGGCACAGGCACAAACAAAGACGTCAAAGCCAGCCAGGATCGGAAACACTGCAAGACAGTTGTTCATTAGCCTGAAACCAGTGTGGAGATATTCTGCACTGCACTCAGCATGTGGAACAACATCCGGATTTTCAACACCAACGTCAAGTCAGTGCTTCCGTATGGTTGAGAGACTTGGCGCGTTACGAAAGGGATTTCCAACAAACTACAGACATTCATCAACAACTGCTTACGCTGGCTCGCTACTGAAGATCAGATGGCCAGAATAATAAGAATAAGCAACAAGGAACTCACTCTGGCAACGAACCACCGAACTAAGGAACTATCACCCAACAAATATGCATTGGGAGGAAGTGGAGATGGATTGGGCATACACTGAGAAGGCCTTTTGGGGACATCACGCGTCAGGCCAGGCTGTCGAGTGGAACCCAGATGGGAAGTGACGAGTTGGGCGTCCGAGGTGAGGGTGACATGGAGGAGATCGTGCGAGGAGGAAATGAGAGGTTGTGAGCTGTCGTGGAGCCAGGTTCAAAAGATTTTAGCGAACAGAGTGCATTGGAGACGTGCTACTGGAGCCCTATGTTCCATTAGGATCCCAAGGGACAAACAATAATGATAAAAATGTAGAATTTTGATAGTAAGAAAAAAGAAGTTGAGGTTCGTTTTACAAGTTCTGAAAATGAATGATTTATTCACTATGAATTCTGAAAGGTATATAAAACTAAGTAGAATGACCCACTTATAGTATTGGTACATTCCGGATTAACTTCTAACATAGTCTCATTGGCTTTCATCCAATTCATAATTGAATGAATGTTGTATAGATAAAATGAAGTCTGTACTAGTGGTTAGAAGGGACAAAATGATAAGTCATAAAGGTGATGAAACATCCCTTCCTGCTTTAAGGCAAGTAATATTAACAAAATCAATTCACTATCACAACTGTTAAAATGACTATTTGACTTCCTACTCTTCATATTTGAAAGATTTCAGAAGACAGTCACTTTTTAGGAGTACTCCACATGTAAATGGACATCAAAAGTTGATTTAAGTGGAAAAATCGGTTGGAAACTGTTTTCAGTTAACTTTAAACCATACCTTACCTGAAACTGGTATAAAATGTATCATCATGCTTAGTTTTTATCTAATGTTCAGCATCTTAATCATATTATATAAGATTTTCGTGTAATGAAAAAATGTTCCACATTTACGCTCCAGGGGAGTTTAAATTATTTATTTATCATAGTCTGCCTGCCTACTTCTATACAAAGTTCGCCACTGTTATTCTGATCTGCTTCTCCTCTGTCGTCAAACACAGCAAACTCCTTGGCGTTTATAGGAATGGATAATGACTTCGAGTCTCAGTAGGAACACCATCACTTACTGCAGTACGAGTATATCCAGCCTATGAGTTCTAAATAGGACGAAATATGCACCCTGGACTCTACCGGTAGTCATCAGTCGGAAATTTTGAGCTTCTGAAGATAAATTTATAGAAATGATCCAATCAACTTTGAAAAATTTCCATAAAGGTTACAGTTTAGAAGCAGTTTCGACTACACAGTTGCGTCATTTGAAGGGCTGTGAAAATACGCTAAGAGATGCCAGTCAACTTAAACATTCTTCCGCTTGTCCTTAATATTTCAAACCGTCATCCTGCCAAAAATTCAGACTGAAGGTTACGAAGATCTATGTTGAAATAGATCAGCCATAGTTACTTGATTATATCTCATTGTAAACTTTTATATCAGTCACTTTTTTTCGCATAAATTTGGAGTGACTTCAACGGCCAACCAATATCTCAGTTTTGTCTTTGAGATAAATGTGATTGGTCTATTCATGTCCTTCATAAGGTCATTCGATACACGTGAGTTTTACATACTGGCTTTTTGTTCAGCTTCCTATCATTTTTGTGCTAATTAGAAGTACGATACACGTTTCCAGTTTTGTGTGTACAGCATTGGTGTATTTTTGTTAAATATCTAGTCACAAATTGATGTTTACTCATACGTTTCACGTAGTGATTGCATGGTTGTCCCGGTGGCGGATATATGTTCGTTTTACTTACGTGCTAACGATGTATACAAATTTTTTTTGATGAAACAGCTAACTACAGAACTTAGGGCTTCAAATGCTCTCTGTTAGTCTCCAATATTTTGGCACTCAGCAACAGACCAGAGTTGAAGAAAATACTCTCTGTATTCCAGCTAAGGGTTGTAAAATGCCTGGAAATGTATTTTTATTTACAGTGATATACTCGTACTCGCATAGGTGTCTCGTATATTGATTTCATACTAACCAATATAAAAACATTAAGGTTCATTCATAGTGTGTGCCGAATATGGTCACAGTTGACTAACTGAATCGTTGATAAAATCAACACAGAACGTCGCGCACAGATACATCGGCCCAAGTTGCTACACTTTAAAACAATACACAAAAAAGGTAGAAAAAGAGTAATACACAAGGTAAAGAAAGCAGTGAGAGAGAATAAACAATCTGGAAGTAACGGTTAATACAAATATCCAAGCATCAGAAGAAATGAGGGAGTGACTAACACTGCGCTACTGTGGCCGATTAGCAGCCAGTCACCAAGAGGCCTCAACTACTGGTTCCATTCTTGTCAAGAATCCTAACTAGACGGTCTACACCTCGCCATATAACTAAGAGCAGTAATGACTGGTTGCAGGTGTTGTTCTGGTCACACTGAACCCTCTGCCAACCTTATTCAAATTGTCCGAGCATGTCATGATGAGGAACCGCGCCTGGTTAACTAGTTTACTAGTTACTAGCTGGTCCTAAGCCCGGGTAAAGAGGGAAGGTTGGGGGTAGGGCTAGCAACCCTACCCCATAAAACAAATCCAACCGCTAAAAGAACTTCAAAGCACAAACAAAATATAAAAAATAATAATAATGTCATGATGAGGTAGGCGGTTTATAACCTTTTCAGTCGTTGGACTTACCTGTCTTGACTACTGTCCTTCGCCTGACCTCAATATTGCTCACATGGTGATCACACCATACATGGTCATTGCTACGAAAACATTTATGATCAAGACCCTATAACAGCTTCATGTCTTCTACTTTAACCGCCATGTCTCACCACGATATAACAGTACAGAACGAACTGTAGCCCAGTAAACTTGTCCTTTGATGGATATTAAATATCTCGCCAGTTGGCGCCAGAGATTATGCAAGTTGGTGAATGCTAAGCGGTCCCTCTGTATCCCAGCTAAGATTTTGTCAGAAACTAACCCGTTTGTGGTGATGCAATTCCCCAAGTAAGTGAAGCAGTCGACACATTTCACCATTTCACTTCTTATCAAAGCCCGTAGTATCATCTTATATCTGACAGATGCAGAGCGTATGCTAAGACCCTGCAGGTTGTCAGCATTTGAACATAGTTTGCGTACTTCAAGTCAACTAGGTGACCTCCAGTGAGTAGGTCAACCCTTGTCAGAATTCAGGCTCATTCACTCAAAGAATGGCCAACACGCACTAGAACTTAAATAGGCTTTTTATTAAATGAGTAACTTTTAAGTTTTCACAATAGAATAAGGGCGGTTCAGCAACACCGTAGCTAAAGTGAGTTACAGTTGTAACATAAATCATCTAAGCCTGACTCATCATTTCACATTGTAAACAGTTTTAAACTCGTGTTTTATCTAGTAAAATTTCCCTCGATTGCACTTATGGGTCACTATTTCTACTACTACTACTACTACTACTACTACTACTACTACTACTACTACTACTACTACTACTACTACTACTACTACTACTACTACTACTACTACTACTACTACTACTACTACTACTACTACTACTACTACTACTACTACTACTACTACTACTACTACTACTACTACTACTACTACTACTACTACTACTACTACTACTACTACTACTACTACTACTACTACTACTACTACTACTACTACTACTACTACTACTACTACTACTACTACTACTACTACTACTACTACTACTACTACTACTACTACTACTACTACTACTACTACTACTACTACTACTACTACTACTACTACTACTACTACTACTACTACTACTACTACTACTACTACTACTACTACTACTACTACTACTACTACTACTACTACTACTACTACTACTACTACTACTACTACTACTACTACTACTACTACTACTACTACTACTACTACTACTACTACTACTACTACTACTACTACTACTACTACTACTACTACTACTACTACTACTACTACTACTACTACTACTACTACTACTACTACTACTACTACTACTACTACTACTACTACTACTACTACTACTACTACTACTACTACTACTACTACTACTACTACTACTACTACTACTTTTCCCTATTCACTACTATTATCCAATGGTTTCAACAGTTCATGCAGTGATAACACGTGAACATTTAACAAAAAAAACTAGTTCACTTACTTATCCAATGGTGAATCATCATCTTGTATAGCTGTAATATACGCTGGAGGTCTTAAATCATCAGCGCCTTCTTTATACTTTGCTGATTCAAATTGTAGTGGTCGAATAAATAAATGAAAATCATTATAACCCATTCGATTTGATAAATTTAAGTAGATTTTCGATAGTACTTCACACTCCCACATACAATCAATTAACCGATGTCGAACAGTAATTAAGTCTAACAAACGACCTAATTCATTTAATAAGAAAATTTGACGCGCCTTCTTATCACCACGTGAATTACGCTGTTGTACAGAAAATAAGTATTGATTGCACAATTCTGACATTTGTATTGCATCTTCAATGAGATAGGATGAAAACAGCTGAGTTATTGTTTTATGTTATTGTCAGATTGTGTGACGAAAACAAGTAATGCGTCATTGTATATTGTCGTACCCATTTGCATGAAGGAGATAAAAAAGATAAAAAGGAAACTAGATGAATCAGGAAAGACAGTCATAGGCATCCTTCAGACCCTAATCACCTAAACGTCATGATAAGCTTTTATCTGATGAAGTCAATCGATACTTAGCTGACTATTCAGGCTATTAACTAACATGTCAGCGATCTTTATTACTTGTTGATTTCGTTGATAATAACATTTAATCCACAGTCATTGATACTAGATCTAAAAACATTTCTTTTTCTGGCTTTTAGGACTGAAAGGGACAGCTCTTGTTGGCTTACTTGCCCTCTAAATCTCGATTATTTTTGATTATGGATTATAGTAGAATGTGAAAAGGGCATCCCGTTCTCTATATCACTCATCAGCTGAAAGTACTTGGATTACTTTGTAACATTATTTTAACTTTGATGGAATACAGGATAAGCTATTCTATCTGTATAAAAAAGTTATATCTGCAGTATTTCATAAATAATAAATAATCTAAGCTAATACATCATTTTGTTATGAAATACATTGTATTTATTTTGTGTTAGGCTGCTGCGTGCCGAAATTGATCAATCATAAAACTGTGAGTTTGGCTTCATAGGTCGAGACAAGTTTTAAGCGACCTTCTGTTACCACTGTTTCAAAAACTCAATCTGTATCACTAATCGCCAAACATTAGACCAGGTTCATGGCCTACTGCATGAACTAACAAGCTTTAAAACTGTGTCTGTCAAAAGACCTACTTCATTTTTCCATATAATGCAGTCATGAAGAAAAGAGTTGTGCCCAACAGGAGTTATATGTGCGTATCTTTACTCCATTCTGATGAATGTCATGGTGTTTTGAAAAATGCTAAATACTTGACAAACTACTTAAATCTGCTACATAAAATATGAAGTGAATTGAAAAAAACTTCCATAATGATGACATTCAGTGTTACAAGACATGATGCCATTTCTTATAATATTATGAATGTCAGTGAATGCTGTAAACCCTAACTTTAAAAGTGAGCCAAGTTTCTCTTAAACTGAATTGGTGAATTCAAACAAACAAACGAAATATTCGATTAACAAGGCGTGCCTAGTGACTATGTCTCGGAGGTACTGAATTTGCTCAGTATTCCAGGAAATATTTGTACATAGGATATGTATCATATGCACACAAATTGACATGGAAATCGGATAAAAACTTTAGTGAGTTACGTGAAATAGAGATCTGATCAGTTGGTATAGCAGTGAAGCGGTAACCTCAAGGTTCCTGGTTTATAATCCTGCTACGATACAGATTTTTATCTCATCTTCAATCATCACCTAGTATCAGTGTTAAGAGTCTACCTGAGGTAGTGATAGTAATTTATAATGTATATATGTTACACTATGCATATTAAACTTACATCACGTTGAATTTGCGCTGTATATGATGCACCTAATGGTTTCAATGTATCAATTTCATATTTAAGGTAATCAAAAAAATTTTTCTCAAGAATAACACGTTCAATTTGACTTTCAGGTGTGAATATATTGAAAGCTATACGTACGCTTTCATCAATTCCTTCAATTAAACTTGGTGTACACGCCAATGATGGGTGAAATTCTAATAGATGAACAGGACATAAAACTGGCCTAGAAATAAAATTTAGAAACAAACAGGAATAACCACAATAATATCTATAAAATTAAGAGGTAACTTATTAATAAAGTATTTGTAATTTGCTGAGTAGAAATTAAAGCAATAAAGCTCAATATTAAGGAAAGATAATCAGAGCATAATATGTCTTGACGTGGAGATGGATTGGGCATACACTGAGAAGGCCTTTTGGGGACATCACGCGTCAGGCCAGGCTGTCGAGTGGAACCCCGATAGGAATCGACGAGTTGAGCGTCCGAGGTGAGGGTGACATGGAGGAGATCGTGCGAGGAGGAAATGAGAGGTTGTGGGCTGTCGTGCAGCCAGGTTGAAAGGTTTGCAGAAAACAAAGTTCACTGGAGACGTGCTACTGAAGCTCTATGTTCCATTAGGAACCCAAGGGACAAATAATAATAATAAATATGTCTTGACACCTATGCAAATATTCAGTACATATGGAATGATGCATAAGGTTGAGAAAATCCAGTGATTATCAGGATATTCCAATTAGTCACCTTCAGCCTACCAGTATCGTGCACCACCGGCTGAGCTAGCTAGGCTTGATTTTCGCTTTGACAGGATTGTACTTCGCTAAGTTTTGACAGTAATCATAAGCACTATCTAGCAGTGGAATTCAGGACGCGTGTTTCATCCTACTGGAACCAGTCAGCTGGGTGTGCCAGCCTTCTAGTGATTAATGTTGTTCCCAGTCATGAATACCGCAACTGAAACTACCGGCAACAGCAGGTGATGAGCTCGGTCCAATTAAAAGTGGAGAGACACAAGCCATGTAATCAAAAAAACTTCGCTCAGTTGTTGTTTAAATCGTAGTTCTGTGGCTGTTTCGTCCGCAGCGTACTTGGCAAAGCACTTGGTGTTTGAAAAATAATTCAGATCTGGTTACCAACTGGGTTTGATAGTTCGACTGACAAGCCTACAGGCAGGTAATCCAAAGTCTGTTGGCTTAGTTCCTAAGAGAATCCAGTTTCTCAGTCAAAATTCATCAATATTCTTTGAAGTAGGGGTCAGTTCACCGACTAAGACTATTTAAGTGGATATGTATGAGTATGCGTGTGTGTGCGCATGAAATTAGTTTACACGAGACATCAGCAACCGAAGATTAAATACCTAATCATATTTCCTATGTGTGCTCGGGTGTCTTAGGTCTTCCTCTGCACTGTAAGCACTATAGTATTGTACAGCTTTGTGGGCTTACCATTCATTCAGTTAGATAAAGAATCTGTTCTCTGCATCTTATAAAATGAATACTTAGAATGCATTAAGCAGGAAGTGTCTGTGAAAATTTCCTATCTCAAACAGCGCACTTGCAATCATGCATAAATCTTTTCACAAATAACTTCAAAAGATTTCAAGCCTTACATATTTCTCATATATACTTTCTTCATCTATAATCCCAATGAGAACTTGATCATAATGGTATGAAATTAGGTCAAAGTAGTATATTCATGAGAAGGACTGAAGTAAAACAGATACACTTACATGTGTACTGTACAATTTAAAATCATCGTTACTTAACTCAGTCGACAGCGATTTTTCAGTAAAGCATTATACACTAGAAAGTTACCACCGATACAAAGAAACACTTGAATTCAATGAACAGTGTCATAATGAAGAAAGAATCTTCTGGTAACTGCAAAATTTGTGTTCAGATTTCACTCATGCATAAATTTCACATTAATTTTCCTACAGCTAGAATTTGAATACAAGCATGAAACAACCAGTTGTGTTTCACAGATTGACTACTTCAACGATACAAAAGCCAATCGTTTTCCTTCGTGTACATTTAGCCATATAATGTCATACTGAAACATCATCAAAACATTTATTTACAATAAAAACGTCATTACTATTCAGAAAAAACATTCATCCACAAGAAAGTGTTAAACATTTTAACAAAAGCATAGAATAACCTGTTATTTCATACTCGCCTAGTTTACTAACCGGTCCTAAGCCAGGATAAAGAGGGATGATTGGGTGTAGGGCTAGCGAACTTACCCCGGAAAATCAATCCAATCGCCAAAGGAACTTTAAAGCACTGACTAAATGTATAAAAAACTTAATCTTCACTGGAATCAGGCAGACGAAATGATACCGATTGATGAAAGCTTTCGGGAAGCCAGTTGGCCAATGTGCCCTCTCTTGGTGGAAGCAAAAGTAAGTTTAGATACGTATAATATCAGCACAGTTTTGAAGCTTTACTAGAAGATTTGGATTTCGCCGATGATGATCTATGTATAATGTCTTACGTCGCACCACCTTGAAGATCTATAGGCGAAAACCAAAAAGTTGGCAGAAGAGGCGGTGAAGATGGGACTTCCTTCAAGTGGACGTAGGACAGACAGAGGTGAGGGAGATACGCAACCAACAATGGCGATAACAACAAGCAGCGATCACCATCAACGGGAGAAACGTAAAGGAAGTTATCTCTTTCACCTACCTACCTAGGCAGTATCGTTTAAATTACAGGCGGTACAGACACAGATGAGGACGTCAAAGCCAGCCAGGTTCAGAAAAGCAAGACTGACCTTCATTAGCCTGAAATCAGTGTGGAGGTCTGTTGCACTGCACTCAGCGTAAAGTGTGAACAAGATCCGGGTTTCCAACACTTATTCAGTCAAGTCAGTGCGTCTATATGGTTGAGAGACTTGGCGCGTGACGAAAAGCATTTCCAACAAACTACAGACATTCATCAACAGCTTCCGCCTTCGCTCACTCCATACTGAAGATCAGATAGCAAGAAAAAATAAGCAACAAGGAACTCTGACTGGGAAGGGACCAACCAGGAACCCATCGTCTTTTATATATACAGAATAAAGTGGAGATTGGTTGTATTGAACATACACTGAAAAGACCAAATGGGGACATAACATGCCAGGCCAGGCTGTCAAGTGGAACCCAAATAGGAAACGATAAGTTGAGCGTCCGAGGGCGACATGGAGGAGATCGTGTGAGAAAGAAATGAAAGCTTATGGGTAGTCGTAGAGCCAGGTTAGAAAGACCGCAGAGAACTGAGTGAGATGGCGAAGTTCTACTGAAGCCCTACTTCCCACTAGGAATCCAAGGGAAAAATAAAAATAATAAATTGAGATTAGTTAGTTAGATAAGATGAAATTTTATTTCATTAGTTCGTGAGCTAATACTTATAGCAAACAATCACAGCTAACGTACATGTTTGAATACATTCTGGGTTATTTTAGTACCTCATCGGCTCCATGAAACTCACTATGGTATACGGAGTTTTTCCAGAAATTTCCGGAAGTCTGGGATCATATATAAACATCTAAATAATACTTATGCTTCAAGACATCAGAATCGTCAATGGATTTCCTGTAAACCATATTGGTATGCTGACAAAAGTATTTACAAGTAAGGGCCTCGGAACATATTCCAAAGTGGCTTCAGAAGCAAATCAGATCACCTGAACCTATAAATGTTGGTAGCAAACGTCCAAGCTCTTCGATCGCTAAACATATCGTTGAGACAGGTCACAAGATTGATGTGGCTACTTCCTTTACACCTATCTACAAAACATGTTGGGGAGGGATCCTGAAATTTGTTGAAGCCTTAGCTATTAGGAAGTTTAAACCACCTTTATGTATTCATAAACAATTTGTTGTCACATTAAACCTTCCTTGGAAAATTCAACTATTGAAAAACCAAGTTCGATGTACTATTATTTTTTCGCCCTATTGATTTTCATTGTTATTCGGCCTTTAAGTCAGCCTTCCTACCTGACCCCCTTTTTGTTTTCTCACCCCTTATCTTCATGAGTTTTTATATAAATACCTATGACAAGTACGTGTGTGATCAGATAGTTCGAAATGTGTTGCGCAAATACATTACACGGTTCAGACAATTTACGTCTTCTTATTGTTTTGTCGAAGTAAAAGTATTTACGCTAATGGAAAACGGATTTTTCATACTAACTTAAGAAATCAAGTTTGGTCCTTATGAATAATGAACAAATATCTGTTACGTTTCCCAAAATAAATGTAATTTTGAGAGAATATACATCAATTTTATATAAGGTCTAGGCGCTTATGAACTACACCGAAACTAGTCATATATAGTTCCAAGACAGTTTTGTTAATCTCATTAACTTACATTTATATTTGATAAAGTAATCAGAAATAGTAATAACCACAGATTTGATATATGCTTTTCAGTATGTGAGTGATACACTTCTACGTGTCTATTTACATTCATGATAATCTTTGAAATATTTAACCAGTATAGGATAAGTAATTAAACTAACTACAGTTCAACTTACTCATCTGTACTTGAAGCAATCAAAAATTTCTCTATCAATGGTGGTGGCAGTCCATATTCTGATTTGTCAGTGCTCACCTTTTTCAAATATTCACGTTCATTTAAAATCTAAAATTTTAAAGACCACTTTTGTTAAATAGGCTTGCCATAGCTCACACTGAGCCATGGGTTACAAAATGGGTGCATTCTTATTTTTCTGAAAGGAAACAGTAAACTATTCATAAAGGGATGCGCTCCACTTCATTGCTTACTGAAGCTGGTATGCCTCAAGACGTTGTACTTTCTCCTTTTCTGTTTTCCTTCTTTTTGCACGATTCGCCTTATTCTGCTGAAACCAATTTTATCAAGTATGCTGATGACCTGACGATTTCTATTTCAGTAAACTCTTCTTTGAATTGCTCGTAATTAAATGAATTCTTGTCTGAGGTTGGCAAATGGTTTCAAACTAAACCCCTCTAAATGTCAGACCGTTAATTTTAGCCTCAGATGTAAACAAGGCTTGTGTGAGCTGGTTAAATCTCATGACGCATGCTGCATCAATGGTATTTCTTCAGAAAGTAAATCGAGTGTAAACTATCTTGGGTTGCGTTTTACTTCTGACCTTTGTTGGTAGTCTTATATCTTGAAGACTACTCAGAAAACCTGTCGTTTAGCGCATTACGTAAAGAGATTGATGCTTTCTGGTGTAACTCAACTGCTTCCTGTACAATTTGTTAATTCCTGCATTTTACCTATTCTTCTATATTGTTCCCCATTAATCTTTCCTGGTCTTCTTAAAAAGGACTATGTTATGTTGTGCAGGGCTTTGAAGGCCGTCAGCAGAGTGAGTGGTGTATCTCTGGCTCAACTGATTAACACTGTAGTTGATCGACATATAAATTCCTGCAAGCTACTAGCTACAGAAATGTTAACTGACAGTGAGCATCCACTTCATTTACAGCTCTCCCCATGTATCTCCTCAGGGAGAACAAGGAGAAGCTACATAAGACTGTATGCTCGTACAGCTAAGTATAAGAACTCGACTGTACCTTACCTTGCACGTATATTTTGTGAGGAAAAAAGTGTTAGAACAGAAATCACACATCAACTTTGTGACAGTTAGAAATCTCATTCCAATAATTTAACTTACAATGTAAAATTTTCTCGCTTTTAATATTCTTCACATAACTTAAATTTTTATAATAAAACAATTCGGAAGGCTGCAAAGTAGTATGTATATACTTATATTTTGTTGTTATTGCAATATGTATTGCGCTGAAAATTCTAAATTGTACCACAAATTGTTTGGAATAAAGTGAATTATCATTACTATTATTATTATTATTATCATTATTAAGAAACTAACTATTCGTAATTAGCAATACTATAATCAAATGATTTTAAGCCTAATTAATTCTAAGATAAAAGTCTGATATAAAAAATGGCAAAAATGTAAGGATTTGAAATAACAGTATCTTGATTAAAATTTTACGTATTAATATTATTTACCATTTTGAGATGAACAACCATAGATAGTATAAACCAAAGTTAAACAATTTACAATTTTTAGAGAAAGTAGAACAGCTCAAGTTTTCCAACTTTTCAATAGATGTATCATATCAAGTTGTAACACTTCACGACACTACATAAAGAGGACGTCATTTAAAAAAGAATGGTATAGACAGCAACAAAGAGAGCAAGTAGAAATATTTCGTTAAAGACATTCGATATTTCGAACATCAAGACAACTGAACTAAGGTAATCGAACTGAAGAAACATCACCAATGGTCTATAATTGTTGATTCCTGTCATTTCAGCAGCTCTAGCAAGGTAAACTAAGCATCTCTTTAGATAGGTGAAACACATTCAGAGGTCTGATGAATAGGTGTATCGTCTCAAACCATCCATGCTTTGTTTTCCTCCTGCAACAATATATATCCCGAATTGTTAGAAACATAAAGAGAGAGGGTACCTAAGATTATTCAGTTGATTTTAACCTGTCCACAAGTGATCTGATATGATTTGAAAATTACAATTCCTCAACCGGCAGCACCGTCTCAATTACAGGTGGCACAGACAAGGATGTCAAAGTCAAAGTCCGTGCTTCTGTATGGTTGAGAGACTTGGCGCGTTACGAAAGGGATTTCCAATCAACTACAGACATTCATCAACAACTGCTTACGCTGGCTCGCTACTGAAGATCAGATGGCCAGAATAATAAGAATAAGCAACAAGGAACTCACTCTGGCAACGAACCACCGAACTAAGGAGCTATCACCCAACAAATATGCAGGAGGAAAAAGGAGATGGATTGGGCATACACTGAGAAGGCCTTTTGGGGACATCACGCGTCAGGCCAGGCTGTCGAGTGGAACCCAGATGGGAAGTGACGAGTTGGGCGTCCGAGGTGAGGGTGACATGGAGGAGATCGTGCGAGGAGGAAATGAGAGGTTGTGAGCTGTCGTGGAACCAGGTTTAAAAGATTTCAGCGAACAGAACGCATTGGAGACGTGCTACTGGAGCTCTATGTTCCATTAGGAACCCAAAGGACAAATAATAAATAACATCTGAATAATTGCCAACTTCAAGGAAATCTGTTCAAAATGAAAGTAATTGGGAACTAATACTGAGATTAGTCAAACAAAAGACAAATTCCTATCAGAATGTTAAATGAGGAAAAGGGTTGAAACAATGGGTACTGAATTACGGTGGCGTTGAGTTCTCTGAGCTGAAAGCCTTATCATTCCAGACAGCATCATCAACACGAACATACCTTTAGCAAAATTGTCAACTATCATGTGTGAAAGTTTCATTCAACAAGGAATTCTGTGAGTTTTTTTATTGTTTTCCTGGTGCCCTCATCTTAAAGTTATGATTATCAACTCAGTTTAAATATAAAGGAGCATGTCAACTTATTAAACTATCAGTAGTATATAGTGTTGAATCAAAGTTCCAAGCTGCCAGCTTTATGAAGTACGAATAACAAGCTAGCATGATGGATTAAAAAATTATTTGAAAAATACTACGGTTTTTCCAATACTAGATTTATTCATTTAATACAGCATGCAGTCGTATATTATATCTTGCTGGATGACGTTTTGAGCTCAGTTTATTGTTATCAATCACAATGAAATATTCACACAACTTTCAACAACTGATTTTTGTGCTTCCTTGACTTGTCATTGGCTACTTTGATTGCAACAGAATTCTCCAAGGAATAATAGCTGATCGAGTTGTAAAGATTGGGTGTAGGAAGTTGCGTGACTACGCTTGAATGGTTCATCATCCAGTAAAGAATACAGTATAAATGTGAACTATACCATCATTTGTAAACTACATCAAATGAACAAATTTAGTATGGAAATACAGTGTGCTGCAGTACACAAATTCTACAGTTATATTGAAGAAGAACTAATGAGTGACCTTGAAAAAAGTGTGGCAGTTTAACTTGTCAGTTTTGACAACGGTACATCATTTACAGGAAATTAACGGATCACAGTGATATTTAAACAGCTAAGCAAGATATAAGAAGACTGAATGAATCAACGAAGAATCACAAAACATTTAAAAGCTTGAAAAAGATAAGTATGTAAAGTATCTGCATAAATATCAACCGTATGATGAAGGATTCAAAATTACTGAATTACTGAATTGACTTGCACGTAGGTTCCTAAAAGATTCCATTGAAGCGTTGATAAAATTAAAAGCTTCACTATGAAGACTTTCATTTATCAATAAAGTTAACACAACGGCGTAGTATACAACGTAATCGAATTTCCAACTATTAGTATAATTATGATTTGTCCCCTGGGTTCCTAAAGGAACACACAGCTCCAGTAGCACGTCTCCAATGCGTTCTGTTCGCTGAAATCTTTTAAACCTGGTTCCACGACAGCCCACAACCTCTCGTTTCCTCCTCGCACGATCTCCTCCATGTCACCCTCACCTCGGACGCCCAACTCGTCACTTCCCATCTGGGTTCCACTCGACAGCCTGGCCTGACGCGTGATGTCCCCAAAAGGCCTTCTCAGTGTATGCCCAATCCATCTCCTTTTTCCTCCTGCATATTTGTTGGGTGATAGCTCCTTAGTTCGGTGGTTCGTTGCCAGAGTGAGTTCCTTGTTGCTTATTCTTATTATTCTGGCCATCTGATCTTCAGTAGCGAGCCAGCGTAAGCAGTTGTTGATGAATGTCTGTAGTTGATTGGAAATCCCTTTCGTAACGCGCCAAGTCTCTCAACCATACGGAAGCACTGACTTGACGTTGGTGTTGAAAATCCGGATGTTGTTCCACATGCTGAGTGCAGTGCAGAATATCTCCACACTGGTTTCAGGCTAATGAACACCTGTCTTGCTTTTCCGATTCTGACTTTGACATCCTCGTCTGTGCCGCCACCTGTAGTTGAAACAGTGCTTCCTAGATAGGTGAAGGAGGTTACTTCCTTCAAGTTTCTCCCGTTGATGGTGATTGAAGTTTGTTGTTGTTGGTGGTGACATTGGTTGGGTAACTTCATCACCTCTGTCTTCTCTATATTCACTTGAAGTCCTGTCTTCGCTGCCTCGCCTCTTCTGTCAACTTGTTAGTTTTCGCCTGTAGATCTTCAAGTTTGTGTGACATCAGACACAAGTCATCGGCGAGATCCAAGTTTTCTAGGTTCTTTTCCGCAGTCCAGCGTATCCCTCTCTTCTCACAGCTCCCCACTGTTTGTTGCATGATCCAGTCGACCACAATCAGGAATATCACGGGTAGAGGTAGGCAACCTTGTTTCACTCCTGTCTTCACTTCAAAAGCGTCACTGAGCTTCCCATGTTGAATTACTTGGCATGTAGCGTCTTCATACAGTTGTTGAATGAAATTGATAAAGCTTTGTGGTATTTCGTAGTATTGAAGCAATTTCCAAATTACCTCTCGGTAGACGCTGTCAAAGGCCTCCTCAAAGTCGATGAAGTGGAGGTAGAGAGCTGATTGCCATTGTATATACTCTGTTCTATGATGATGCGAAGCGTTGCAATTTGGTCTCCACATGATTTATACTTCTTGAAGCCTGCCTGTTCCAGTCGTCATTCTGAATACAGCCCATCCTTTAGTCTCTCCAGGATGATGCGGCTTAATATTTTGCTTGGGGTGGACAGGAGCGTGATTCCGCACCACTTCTGTCAAGCAATTTTGTTGCCCTTCTTCGAGAGTTTGACAAGGCAGCCCTTCCTTCAATCAATCCTCAAGTACCTTCCATTCCATCCAGAACTTTGCAGTAGTGGCGTGAGCATGTCCCCTGTTGTCTATACGTATGTTCTCACATTGTAGTTCTGCGGCTGGCCTGCAGGTGGTATTCCTGGACGAAGTGCAGGTGGTGGTCGATTCAAGAGATTTTTGAAGTGGTCAGCCCATTGTTTAATTTGTTTCTCCTCTTTGTCAACTAGCTTTCCTTCATCATCTTTTATTGGTTTCATCTGTGTTAATCTCTTCACTACCAGATAGTAACTTAGTAATTTGATACAATATTGTCAAGTCTCTCCTACCTGCAGCCTGTTCTGCTACACTTGCCAGTGTTTCGTAGAAGTGTCTCTTGTCTCTGCGCGCACTCTTCTTCACTTCTTTGTCCTGTGTTTTATACATTGTACTCAGTTCCTCTTGTCGTTGAGCATCCTTGCACTGGTTCATCTTCTGCTTCACCATCCTCCTCTAATCTATCAGCTTCCATGTATCCGTCGAGATCCATTCCTTATCTTCTTTCTTCTTCCTTCCTAATACGGTTATGCAGGTTTCTTTCCACATAGCTTTCAAAGACTTCCAGTGTTCTTCCACACAGGTTTCTTCAGGGATGTTCCTCGATGTCTCCCATTTTGTCTTGATGGCTGACGTGAAGATCTTCTTTGTAGTTCCATCCTTCAATTTCCGAGTGTTGTACTTGAACTACGGTCTATCACCAGCTTCCTTGAAGGCTTTTAACTTGTTTTGGAAGGTTCCTTGCACTCGATAGTGGTCTAAACCTACATCTGCTCCTCTTCTTGACCTTGTGTCAAGTAGGTTGACTGCGTCTCCACTTTCTTCATATTGACATGAAGTCGATCTGATTTTTAGTGTAGTGTGTCCTTCTGGCGAAATCGAATCCATGTCGCTTTGTGGATATCCTTGTGCTTGAGCACACTGCCTCCAATCACCAAATCGTTGAATGCACAGAATTCTGCAAACAATTCTCCATTCTCGTTCATTTCACCTGGCGCTTCTCGGCCCATGCTTAGTTCTCTTCCTGTGTTGTCCATGGCATTTATATTAGCATTTATGTCGCCCATTAGAATTTCGATGTTGCCAACTGAGGTCTTGTCCAGTGTTGATTGCAGTTGTCTATAAAATTCCTCCTTTTTCTCTTGATCTGCATTATTTGTAGGTGCATAGTATTGGCATTGTATGATTGTGACTTTCCTTCCATTTGAGTTGAACCATGCTGTCATGATCCTGCAAGAGGAGATCGGTTCCCACCGCATGAGAGCCTCCGATGCTGTTGGGGACATCATGATAGCCACTCCAAAGCTCAGTGTGCTCGTGGTTGTCGTCTGGGTGACCGTAGTAGATTATTGATTCTCCAGTTGACAGTTTGGAGAGTCCACTTCCATTCCATCTGCTTTCGCAAATCCCAAGCACCTCAGTGTGATACCTTCTCATCTCTTTTGCAATCTGGGCTGCCTTGCTGGGTTCAAACATCGTGCGGACATTCCATATCCCCACGTTTACTTTTGCCTTCATCGAGAGAAGACACATCGGCCAATTGGCTTCCTGAGGGTTTTCACCAACTGGCGTCATTTCGCCTCTCCGATTCCAGCGAGGAATAATTTTGTTTTTATTTTTATATTTTGTTTGTTCTGTGAAGTTTCTTTAGCGGTTGGATTGGTTTTACGGGGTGGGGTTGCTAGCCCTACTCCCAACCTTCCGTCTTTACCCGGGCTCAGGACCGGCTAGTAACTAGTGAATTAGTTAACCAGGTGAGGTTATAAATTATTGCAAGTCTCCTCGAACACAATATGCACTCCACTGTTCAAAATATTTTCCGAAGCAGTTAATTATGACTTAATTAAGGGTAGTGGCTAACAGTAGAATCCATACCGCAGGTTTAATCCTATTCAGCACTCGTCGGCTGGATGCACGTGCCTCCCAGTAAGGGTTGTCCCCACCGGGACTGGATCTCAGGATCGACCGCTCTAAAAGCCAGCGGGTTTTCCACTATGCAACCAACACGCTACAATCACACCTTGTGCGACGTGTATAATTTTAGTGTAGTTACTTGTATTATCCGTCCTGGAATCCACTGCTAACCATTACCACTCAGTAATATATAATCAAAAGCACAGGCAATATCGAGGCATCCATACAGGAGCCTATTTGAAAGTACAGACTGATCAATTCGCTCCAGTTAACGAGTGGATAGTACAAGCAATAACAATTAATATGACTTTTAAAATGAAAATGAAACTTGTCAAAGATTTTCGCATTTACCTGATGAGTAAGAACTGATCGCATTATTTCTGTACGTTGCCTTAGAATAGCACATTCATATCTGTAGGCTGTAACAAAATAATTTTCACTGAAATCAATTCTTGGCCTCTTATACATTAAATCGGTCATCGTTTGTGCCAACAATCGTCTACTATCCCTTGATATCACATGGTTATATGCTTCTAAATAAATATCCAATAACTGAATAAAAAAAGAAATGAAATTACCGATTGAAAATTACTTCATGATTCACAACTATTTAGATAAAATGTTTCACTCTTACGTAACAATCAGCTCTTTTCTCCAAAGGAAAATTAAAATTAGGTTTGTGTCAAAAGATACTTTTTCTAAAAGAAAACTCTAATGAAGCTAACAATTTCGCTGATATGACGTCTGAGAGGTAACAATAAAGTTCAAAGAACATCAAACAGTCGTTAAACTCATCTTCAGTTACAAATCTATACCACTGCTAGTGTATTATTATTGAAAATTATTTTCTTCTAAGTATCTTGGAGACAAACAGAAAGATAAAACTCCGTCTCTGGAAATTCAATGAATCAAATCCCTAGGTTCTCTTTCTTATCCGACTGTTATCGCTCACCCAATTAAAATAAAAGCTTTTACTGCATATTGGGACATGTCAGTCTAATGACACATAGTTCATTGCTGAATCTTGAGCTTGAAGAAACCAGGTTTCATAGGCACAGAAAGCAAACGCTCTCAGGGGTGCGTAACATACCAGATCTTTTAGAGCAAGGTTAATGTCATGATCGCATGAAAAGTAGTCAGCGCATGCACTTTTTACCTTTGAAAAGTAGCAGGTTATCGTATCAGTCCCATCTTCACCAGAACTCAAACACCTACCTGGCAACACAATTTTTTCAGCAACTTCTGACGAATCCCCACTTAGGAGGAGTGCATGTATAGGCTCCTGGCATTCTTGTACAGGTACTTCACATTTTGATGCCATTTTGAAGTACCAGTCGTTCAAAAAGCTACAAAACTACAAGATCCTTGTAGATCAGTTGGTAGAGAATCAGACCGGAAACCCAGTGGTCACCGATTCGAATCCTGCCGCGGAGTAAATTTCCATTTCTCATTCATTTACCATCCAGTATCTGCCAAACCATGGATTTATCAGATGACCAAAATGGTGGTGAAGGATACTTTCTTATGCCTTTCTTCCGAAAACATTTTTCTGTTTATCAAATTTGAAGTAAAGAAACAATCCAAAGATGGCTTAGCATTTACCATCTTCAAATAAACGGTTCCGCTGAATAACGTAAAGCTCATTGATTTCCTGCTGTGTGTATTGAAGACGTTTTTATGCATACGCATTCCATATTTTATACAAACAGAAGCATATATATATATATATATTCTGTCTTATCTGAAAAATGACAGCGGCCGTCAAAAATCACTGAAACACGTACATACTTACTATAAACTTATGACGACAATCTTAAATTAGGTTCATTATAACTAAATAGCATGTTTTATTTCATTGTTCATACTTACACGTTTCTTAGCCTCTTGAAAAGCAGTTTCATTCGACCAAATATCATATAATACACCAAATCGATCTACCTGACAGTGAGCATACATAGCAATATCGAGATCTTCTCCATATCTCTTTATTAGTGGTCAACAAAAATAAGAAAGTATGTATAGTGTATGCATAAACTCGATATGTATTTAAAATTTGTTCAGATATAATTTACTAAGTTAGTGGAATGTACAGTTAAATAATGACTAGAGTTTATGCACAGTAAGATGTTTTAAGCATGAAAATTGAAAGCAATTCATAGCAGACACTTCGATTACGCCTGAGTTTTGATCGATAAAGATTTCAACCCCATATATATCTATGTAAATAAATTATCATGAGAGTGGAATCAGATGATAAATTGTGCTGAATATAATCTGTTTTGTGTCCTTTTGTTCTCCCTTTCACTTTACAACATTACAAAACCTAGCTACCAAAACAATCCAATGCATGAAACAGAGGATGAAATTTGTAGCTCAGATGGACGGTCTTGGTTGTATCTTGTTTTGCATAGATTTTCCTGTTGACCGTTCATCTGCTTCACCTCTCACCTTTCTCATTGGCTGGTAGATTTGATCTATGTCTACACATCTATTGGTTGCCAGCTGACCTGAATGTCTAGCTTCTAGAAATTCCCTGATATCCATTATGTTTCCTCTCTCCATCCAAAATGTCTACATTGTCGAAATTGAATTCATGTCCATAATTATCCACTTTTACTGAAGTGAGTGGTGAGATATCATGACGTTTAATAGCCGATTGCTGTTCATATAGATGAAGGCGAAGAGGGCGACCACTTTTTCCAATATAGCATTGACAAAAGTTATTGCAGTTGATTTTGTAATTGATAATAGGTTTATTTTCTTTGGTTGTTGTGTCCTTTAGTCTGCATAATAAGGTTAGGAGGGAATTTGTTGGTTTATGGGCCACACCAACTCCAAGCGATCTCAGCAATCTTGTCAAGATTTAGGTCAGTAGGAAAAATGCTGGAAATCTGATATTTATCCTGAAATAAAACAGCTACTCACGAAAGTTTTTCAGAAGATGCCTAACCCGTATATCATCAACTACAAAATCACCGATGGAAATCAACAAACGTTCCATCCTACCATACTTGAAGAATATATCAGAAATCAGGACAAGGTGACTGAGATCACATGGAATCGGTGTGGCCCATAAAACAACCAATTCCCTCCTAACCTCATTATGTAGACCAAAGGACACAACAATCAAAGAAAGTAAACCGAATATCAATTACAAAATCAACTGCAATAACTTTGATCAGTACTACACTGGACAAAGTGGTCACCCTCTTTGCCTACGTCTGGTTGAAAAGATATCACAATAATTTCAAAGTTGTACCAGGAAAACCTCACTTTAAACTGTTAAGAACCTAAGAGTAGAACAACTTTAGAACTACTGAGTCAAAATCCGTAAGGACGAAACTATTGTGTTGTAGTTTATGATACCCTTTTCAACTAAATACATATAGTTTACGGTTACACTTGATTTAACCTAACGGCTAAAAGAAACTATGCAGTGAAATGTTTCAGTTGGCAACAATTTAGGGAAATATATTACGTCGTTTTAGCACAAGAATATCAGTACACTCATTTCATCCCCAGGAAAGTTCACAATTAGAACTTCATCAATGTTGTTGTTAGACATTGTTTCTGACTATGGCATCATCCTTTAAGATATTTAACAATGACAATTGCCCCACAACGATTCTAGGTTGCATTTGAAGCTTAATGTCTTTTGATCTCTGTTGATTCAATATTATTTTAACTCTTAAATACTACACATAATTTGATTTTTAGTTTTACTTGTATGACTATCAATCTCCTAAAAGGAATTCGTGGTTACAAATCATAAAACACTATTTTCTCGTAGAGTTCACCTACTTCCTTCTCGTCTATCTGGTTACTTTGAAATAAAACGAAGATAATTACAAGCTGAAAAATTAAAGTCACAGAAAATGGAAGGTCTAAATTTCTCACGGGTGTATTTGGCACATTTCGTTTCAAGTTAGTAGATACAGTAACTATTTTATCCTTTTGTATAAACGATGTGGCAATCAAAAGTAAATCACGTTCAAGTTCTCTGTCAATAAAGACAAAAAAGAGTAAAAAAAAGTTGTGCAAACATGGGCTGACAAACGTTCATTTGTTATTATCAGTATTATTAACAGATTTTTAATTGAGAGAGAACTTCATAATTTATTATAAACACAATGGAATATAGAATCTACAGAAACTATATAGATATTTGTCTAGAAGTAGTTAGTAGTACGAGTATAGATTGAAATCATCATCAAGACCAACATGGGACCAAGCATTACTGCCTAACGGTTCAAGTTGCCACACCTCACATCAGCACATCAAGTAACAAGGCAATAGAATGGAAGATAAAGAAGGAATGAAAAATTGGTCAAAGGAAGTAGAAATGGAAAATGGTAAATGAGGGAGGAAGAATGAGATGATGAAATTAAGTATAGCCGTTAAGATAAGGATAATGTGTGTATAAATCTACGCAGGGGGCATTTGTTCTGAGCCATATCACTAAGAGTCTGCAACCACTAGTCTAGATCGTCCTACATGACTCAAATCAACAGTCAAGAGCTTCATGTATTGATACCACGTTTTAGGCTGGTCACCCCGACTCTTTTCCCAGCCTGGATCTACGTCGCGCAATATTGTATGACGAGGCAGACGATGGTTATGCATATATAACATGTGTCACAACCATCTGCGTAGATGAAGGTTCACAATCGTATCAACCATCTTACCTTTCTAGCCTAAACGTCGACGCCTGAAAAGTTGTAGATTGCAATCACTTTACAAAAAGCAATCCTGAAATCGAAGAAAGCCAAAAAAGCGGAATGAAACCGAATACTGATTGACACTGTTGATCAGAAGTAATGTGTTAAGAGCAACTGTAGATCATGTCTAAAACCAGACAAAGGAGAACAAATTAAAAAAACTTCTAGCTATTCAACCCTGAATGTCAGGATTTCAGCAGCGTAACTGTAACCATTTCGCCCGCCATCAATGGTCAACTAGGATGATTAGGATGATAGTAGTCTCAAAAGTCCAAACAATTTGCAAAGTACATTACCGATGGATAAATTTGCTTCGCTATACCTTACAAACATCACTTTCAAGAGTGAAACTGAATTAAAGTTAGATTTACCATGCAAAACAAATCACTTAAGGACTTGAAAATTCTATCAGTTAACTTTTTATGAATATCAGTCGCAGTACAAGTATCTCCCATTATTCTTATCAAAAACGAACTTACCATACAAACAGAAATTTACTTTACAAACATTTGATTGAGTATACATAGGGGAAAGCTAAACGTATTCCATTTTGAGTGCTTTCATGATTTTTCTCAAGGTTATGGTTGTCATTTATTGAGCAACGGTGAAGTGAGATGTGTAAATCTTAAAAAAGTCATGTCATTTAATCTTAAGCCTATTGTAATCTTAATGACAAGGATATATTTAACATTTAGCAAACCATCAAGAATTCCGAATTGCAATACTGCCTAGTCTAACCATAAGTTGGAGAACGTCTATTAATGTCTAGCCTAAATGAGCCATCTCATTGCCTTCTAAACGTTCAGTGTACTGCCCAGTAGCTTCCATTGTCTCACTATATGGTTATGTATCATGCTGGTTGGAACGAGAAAACGTGTAACGACTTCAAGTGTTCGGCAGTCATTAGCATCAGTTTATGAAATCTCTGAATATATTTATCTCAGCCATATAAGGAAATGTAGACTTTCTTCTTTGAGTTCGCGTGATAATTGAAACCGTTATTTGGAGACTGTTATTCATATATCTGGGGTCGGTTTCCGTGGAGCAGATGAATCCACAAATTATTTATTTCCTAACCACTTTCTAGGATTCCTTGACTGTCATACTTAATCTTTATTTCTTTTTTAGACAATCTATGATTTAGAATAGCATCTTTTTTCGATTTCTGTATCTTTAACGTTACTGTCTTAACTTCTGATACTCTAGAATGGAGGATGATAATTTGAACTGCTAAAAAGTAGTAGTGGGTCTCATTTTGATTTTGATAGGCTGTTTAACTCCTTCGATGACACAGGAAATGTGAACATTATTCAGATTATCAAAATATAAGGAAAGAAAAATTCCTTGTGTTGCTTTTTTATATCATTTTCCTACCTGAAATCATCTAATGCACAATCGTAGACAATCCAATAGCCTATTTGATCGCGTACATGTATTCTCTCCTCTTCATGATAATAGAAGTCATCGTGATTTTCTACTTCAGCAAACTGCATAAATTCAACTTCTTTAACTCTAAAGATAATTTTTTTAAAGTACAGATATTTCATGTAGATAAATGACTGTTTTCTTTAATTAAACATTGTTATAATAATAATAACTAATCAATTAATTACCAGGAGATCAGCCATACCTTTTTCATGTATAATTCCTCTCTAACTATAAGAAATGATATTTATTCTGATTCAAAATCTCAAGATAATCTAATAATGTTTTGAACAAAGCTAATTTTAGAAGTTCAGTACACATTACTCATCAATATAAGTAATACTAGACTACTCATACCGATCATTAGGGTTGTCAGTAAGAAAGTTAATCTATTTCCTACAAGACTTAAGACATTATTCTATACCAGTTTTCTGTATTTGGTTAATTGTATGAGATCTACTTGAAATTTTCTTTACTCTGTTACCATAAGGACATGAAAAAGGCTGTTGTTCGATATATTTAATTTATGTCCACATTCTGATTTGTTTGGTATAGGAATATTCACCAAAATATTTTTTTAATATCCATCAAGTTGTGATGTAGAGTGTGAAAGTTTCATATTACTATGGGAAAATTTTCTTATATAGTCTTAACATACTTTTCTATGGATTTCCAGATGAAAATTGTAAATTCTGTAAACATTTCAACTATGTTAGTTGGATGGAGGTAATTGACAGTAAGCTATAAACCTAAGATTCATGCTTTTTGGCACTCATCAACAACATATGTTCACATCCTCTGTTGAAGTGATGTCCCGCGTGCGATTATGAATTATCCAAACTCAGTGTATACCGTAAAAAAACGAGTAAGATTACTAGTTACGGTTGCTATTAATATGCGGTAGTTCAGGAAAGAAGGTTTAATTATATGATAGAGAGGACTGTAACAGTTTCGTTTAGTATTTTTCACAATTTATTATAGATTCAAACTGCTTTATATAAATTTAAAGATGAGTCTTAATACCTCACTAACCAGTCAGCTGAACAATAATTCAGTTCTCATTATAAGTGAATTTCAAGACGGTTTCTTTTTAAAATTTGAGTGTGAAGTCATTACATGGAGTGTAAGACCTCAGTCAATGATTAAAAGCCGAAATGTTCAAATGAAAGTTTAAATATTCTTGGTAGGATTACGTGGCAACTTTTTTCTGTGTATATAGCTGATAGGCTCTGAATTAGATTGGAATATATTGAAACACCGCAATTTTCACTGATTAGACATCTAATGTTTCATGCCAGAATAAGCTATGCCTAAATCAGTTACTTATGAGAATAAATACTGGGCACGGAAATCCTTAACTATTCACAAGAGTCATTAGAAGATTAGCAATAAGGTGAATACAGATTAGGACAATGATCTGTGAACGGAAAATGATTGAATTGATACCATTTAACGTCTACTTCTTTTCACTATCCATAAAGGTGATACATTCAGTTACACTTATTTATCAGATGAGCATGTTTTCAACTTCTTGATAGTGTTAAGAAAAAAAAAGCTTATAATGTAAACCATTTAGCTAAACTTTTTCGAATATACCATTCATGAGAGTATTTGGAACAAAAGAAATCACGGTTCTCTGTATGCATTACAGTGATTTCTTTCACAAAGTCTACATTTCACTCAATGCTGCTTCTGGATACTATTTGCGTCTTACACATATCATATTTTCAAAAACATTTTCTCGGTCAATAAATTATCAAAAAGAGCATAATTAACTACCATTCTTCCTATATACAAAAATGTATGATACTTTTGTAATTATCCAACTAAACTTACTTAGTATAAGTATGAATGAATATAAAAATATATTATATGATTGAGAAATTCGAAAGCAATTTAAACTTCTATGAGTATGAAATTTGAGTATACTGCACATCAACTTACTTAAATTCATGAGGTGTATTAAAGAGATAACCATGAGTGTTCAGTGTACCTCCACCTCCTTGATGACCTTGACCGTCTATACCAACTCGATGGTTTGGTGGACTCCTATAGAAAATAATTATTTACATAGTGTATAAATAAAATTGATCAAAATCAAAAAAGTCATACATTTCAAACAACAATATAATCTTGATTGTAATTCAGAGGTGAAATATTTCTTTGAATAAGATTGTCTTTGAAAGTCCTTTAGTATAATGCTTATTAGCTGTGTTCTTGTCAAAATATTATGCAATATTTGTTTGCAAAATATAAAATACTTCGGTTTGATTTGAAGGTGGTTTTTATTACACTTTAATATCTTCCGTAAATTTATTGAAAGTCAAGAAGTTGTTTTTTCTTTACTGTAATAGTCATAAGTAATTCAAATTTTATGAATATACCTTTGCAACAATGGACATAGATAGTTCCGCCAACTGCGATACAGTAGAATACATTTAATTTCCGATCATGCTTGTCATAACACCTTTGCCATGCTACAAGTTTATGTTTCTCAACACATAACTATCCATATTACTCTGATGCTATTCCCGGTGCTGTCTCAGGGGTTAACTAATTTGGTTTATTTTTATGAGATTTATCAAGGAATCTCCCTAGAAGTGAACACCAGACTAAGTATTTAGTTTGTTCTATTTCTCTAAAAGGATTTACTGTTGTGAATCAAGATTCTCTTCAAGCTCCACTACATAAATATCACAATATTTCATCTCTCGTGTCGATGTATATGGACAATTACGGACACATATTCAATGTAGATATCTTGCACTGAGAAAACACAAATGGTCAAAAAATCTAACTTTTAACCAATAAGCTGAATGATAAACCTCTGCAAGGTCATAGATTAGTCAGAAATTTGACGAATAGGAAAGTCTATGCAGTTAATGACACAACAATAAGAGGAAACTACCAATCACGCCCCACTTCACCAGGATAAACGTCTGAATCGTTCATTGAGAAATCTTGATAGCTAATTTTATATTGAAGATAGTGCCGTTAATGTGGTCTTGAAGGACGATAAAAGGTTGACGATTAAACTATCCAGTTCAGAGAACACAATACAACTGTTTAGGTTTTACACTGATTCTCGGCTGCGTCTTCTAAGCTCATGTTGTTGAACTGCTGTTGTGAGATTGTTGTTTGACCAACTGTGCTCAACTGCTTGCTGATAAACTCGAGATGCTCATGTTTGAAAGTGGACTTATTCTCTCTGATATATCTCTTGACCTCTGCTTTTAAGACAACTCAGTTTTTCGTTCCTTTCCACTCTGTGCGTTTCTCTTCATCTGACTTAAGGAGTATGAAGCTCACTTGAAAGATCAAGGTAAATCTAGTGCTGCTTTATCCAGTTACTGACTAACAAAATCAACTTAGAACCTCGCACACAGGTGCATCGTCACAAGTCGCAACATTTCATAGTAGCACAAAAAGAACGTGTGAATAGAAAGTGAGTGAGATCAAAGTAGACTAAGTTGTATGAGAGAATAAGTAATTTGAAGACAACAGGGAAAATATTCAAGCTTCAGATTTCAACCGATTCTCAAACATGTCACCAGTAGACCACAACCACTGAGTCCTATCGTCTCGTTTACCCTAACGAGATAGTCTACATCTCAGCACGTGGCTCAGAACAACATAAGGCAACTTCATCGACTGCTGCCAAGTTTTGGTCAGGCCACCCTGAACCCTCTTTCAACTTAATCCAACATCTCTTAGTATGGTATTTCGAGGTAAGCGGTATCTCGTTATATCCACTACATGTCCAAACTATCTCAGTCGATGAAGGTTTACAGCCTTATCAATCGATTAACCTGCTTTACCCAGTATCCTTAACCTGACCTCAACATTGCTCACATGGCGATTACACCAAAACGCGGGCAATGCTACGAAGCCATCTGTAATCAAAACCCTGTTACCGCTTCATGTCTTCTACTTTTAACGGCCATGTCCTACAACCGTAGAAGAGGACAAAAAGGACTGGGGCGTAATATACTCAACTCTTGACAGATAGTTGGATATCTCGCCAGTTGACGCCACAGGTGATGCAAGTTGGTACACGTTAGAAGGGTCTTCTGTATCCTAGCTGAGATTTCGTCAGCCCCTAACCAAGTAAGTGAGTTAGATACAGTTTTTATTTGTGGAAGTTACAATATGTTTGAAATGAAGTAATTCCAACATTTCTCACGAAAGTCTGGTCCAAGCTTCTTCAATGAAGTAATAACTTTCAGTCATAACTCAGTACCAGAAATATGAGCCTGCCAAACCATGGCTATCTCAGAAAGTCACACTAAAAATTACTATATTTATCGACTTCATATACTAGACTCTTCAATCTCATGTAGTGGAAGGCTTTCTTAATATTTAAAAGTCAACTTAAGATACAACACTATAAATCCACTTATAGGATTTTTTCGCCCTTCACTTGTTTTACGAAGTCTTCAAATGAAGCGCCAAGTTCAAAAGCAAAATATCTAGACATCTCAACGAAACTCTTGTACGACTATCACAGAATCATAAAGTGTATGCTGATTTTCTTTGTGTACCCAAGTTTTTAAGAAGAGAGTATTTTCGATGTGCATCATCAATTGTTCAATTTGTGCTTATTAGGATATCATCACCGCTTAAGTAACTATTCCTTTCTTCATATACCAAAATACTTAGTGGATTACGGCATTCGTGGTATTCGGTACCACTGGTCGAAGGATAAAAAGCACTCAAAATAGGTCTCATACTTTTTGGGATCTCATCAGTAATGATGTGCCTTTCATCTTCACAAAACACATGTTCTCTCAAAGATTGCAAGAAGTCTGAGTTATTGTTAAGGTCATTAAGCTGAGAAATAACCATTCATGGGTTTACAGTATGCTTGTATATACGTTTCGAAAGGATTTCAGTCAGTCGTAAGTGCTTAGAATTCGATAGGTACAACAAATACCATCTAGTATCCAAGTTATTTTAAAAAATTTATCACTATCCGCAAGCAAAACGCCTTATTCACTATCCAATGAAATATTTGCGATCACCTGGTTTTTGAAAATTGTTCCAAATGGCAGTTAATTATATACCATGAAGAAGCTTGAATAAACCCCCGACCTCCCAAGACTAAATACAACAAATCCTGGTAACCTGTCTGTATCTACGACGTCTAAATTTTAAAATAATTGTTACAGTAATATTTAACTTACGTGCGTTCGACTGTACCTTGGCGTTCATTGATAAGCCTTGGTCATTAATCGTCAATGTTCGTTCAATTGAACGAAAATAATTCAAAACAGATATACACTGAAAAAGCGAGTAAAAGAAATGAAGTCACTGATTCCTTAAGATGAATTGAGTAGTTAAGCTAATTAGTAGAAATTCCTAAATTGTGGACATCCATCATAAAGACAGTCAGTAACCAAGATGAAGATTCAAATCTTTATTTCTCTGTAGACAATCCTGCACATCCCATCCAGTTATCCAGACTAACCATCAAGCATTAGGACACTATAAATCATGACATGTAGATATAACACGACAAATGCTGGTCTTCATTCTGAACCACCTCAAAAGAATAGGTAAACGGGTACATTCAACCCCGCTCAGGCAGGTGTATAGTAACAGTTGGTAAGGTTTGTGACCTGCCGAGACAGCTTGCTTAGTGTGTGTCTCAGTTTTCACCATGCCTATTTAAACGACGTTGGATACCAGTGTTAGTTAGATGGATATTATGAATCCAATGCAGACAACAATGATCGAACAAAGAGTTATCAAACATATTTGTCACACCAGAGTGATTTACATTTATGGCTGTACCGAAAATGACAGAGTTAAGCACTTTATAAGTCTGTTTTTCACTGCATAAAGACTCATATTATCATGTCTCATATCAATTATCACTAAAATACGTGTCTACGAGTAATATTCTTTCACGTACTTTCAAAAGATTACCAACAACGGTTAGCATAGACGAAGGCCTACATCAGTCTTGTTGCTTAGTGGTATAAAACAAATTTCATTTACTGTTTTACCAAAATATAAACCATGAGGGGTTGATATTAAGCTGTTTATAGCAGGATGCCATTGCCTGTAGGCTCATATTCGCCAGCATAAAGATTTATCTCAGGGGCTAAACAATTTTATTACATTTGTCGTCATGGTAATAATAGCCAATAGTCTAAATACATCTTCGATATGAAGCATAAAGAGTACTATAAAGTAGATCATCATTAAATTAACTTCTAATTGTACAGTTTCAGTAGATGCCTGTAGACATTTTATTAAAATTGTGAGCAGAAATTTTTATTGCAAATAAAGATAAAAGTACAACATACAACTTACTGTACGCATTAAATCTCGTAATTTCAAATGTCTTAAATGTAGGAATGACAAGTAGGCACCTTGTACACTAGTTGAATCATCTTTACCACTACCAGTATCATCTAAGCCTAACATTTGCATAGTTTGAACAAAATCATATTCATCATGTATATTCTTAACATCTTCAGTTGATCCAAAGGAGCTAAAATTGAACATACACAGAAATTAGATTGAATGAGTACATGGATACTGGATGATGATTTAAGGTGAAACTGAAATTTGAACCGCGGCAGGATTCAAAACAGCGACCAATAAGTTTTCGGCTTGATGTTTTACCAACTGAGATACAAGGTCTGACTGCTAAACAGGTTTTATTTCACTTCAATCACCATGGGTTTTGCCCGAAAATTATATGAATTCATGATGCATTACTACCACTCACACTGGCTGCCTAATCAGGACTTTTCTTCTTAATTCAAACCTACTTGAACTAGAGAGAAAGAGCACGTCAGATTGATTATCATTTTGACTATCTGAGATAGCTATCTTTTTGGCAGACTAGTATTGATACCAGGTGATAACTGTTAATTGTTTATATATTAGCATTAGTCATTGCACATATCTGAAGTTAGTTAACAGCATAACTTTACCTAATGAAGAATGATAAAACGTTAAGTTTATTGCATTCAACTTATTTGATATCATCTTTCATGCTGAGAAGTTCACACTATGCTTTCTAGACATTAACTTTTCGGAACTAATCGATCCATTGCAGAGTGTTGCTTTAGAATACACATACCATCTGAAGGTATCCTGGCCAACGATGAATTGGATTATTTGGAAAAACTTTGGTGAATTTTACTTGTGTAATTCCGGTGTATTATATTAGAACAAATGGTAAAAATAACAAGTACTTTGTACTACTATTCTTAAGAAAAAACATTGTTTTGAAAAATATATCTTGTCTTTTGAAAGGGATGCGTTTACATAAACTCTTAGATGATAATAAAATTAAGATAAGAAGGCCAATATTTATCTTTTTTCAAACGACTGTATTTATATTTCCTAATAATTATTAATAAAAAGAATCTTATTTCATCCAGTTACATCATAAAGTGAAGAAAGAAAGTTTGATTTAGTACATTGTAAACGTAACATACTATCTTATTCATTTTAGTGAATAGGAGCGGAATCCAGCACAAGTGTTTCGCCCTATCTAGAATTCGTCAACCGAATGTACCTATACCCCAGTGATTGTTTTTATTTATAGTGAGAGTCAAACCTATCGTTCCAAACGCCAAAGCGTTGTCCACTAGGCCGGTGGGGTATGAAAGACAATTTTTGTGTAACAGGTATCATTTGTTATTGTTAGATACTTGTAATTTTCTACTGCCATAATACAGGGTCGACTTCCTCTACCTCATGTCGCAGTGGCCTGTCGTTTAATGTTTGGTGTTTCAAGTAATGGATATGCGGTTCGAGTTTCGATGGGAACGGCATTACTCAGGTCGACGCAGGTACATCCAGGTGATGAGTCGCAAAGTAGAATGAAACGCACGTCTTGGTTTCCACTGCTAGTCAAAGAGATGAGTACATCATCATGAACATCCGATATTATCAAAACTAATGCATAGAAATCCACCTGCCAACAGCGTTCGAGTAATTCGACCTGGAAATTCCAAGTTTCAAACAATAATACCATCCTATTCTTAAAAGTATGTTAGAAATGACTTCAATAAACAATACATAAAAGATTCTCTTTAGCACAGCTAGTCTTCATGGTTGGTAGAAAAAGATAACAGCTTCCTTCAAACAATTTTGTGTTAATAACTAGAGAGGTAATGGTTTGTTATTAAGAGATGGTACACTGAAGAATACAGCTTCTGACTACAGTCCATAAGATGTGAAAAATGGGTGATTAGACGCTAGGATTAAAGATGCGTCAAAGCGGTCCAGAAACTTCTTCTTTTCATTTTCATATCCTGGATTTAGTATCTTCTGAAAGATATTGTTAGCTTGTCCATTTATAAGTCTTTCATGTAATTCATAACCCTTCAAACTTGTTAAAATGTTCTACAATTCTGCCTACATTTAACACTAGTTCAAAAGCCTATATAAAGGTGCCCATAAAGGAAACCACAATGCATGAAAAGTTCTCCGTACACAAATTGCATCATCATTCACCTTGTCAACATCCTACTATTGGTAAAACTTCAATGTTTAGCCAGGATATAATTAAATCCTAGCTAAAAGACGTCTCAAATACAGTGAAACAAAACCTGGTCAGCTTTTTTTATCTGTTTTGTGTGCCATTTTATTTAGGCAAAACATTTTGCCAGTTTTAAATCATTCAAGAGTAACTTTCTTTGTAAAACAGTGAAATCAAACGGGGGAAAAATTGTTGTAAACTAAGCAAAATTACCATAATTAATACTCAAGCAATATCGAGGTATCCGCATAGGATCCCAGATACCAAAAGAGGTCGAACAATTTGATCGAATAAAACAACGCAGAATTACAAGTATATTAATGAATAGTAATTTTTTCGACTCCTAAAACTTCATGAAGAAAATGTAGAAACCTTATTTTCTGATTAAGTTTAAACAGTTAACGTTTACTAATTTCGGCAAGCCAACATTAGACTTCTTTCTGATATTTGAGACCACTCTTGAAGACTTTTTACGTGAAATTAATTCAGGCTAAGAATGCAATGTCTACATGAGAACTACATACGGTGTTTCGCTGAAGGCAGTAACAAGTAATCAGTGAAGTATGATTGACTTATTAGAAGTAGTTACCACTAGGACATTGTTTCCACTACTTTTACAAGTTTTCTATAAGTTAATTTTCAAATATATTATCCAAACGGTTGACAGAATTCCGCCTTACTTTACAAACAGACATATTTAACGTAGAAATGTAAACGATACTAGTCATACAAACTTTACGTTTAAGAAATAAGTAAAATACTCACTTTCAAAATAAGTATGCAATGTCTACTCTTTTAGACACTAGAATTTCTCTATATTTTGTGGTTATTTTATTTGAAATCAAGTGCTTAACTACTGGTTGAAATTATTAAGCTGGAAGCTTTTAGTGAAAAGATTTATCACCTACTATCTATATCGATTTCAAGATAATGAGCTTTCGTAACTTCTACCGAATTGATTAGGTGGTCTGTTCTGATCCCCGTGACTATGATTAGTTTCCTTCAAGGCTATCTCACCGTCATATATGCTCAGTTCTGGTTGATTTCATTTCCAAATGTATGTTTTCGTAACGTATTTTGTGCTATTTGTTGACCTTCTGCTGTCAATATTATCAGTAGAAGATTCTCATACAGCCTGTCACAAGGTGTGAAGATGCTGAAAATCCAGTGAAAACCTTTGCAACTAATCATCGCACGACAAGCATATTTGAAATGTCACTTGATAACATGCATGAGTTCAGAGCAGCCAATAACAATACAGGTGTACATGATGATTGGAAAACCTTTGAAGACGAACAGTCACAGTCAAGGTCATCAAGATCGATGACTTTGTCAATAATGAAGGATTATAATTTTGACTTTCTGAGGTAACCGTGATTTAACAGACTAGCACTGATACTGCGTGATGATTGAAGGTGAAATGGAAATTTTGACCGTGGTGGGATTCCGAACAGTGACCATCGATCTAGCTATAGTAACGCGTCACGAATTCACATTTCAGTCGGGCAAAATCCAAGGTGGTTGAAGTGAAATAAAAGCTCGGTCAGCAGACAGACCACGGAGCTCAGTTGGTAAAGCGTCGTAGTGGAAACCCGTTGTTCGCTGGTTCGAATCCGGCCGTGTTCCAAATGTCTATTCCATCTTCAATTATCATTCACTATCACTGACAAATGTATTCTTGAACCTCAGTTTTCTGAGCGTGATGTTTATTTCATAAACCGTTGAGACGGATTACTGTGAATAAACAGATGGAGTTTTTGTTTAATCAAAGGTTTAAAGATGCCAACTAATATTCCACCTCAGAGATTAACTCAGTCTCAGCATATTTCTAGAATTACAGTGAAATCTTCCCAATGAAACCATCCAGCTCACATGAAGTAACAACACTGAAGTGTAAAATCCATTCCCCTACCTATTGCCTTCAATCAACTTGCATCATTCAAAGTTGACCGTGATAAGTAGTCCCCTAACTTCGTCACCAAACTACAAAGTGATCGACGGAATTCGCTTGGTACTTAAGACTAGACAACATGAAATTGGCTACTCTACAATGACTAAACAATGTATGAATATAGACTATTTTCCAGTAAATGAATGTTTCCCTATCGATGAAACATATTCAAAGCGTCTTGAATATATTTTTCTTTTCTTGTTATACAAAGAATATGATTTTGTTTGACTATAAATAGGATGAAGAATTTATGTATCTTTCTCTATACATTACGCGTAAAATACGTAACCTTCTTGGCCAGTTAGTAATGATTATCAACTAATGCATTTGTTTGGTTTATTATTAGTTGACATCACCATGGTGATGAACCATTTTTTAAATAAACATGACATACTTATCAAAAATGAAAGCCAACTTTTCTTAATAACTAATTTATTTCGTTCAGCACTACTTCAAAGTGGTAAATACCACAATTCTCAATTGTATGAAAGCCAGTCAAAATGCTCAATTCTGTTGAAAAACTTTTTGTTCCGGTATAATATCATTTAAATAACTGCTGTAATTTGCTTATTAATTGACACTGGATGGTGATTGAAAGTGAAATGGGAATTAGGACCACGGTAGGATTCGAACCACAGACCAACGGGTTTCCAGGCTCACTATCTGCTTACTGAACTATGAGGTCCGACTGCTGAATAAATTTTTATTTCACTTTAGTCACCGTGGATTTTGCCTAACCACCATATGAATTAGTGATGCATTATTACCGCCTGGTTATACTCACACTGACTGCTCAGTCAAGACTTCAAACCTATTTGAACTAGAGAGGAGGCGTATCATATTAATTATCATTTTGACTGAGATAGCTGTGCTCTTGACAGACTAGTATTGTTACTGGTAGTCAGGCAAAACCCATTGGTGACTGGGGTGGAATGGAAATCTGATCAGCAGTCAGACCTTAATATCTCAGTTGATAGAGCATCAGTCTAGAAACCCGGTGGTCGTTGGTTCGAGTCCGGCCTCGGTCGAAGTTTTTATTTCACCTTCAATCATCACTGAGTACAAACACTAGTCTACCAAACCACAACTTTCTTTGATATTCATAAAGGATAACTATTTATTAGTTTTCGATGCATTTTTATAGTCCATTGACAAATGACTCTTCTTTCAATCTTGATATTATTAATTAGACAAGAATCTATTTCAGACCTCTAAATTTCTTGAAAATGTGGACTCTAATCGGATCTTGAGAGGTCAGATAAATAAAAAGGAACATAGCTGTAAAGTTAATGGTTATTGATCAGAGCAGCAGAAGATTTCAGAAGCCACTAGTTCAATCACATCATATCATTTACACTCTAAATCATTTTGGTTCGACTACTGAATAAGTATTTATTCCCACTAAAGTTATATCCATCTTTTGATTCATTTTATTATTATTTCTGCTACAAATTGTATTTCTTATATGTGGGATTTAGAAAAAAAACAGATAGGTTTAAAAATATTTTTCTTTAAGAACTGACATCAACTTGATAGCAAGCGGTTAAAATGGAAAAAAAGTTACTGATAGATGGAATAGATATTTTTCAGCTTTAAAGTTTCATATAAGCTGCTGTGTGGTCGGAATAAATGTTATTGCAAAATTTTATGCTTCAAATAGCTAATCAGGCTAATTTATCTTATCTTTGAATTAATGCATTCTTTAGTTTATGAAAACTGCATATATATGATGAATTTTCATTGAAATACAGCTGTTCCTGCACTTACAGGCTGATCTTCATCTTCTGATATTTTTCAGCTTAGTGAACAGTCCTGAACATATCCAGTTTAAGTGTCCTATTGCATTCAGTATCATTATAAGATCACCATCTTATTACACTCAGTCACTTCACAACTAGAGAATTGTTGTGAAGACCATTCAATAGTTTTTTAGCTTTAAACTCCTCAAAAGGGCACACTCATGAAACTGCCAGGGATGATTCACATAGATTTTGAGATGGAATAGTGAACATCAGTCAATGAGTTGAAACTTATTTGTCTAGTTGAATTTTTGAGGGAGTTGTGGAGATTTGGAAATATTTCAAGTTGTTATTCATCGTAGACTGACAACAGTTGGAGGGACAAAGGAAACCTGGGAGCACTCGACAGTTGTTTCGTCTTAGAATGGGACTTCTCAGCAGTGCGGTACCCACGACCCCACACCGCCAGGGATTGAACCCGCGACGTTCATGTTCCGCGGCCAGCGCGTTACCCTTGAGCCACTGGGTCACACTCCAATGCTCCATATTTCCAACTTCTGTTAGCTGTCTAGATTTTATTAGTATATACCTAATGTCCTCATCGGGTTGTGACTTATGAAATAATTCATATCTATTCATTAAAATTTCGGAAAACTGTCTGAAACTTTTATAGGAGGTGAATGATTCGAAACCGTGGCCACTGGTGCCAGCTTGGCTAAAATAAGATGATGATCATGTATCAGTTATGTGGGATGAGAATAGCAGACTGACTACATCAGGATTGTGTAAATCAACATATTGCAACCCACTGTCTCTAATACCCCAGTGATAAAACCAGTGACTCCAAACACTGTGTGACGTGGGTTCTCATCCCTTTAGAAACATCAGTCCCTCACAAGAAGCAGATATGCCTTACCGATGATTTTCTTCAAGTGCGAAACTTAAGTCCAGAGATTCCTACTGATTATCTCCAACCAACTAACAAGCGATTTTAAACTACTTCTTATTACAGTTAAATGCATGGTGCATCCTATCTATATACATATTGCAATAAATATAATTCACCTTGAATACAGTTCAGGATTTGTATAAATTTTCTTGAAGATTTCAACAGTACTTTGTCCATGTTTATGTGATACAACCGAAGCTGTGTGTATCATAGGCGGATGTTGAACAAGCATTGCATGATGACGTAGTGAACTTTGTACACGCTAGACAAATAAATAATGAACAGTAAATCTATATTTGAAGTGATTAATAACGTCTATAACCGTAGATATGAAATGTTTAGAGTAATAAATTCTTTGAAGTTACGTTTGTGATTGCACTTTCAAAACTCACTTATGTTCAGTGCATTTTACGAAAACAGTGACAATATCTGATTTCTCATTCCATTCCATACAGCTTGACTCACTGAATGATCACAGCGCTATTGACTGAAACTGTTCATCAACAGCTTGATATTCACGGGTTTTTAGATATATTAATCCAGTTTATATATCAACTGTCTTGTCTTTATATCATACTTTTGAAATTCAGGATTCACACAATTCGAAACCTTCGATGCCTTTTAATAGTTAGACTAAATCTCAAAATTACACATAAATCCTAAATCACAGTTCCATTTTAGCCCCCTATATGACTCGAACAAACGGTAGAGGACTTCATGTGCTTATGGTATGTTTTAATCCAGCAGTCTAGAACCTTTTCCTAAGGGGAAACGTACTTCAATTAACATTATCCGACGATGAAGTGGTTGTAGGGTATTGATCATAGGTGTCTCTGTAGCATTACTCAGGTTTTGGTGGAATCACCGTGTGAACAATGTTGAGGTTAGGCATAGGGTAGTAGGGAAGACAGGCAAGTCAATTAATGAGGTTGTGAAGCTCCATTTACTGAGATGGCTTGGACAGATGTTACGCATACCAAGGCTGGATTATGTTGGAAAAGGATCCAAGGTGCGGAGACGACGACATGGCATCAGTCGATGAAGTCTCTGACTATTGGTCTCATCCATGTGCAATGAGCATGTAGACAACATATCTAGAGTCCGTGAGACGATAGAAATCTGTGGTTGGAGACTGTTAGTGACTTCGGTGAAAGTAGGACACACTGGGGCGGGTGTGTTCACTAACCTTTATCTTCAGATTGTTAGAGTGCCGCCAACGTAACCTGATATTCACCGTACTGCCGACATGTTAAAATCGACGTCCAAGTGTGTTGACGTTCCGATTTGCGTTACAGTCGATTTGTTTGTAACCGGCTAGTCTTGTATCGCTGTTAGGTCATAGCAATTGATGATGGATGTATTTTGAAATGAATCCATGACTCTTGGAGAAACTGATGAACCAGCAGGTTGAAATGATGGAGTTGATTGCTGGCTTACGGATACCTTCCTCAGTCGATTCATCTCCAGCCAGTGACAAAGCCGATAGCACAGCATCTTCGAATTCGTCTATGCAAACATAATATTCGATACATGGTTTCGCAATTATGAAGACTTGTTTAAAGAAGGCTTCTTAAAGAGAGATGACTCGTGAAAGGTCAGACTATTGTTGAAACAGTCAAAGCTCTCTGTCAGCAACAGTCTGTCTTCTCTTCTTGTGTCCGCATATCGGTGGTATTGTTGTTGCTAGGCTCGTTTCGCTGTTAGGTCGTACTACTAGTCATAAGTATCATTTATTATTACTATTATTATTTATTAACAGTTAATTATGCCCGAAAAGTATCCAGTAAATAATTCTGGGTAAATATTACTGTTTCACTGTGTGACACATCTAATAAACAGAATAAAAAGGAATTGTAATCTACTGCAGTCCACAAGTTATACTCCTACATCATATCACAGTATTTGACTGCCATCTAAAATAAATTTCTTGTTTCCTCTTTCCATATGGATATTTAAGCTTTCAATGTATAGTCTCCAGGAATTTTAATAGATCATTAAATGTGTTTATTCGAGCAGCTTCTTTAGTTCCTTTTGACACACTCTGTTGTTTCAAGAGTACAGTACTTTTATTCGATGATCTCCGGTCGTTTTGGTTCCATCCTCTTAAAAAAACATCTGATGATAAAACCCTTTAAATAATCACTCATCTAAGACATTTCTGGGAAAATAATCTTACAGTGCCTTCTTACTTTAAACTTATTAACTCAGTTTAACCCCCTGAAAACGCGTAGTTATTTGGTATTTGATTACTCTCAGCTCAGAATAACCTTTCATTCAAAAATTAATAGCTTTTCTGTAATGATAAACTTAAAAACTTCGGCACAATAGTCTTACAAGAATAATTCTTTTACGCACACCTTTGCGATGGAAACCAGCTCCTGCTTTATGGCTAGGAACAGCTGGTTAGAACAATTGTAATCACTAATCATACATATTCAAACTCGCCACAGCGTACTATTAGTCGTCCAGTTTTTTAACACAGACTGGGAGATTTCATCACTACACTAAGGAAGTAGATGATACATTATTAATGTGAAACACACCCAGTTGTAAGTTCAAATTTCAGAAATAATTTCTAGTCAGATGAAGAGCTGATACTTATCCCTTCTTTACTGAAACACCAACATAAATGCAATGTAAATGGTTAGTTTTCAATTTCATTTCGTATTTACAGAATGCGTGCGCTGAACTCAAAACTGTTAGTCCCACATTATAACTATGATTATATCTTCTTTGTTTACAACTTTATGCTCAATATCATCTACATAGATTGTAATAAAGTTTTGCTAGATGCTTACTGGCAACCAATGAAAAGTTTTTTGGGCCTATGTTTCGCATCCGTTGACATTCATCAGCGAAGGGCATATACAACCCGTATAAGATGCCTATTCATAGATATAAATCCATTTCCCCAAATGTTGTTATTATCTAACGGCTTATACTGCAGTTAACCTTTTGTAGGATTAGACTAAATGCAATTGTCATGAAAACCATATATATGAATTCTTACTGACCACTTTGAACCATGTGACATGAATCCAACTGTGCCATCGTGGAGTTCACAAACGAGATCAAAAGAATACTATCTGGCTGACAAAATCAATCTAAAACCTCACGCACAAGCGTATCAGTTCAAGTTGCTACACTTAACCATCGTAAACTAAGAACAGTGGCATAGAAAAAGTGATTTCAGAGCAGATAAAGTTGTATGAGAGAATAAACAATCTGAAAATAACAACTAGTGCGAACATTCACCTTTTAGAAGATGTCAGGGATTGAATACATCTGCGCCACTGAGGTCGACTTGCAGGCATGTCATCAAAAGTCCTCAATCACTGATTCCTATCGTCTCAGGACCGTAAACATGTATTCTGCATTTCCCGACACGGCTCTGACAAACAACCACGGACTTCATCGATTTTAGTGACGTCTTGGTCTCGGCACCCTGAACGTCTTCCAGCCAATCTAATTTCACCTAGTGTGGTACGTCTATCAACACTTAGAATAAATAAAATGACTTTGCCTAATTTTGGGCAATCAAATGATGTGCAATAAAAAAAAATATGCAACGCTTATATCCTTAAGTGAAGTGAACAAAAGAATTAACCTTGATTTCTAGTTCAGTGAAAGTTCATGTCATTAGAAAACATCAGTTTGCATAATAAGCCGCTTACTTACTTCTGTTGACCGTATTTTTAAAAAATTAGAAGCTGCCAGTAGAAGATCATCTATTTTTGTATTATATCTTAATTCCATTGTACTTCTTACGAGATATTCATCTCGCTTTGGTCTTAATTTTATAAATGGTAACCAATTACTTGTCTTTTTCAAGGCATGTATCCAAGTGTCTAAACACCAACGTTCATTAACAGTCTAAAAATATAATAATGACAAGAACCAAAACTATTACCAAATGTATAGGCTATAAAGTTCTACATAAATGCGAACATGTGAATATCATCTTCAAAGAAAAAATAGTCGACTTAGTTTCACTCTATTTATCACTATTAATTTGACTTATATTACTTTTTTATTATGATACATGGTATAAAGTTTAAAAATACTACTACAATTCTGTTGATCGGCTGAATGGTGATCATGTTCTTTGCAAACATAATCTACTTTAGATAATATATTTACTGTTTGACAAAATCAATATAGAACCCCCTCATACAAATGCATCGACTCTAATTACCAAACTTCAGAGTAGTATACAAAGAAGGGGTCCATAGAATAAGAGTGATACCACAGAAAATAACAGCGTATGAGAGAACAAACAATCTGAAGATAACAGTTAGTGTAAATATTCAAACCTTGGAAGATTTCAAGGAGTGAACACACCCACGCTACCGTGATCGATTTTCAGACATGTCACCAAGAGCCCTCAATCTCTGATTTCTTTCGTCTTGGGGACCCAAACTAGACTGTTTACATCTCTCCATACGACTCAGACGGACAGTCAAACACTTCAAGGAATGATGCCACGTCTGAATCTGGCCACCCTTCACCTTCTTTCAAGATAATTCAACTTTCCTTAGCATGGCACGTTCAGGTATATGATGACTCATGCGTAGTATATGTTCAAACCATCTCAATCGACTAATATTCACTAATTCATCAATAAACTTGCCTATCTTGCCTAGTATCCTTTGCATGACTTCAACGTTGCCTATGTGGTAATTCCACAAAACGTGAACAATACTGCTAAGAAATCTGCGATAAGAACCCCGTAATCGCTTCATGACTTCTACTCTCAACAGCCACATTTCCTTACAGTATAACAAGACAGAAAGGGCTGCAGTGCAGTATACCCGTCCTTTAACAGGTATTGAGATTTCTCACCAGTTGGCGTCACAGATGACGCACGTTGGCAAATGTATACTACATATTTTCATTACAATGGAAACGTTAAGTTTTCAAAAACTTATTTCGAAAAGTAGCTGATATGATAAGGTAACTAGCTTCAAACTATCTTTGCATTAGCACTAAAGGAAAACAGCCTCAGAGTAGTTGTGAAATGTCAGAATTGTGTTTTTCTACCTGATGGGAATTTTACAGATAATATTTCCTTTATCATCCACCTACTCAGTGTTCAACTTATTCAATTCTTCGAGGTAAAATTTTGATCCTTAAGTTTGTAAAGTCATTATAAGAGCAGACTAATGTATTCCATGCAAATATAAAGAAAACATAAAAAGAGATAGTACACCGTCTTGAGACACACCGGTTTCAGAAAGCAATGAAGATTATACTTATTTTTGTTTACAATAAAAGGAATGCAGAATGAGTTTGAAAACACCTATCGATTCAGATGACTGAAAAAAGTGTTTCGGATGCCTAGTCACCATCTACGCAGTCTCGTAAATTCAGCTTTAGTAAGTTTATTCTAGTAAACGATAAGTGGCAGCCACAAAAGAATATGGCATTGGTTCATAAAGTCTCTGGGAGTTGGTGTAGACCATGTAGGGGAATAAATACTTACCAAAATGAATTCGTGCGACAACCCTTTGCTGAAGACTTAGTGATATTACTGAGATCCTATTCGAGTCGCTTAGATGCTTCCAAACATTGACTTCGCCCTAATCTTCATATTGAATTTTCCTTTATTGCTTTATCCCTTCTTCTCTTTCTATGTCTTTCTAGTACCCCTTGATTGTCATCATCCTTATTTCTCTATGCTCCATCCTAGTGCCTTCTACGTTGATGAACTGAATAGTTGAGCAGCAAGACTGGTTCTCATGTTGACACTAAGTGACAGAACTATCCTTTGTTACATTTTAGTTCTCAGTGGGTGATGTTTATTTTTGACAAGTAGTAGAATCCGTTTGAGCAGTCTATCAGAAAGCCTATAGTTGGAATATGAATGTTATCAAGCAAAACTCCAAAAAAGTGTGCATTAAAACCGTCATGAACACATAAGACTTATCAAAACTTCACAAGCTTGGAACTCCACCACGTCCTTTTTTAGAACTCAGACTTTCCGCATCATTCAACAGATTGAACCTCTACATCGTGAACTGGTGAGATTCAGAATAAACGATGTATTCAGCTTTATGGGACATGTCAAAAATGTGAATGCTGAAGACAAGATAGTGATGTAATTTGACATTATTTACCGAAGTTTCGATTGTCGAAATAGTGAACTACGTATGTGATTAACTAACAGAACCAGAAATAGACGTAGGAATCTCAACTGACAGAGTTAAGGAATTCGTACTAAAATGTTCGATCGATGTTCACCTTTTGTTGCGTAGTGAATTCTATTATTTTCAGTATTCTGAGGGAGTTGTGGAGATTTGGAAATATTTCAAGTTGTTATTCATCGTAGACTGACAACAGTTGGAGGGACAAAGGAAACCTGGGAGCACTCGACAGCTGTTTCATCCCAGTATAGGACTCCTCAGCATTGCGGCACCTACCACCTCGCACCACCGGGGATCGAACCCGGGACCTTCGGGTTCCGTGGCCAGCGCGTTACCCTTGAGCCACTGGGTCACAATCCAGTGCTCCATATTTCCAACTTCTGTTAGCTCACGATATAGTGCTCATTGGTGACTAGCTTCGAGAAGTATTCCCGAAGTCCTAATGGGAAGTCGTGACCGGTGGAGTCAAGCCTGATGGTCGTGAGGACAGTTAGTCAACGATGACATTGCGTGGCGGTTGCACTATATCGTGAGCTAACAGAAGTTGGAAATATGGAGCATTGGGGTGTGATCCATTGGCCCAATGGCAACGCGCTGGTCGCGGAACATGAACGTCGCGGGTTCGATCCCTGGTGGTGTGGGGTCGTGGGTGCGCACTGCTGAGGAGTCCCATACTAGGATGAAACAGCTGTCCAGTTCTCCCAGGTTTCCTTTGTCCTTCCAACTGTTGTCAGTCTACAATGAATAACAACTTGAAATATTTCCAGTGGTTACCTTTGCAATCATCCAATTATATCGCGATACGGCGCACAGATCAATGTAATACAGGTGAGTGACTAAGCAACTCGGTTAGAGAGGCTTTTTTCAGTTGTGCAAGTAAAATGGAACAAAAACAGGGTGGGGAAAATTTTAGTTCGACTACGAAAAGTACAATGGGATTGTGAGGCATCAAGGGTGAGAAAGAATAGATTACAAGTTTGGAAGGATGAATATTTGAACATCAGACAATATATGATAAATAAATAAAAATAATGATAATGATAAAGGTACTTTTGACAACAGTTGAAGTATGAGTGGTAACAAAGTGGATTATGTAACATATCGAATGCTTCATAGAATGTATATAACTCAGAAAGTAGTGTAAAACTCATGAAAATAGTTGATCAATAAAGTGTTATGTAATAAGACTATACAAGTTGTTAAAATACAACCAACATTCTTTTTTGTGACGTGATTTAGACGAGTAAGCGAAATGACACCGGTAACTATTCAAGCAAGAGTAAATTGGGAATAAATCCTGTGGAATGAAATTGTGTTCTACCTTCTCTTCATCTGTTATTAACAACTGCCTGTCTAACTCATCTTTTCGCTGATTGAAGAAGGGTTGAACAGATGTGCAAAGCTTCTGTAATGGTCCGCTCTTTGTGAGAAAGAAAACCCTTTTGCAGGACTTTTGTCTGTTCGAATGATATTTTATGACCTGAATATAGAACATGAGCCGCGATGGCAGAGCTTTTTTCAAGTTTTTCTTAATCATAGGAATTTTTGGTGGTTTCTTTCAACTTTGACCGTGTTAAGCTAGACGTGTTAGTACTTGACGTGATGTCTCTCTAATGTATGTGGCATCGCATTCACTACTGTCTACCTTATAAACAGTTTTGTTGTTCCAAATGAGGAATCGGATCTTTAATTTACGCAGGTGTGAGTGTAATGTACTCGTCACCCTAAAGAATACTCTGATGTTGTAACTATTAAGGATATATCTTATTTCCTCTGAAGTGGATGTTCGATAAGGAAGTACTATAGTACTTATCCAGTCTTTATGGCTTGACTTGTTCATATTTTTATTCGATAAACTTTTTTCGATCCTCTTTAATAGTTTGTCTGGATAGTTATTTTGTCTTAAGACTTCTCGAACAAGTTGCCTATCTGCTTGCTGAGATTCCAGTTTATTTGGTATCCTTTGCGATCTCGTCAACAGATTTTTGGCAAGGTTTAATTTAGTTTCCAATGGATGAGCCGAATCAAAGTCAAGGTACTTGTTAGAATGTGTATCTTTTTGATAGATATCAATGTCAAGTGTCCCATCAGTGTTTCGCATCGCCTTGCTGTCTAGGAAAGCTAACGTTCTGAATTCTGTTTTTAGTTCATATATGAATTTTATAGAATTGAAACGGCTGTTAAGATCTTCAAAAAGATTTTCTAGATCTCGTTTCTGGTTATGACAAAGGTATCATCAACATAACTCCACAATATTTTCGGTTTTTAATTATGTTGGCTAAATAGGTCCAATTCTACTTTGTACATGTATAGATTAGATACAATGGTTGAGACAGGTGAACTCATTGCTACCCTACTGATTTGACGATAAAATTTCCCTCGAGAAGTAAAAAAGGTTGAGGTCAGATATAATCTCAGTGCAACACAGGTTTCACTGGTGGAAATATTACACCTAAGTATAAAGAAGTATCTGACTCTAATAAAAATCTAACAACTTGTATGCTTTCATCAACCGGAATATTTGTATACAGAGGAACAACGCCAAAGCTAACCATTGTTTCATCATCTTCAATAGTTGTTTGCAATAATTTATGTTTGAAGTCTGATGAATTCTTAATGATACTTACCAAATTGTCTTGTAACGGTTTACGGATTTTTGTGAAGTACTTTGAAAGGTTATATGTTGGGGAATTCGTAAAATCCACAATTGGACGAATCGGAAAATTGGGTTTGTGAATTTTGGGAAGGCCATAAAAGCGTGAAGCAGCATAACTTTTTGGTGCTAAATTAAACCACAAGGTATTCCCTAATTTTGATTTCAGATTGCGTAGCAATTTGTTGATCTGTAGTTTTACCTTTTTAAGTGTAGGCTTACGTTTCTTGTTTTCTATCATTTCATAAGGTCCGCTGGATACGTCCTCTGTGACCTTTTGTTCATATTCTGATGTGTTCATGACAACAGCTATGTTCCCTTTGTCAGCTTTCATAATCCATATGTTCTTATCATTTTTTAAAGAGCGAAGAGCACGTTCCTCTTTTATCGATATGTTCATATCTGATCGTTTTTGATCAATCAGAACATGTGAGACTTTATATCTAACTTCTTCTGCGATATCCTACTGGATTAGTTTTAGTGCCGGTTCTAATGACGGTGCGACTTCGAGTACGGTCATTGGCGGGGGATTTAAATTAAAATTTATTCCTTTGGATAACAGTGAATTTTCCTCATTTGTGAGGACCCCATCGCATACATTATATACTACTCTGAGATTAGATGATTTGTTACGTTGCATAATATTTCGTTTGTTAGGGTTTGGACTTAGAGCATTGAATTTCCTTGTCTACCTTAATTTGGCTTTTTTCACATAATAATCCTGTCTTCCTTTCATGAAGCCAAATAATACAATCTTTTAGCTATCTTCAATAATGTCCGTCCAGGTATGAATTTCATCTGCGAAAAAGAACTGGGAATAGTATGTCATTGCTAGATGTCCTCCTCCTCAGGAAGACTGATGAATTTGTTGAGAGGAATATTGTTAGAAAGAACACATTTATTTTCATGGCTTCACATTAATTCAGTACAAAAGAAGCTTAGTAGAATATCTGAATTGCAGAATATGAAGTATACATGTTCAGATGACAGTGTGGACTAAGAATTGAAGTTAACAGTTAGAGTTAACAGTACAGAAAAGTAGTTATCCAGTGAACCTCATAAATAAATACATGGGTGAGGCCTAGACAGATGATAAAGAAGGATAGCCCCACTAAGGAAAACTTTCATATCTCAGAATAAGTTTCAACGATAATATTGTCTTTGATAACTTAACACGCTGATTGAGTAGGTCTGGTGGGAAAACATTCACTGTAGTTAAGACTTTTCTTTGACTCCTTTAAGAAACTAATGCTGACACAATGAACCAAGTGTAGGTTACCAACGATGGTCACTTCAATATTCATTTATGAGTTCGACTGCTTAAGTGGAGTTAGATAGATATTGAAGGGTCTGTATGCATGCGAGCTAGTGAACATCTACCAGCTTGGTTAGAGAAAAGAATAGTGGAGCACATAAATAGTGAAATCCTTTCACTTTTAGTAGACGGGGGATATCAAATCAAGGTAGATCAAGTCTTTTTCGTGATATATAGAGTTCCTTACATTCTTCCTAAAGAGCCAAGTTTACGCCTTTTATCTATCAGAGAAACCACAGGGATCAACACAGAAAAAGTTGATCAGTGTGTTCAAAAGTAATATGTGCATCCACTTTATCTAACTTGGCCCACAATATCATCAATACATCCTTCAAAAACTTTCATAACATAAATTTCACACTTTGACTCTTCACACCATACCATCCCATTCTTTCACTCTCTCATTTCACTGATAAACACTCAGTTTCTTATGTTATTAGTTTTATCCCCTTGTTTATTCCTACTACTACTGGTAGTCGCCTTAACATTTGTTATCTGTTACCTCATTAGTCAGACAAAATCAACGTGGTATCTCGCACACAGAAGTATCATTTCAAGTTACCACACTTCACAGTAGTATATCAACAACAGATTGGCAGAATAAGAGTTATATCAGAGTCGACGAAGTTGTATGAGAGAATAAGCAATTCGAAGATAACGGCTACCGCGAATGACCAAGCTGTAGATGTCAGGGAGTGAGCATATCTGTGCCACTGTGACTGATTTTCAGCCATGTCACCAAGAATCCTCAGCCATTGATTTCTTTCACTTGGAAGACACTAACCGGATAGTCTACATCACCCCTAATTACTCATATCAACAGTCACAGATGTCATGGACTGGCTGCAGGTCCTGACCTGGCCATCTTGAGCCTTATTTCAACCTTATACAATTTCCTATTAGATCTGTTTGACATACAGCACACAGTGGTACGGTATTCTTTACTAGGTGACGTTTCGAGCATAAGTTAGTGCTGACGATTATATCAATATGTGATATTTTCACTGATGCATTTGACAGCATCTTCAAGTAAAATTTGTCTTTTTGTCAAGCTGTGACTTGTATCTTCCTTCCACATATGTCCATATGTATTAGAAGCTTAGGAAGGATATGCAGAAACATATATACATAGGCGGTATGTCTTTCGGCAGTCTTTAGTGGAACTTATCATTTACGTCAAGGAGATTTGCCTTAAATTCACGATATTTATTAGCAATTCACTGCCACTAACAGATTTACTAATACTGATTCAATTCTATCAAGGATGATTAAACACTAAAACTAGTGGACTGTATTTCCAGTGATCAAGAAATAAGTGCTCAGAGCTGCTTGTTAATAAAGGAATATATAGTCACAATAGTCCACCCACTGAAATCTTAAATCCTTTGTAGTTAAGCATTCAAACCTAAAAACAATAAACTATGATAAATGAATCAGCAGCATACAAGTAGGGTTACCAACTGGTTTGAATACTAACAATGAGAACTTTAATGATATAAGGTGGACTTATTACGGCATTCATATCAAACTCAGTTAACTGACCACTGGTCAGTGAAAGGCAACATCATAGGAAACTCTCAGAAAAAGTGTTGAGAATATACATTCTTTACGGAAAATGTCAACAAAATCTATAGATGTCATATTTCAACAAATATTTGTTAATTGGAACATTGAACTATACCTTTGTATGATCATATGTACGAAAGTTGAGCATTTCATCTTGACGATTGAAAATATGCCGAAATCTACGATTAATCACAGAGAATAACTCCATTTCATCTGCTGATGAATGTATAGAACTAATGTTCTATACATCAAAGAAAAATAATAAATGATAGTTCAATATAATTTAAAGAACAAATTAAAGGAGAATACATTCAGTTAATTAACGAGGCTGTAAAACTAAAGAAATGTCTTCAGTAGAACTGTCTAGTAGTAATATACAAACATGGATTAGTGATAACTGTAGTTGCTGTTTCTCTTCCACCATGCTGGTAAGAAGGGTAACACCTCAAACTGTGACAATGAAATAATAAGGGCAGTGTAAGTCAGCAACCTCATGAAGGCTTGTGCATTAGATAGTTACTAACATATATATAAGAGCTTAGTGATACCATCTTGTATGCTAATATCTCTCTAGGCCTCTAACGGTGTTCGAACACGTGGGTCGTGAGCCAGAAGTTGGTCGTCTAAACTAATCAGCAGCTGCCTACGCTCGATACTGAAGATCAGATAGATGGCCAGAAAGAATAAGCAACAAGGAACTTTGACCTGGCAACGAACCAATCAACAGCTCATCGCCCAAAAAATATGTGGAAAAAAGTGGAGATGGATTGGAAAAGGGACACACTGAGAAGACTGAATGGGAACACCACGTGTCAGGCCAGGCTATCGAGTGGAAGTCAAATGGGGAACGACGAGTTAGGCGTCCGAGGCAAGGTTAACATGGAGGAGATCGTGTGAGGAAGAAATGAAAGCTCATAGGCAGGCAGTTGGTGAGCCAGGTTAAAAAGACTGCAGAGAAGAGAGTGAAATGATGAGGTGCTACTGAAGCCCTGTGTTCTACTGGGAACCTAAGGGCGAAATAATAACAGTAATAGTAATTAAAGTAAACTATTATTTTGCGTGACCTTCTGGGTTATATCATTAGTTCATAATCCCCGGATAGCACATGCTTACTTTACAGCACAACGTTTCAAGCCAAAATACTCTACCAATTTTGTACTGGAGTGTGTTCAACAAACCTGGTTATTTCATGAAAAGAAATACCTTAGTTAGCCATGATCTGATAGATTATTCTTCATGTAATTAGCGACAAGTAAAGTTGAAAATAATTGGCAGCAAGTTGTAACAAATAGTTCATTTTACATAATTCATTATTTCATCTACGTAAAAATAATATTTGTAGAAAACTTGGAAATTGTTATGCAAACTAATACAATGTGAAAAAGAAATGTGTATACGCGCCACTAGTGACTTTCAAGCTATTACATTGGTTTTATTTGTCCACTTGAACCAAATAACTTCAACTAGGAAGAATTTGTTATCTACATTGATGGTTCCATGTGACAAGCGTCATAAATAATCCCACAAGAAATGGTTTATCGTGAATGAATAAATTAATAATGCCTTAAAAGTGATAAGAGCAAAAACACCATTCATACAATGACTTTTGAAATAAACATGCACTAATGATAATAAGTGAAGGCCTGTGCTCACCAGTAACAGACGATTAGTTACCCAACAACCTGCATTACATTATTGGTAGATAGTTTGCTCGTTAATAAACACTTATTCGATCTTGGTTGCATCTCTTCAATAGACATGATAAATTATTCTTTCTGTAATGCTTCCCTAACTACTTAATCCAGTGTTCTTTTGATGGCAAATGAATTCTGCAGATACATATATGGGACAGCAGGAAAAATAAGGTTACATCCTGGTTCCTAGCCTCAGTGAGAACACCACAACTCACTGGGAGGTTCACCCGATTGACAAGTTCTATATGGGACAAAACTTGAGTTCTGGATGTCGTTGTTATTCATTTAATGTCAACTACTAAAATCAACGTGGATGATCAGGTAAATTGATGTGTTCACAATATCACATTATGTACATGCGTTAATTTATCATGACAGTTATCTGTCTGTATACATTAGAATAGAAAAAACATGAATTAGTATGCCACTAACGTCTGTTCTCATAACATTCTAATAAATCTCTTGATATTTCAGCAAGTATACTGATTATTGTCGCTTACTATCTGGTTTTGAAGCATGATAGTTTAGTACCAACCAGTTATTACACTGAAATTCGCCTTTTCCTGATAGTCTTAAACTCAACTAGAAACCGCAGTGTTTATTTCCCTGTTTATTATACTGATGATGAAAATAATTTTCGTTGTGAGAAAAAAAAATTTCCCGTAATCATCATTTTTACTTGCAATACACAGATAAGCAATTTTCAATGTTTGCAGCACATATTGAAAATATTTGTTACCCGATACAAATTTAAAACAGGCAACAAATGTAATTAAAGCTGGATTTATTTAATTCATAAATTTCAATTGGACTGATCAGCTTCTTATTCTACATAAATGATTTTATATGTATACTGTTGTACAATATAGGAATATATATACACACACAATGCAGCAAACTAAGACATTGACTGAGGCATAACAACAAGGAATGAACCATTTACTCATGTCAAACATACCTAAGATTTGATTGGGAGAAGGTAAGGAGTTGATAATGGACCTCGTAGCTCAGTTGGTAGAGCATCGACCGGAAAGGTGCACACTAAGAGAACATGAGTATTAGGTAAAAATAAATATTAGTCATAGTAGTAATAATATGAGTGAGTGATAATAAGGATAACAATAAGGATATGAATATTGAAAAGATTGAATAGTTACATAATCTTGAAAGAATGTAAATGAGCATGAATTAAGAAGCGTGGTAACAGTGTCTTGGTTGTATTGTGTTCTCTGAGCTGGGTTGTTTAATTGTGAAGCTTTTATCGTCTTGCTAGACGACATCATCAACACTAACTTCACTATGAAGTGAGCTGTCAATATCTCTCCGTGAGTGATTTAGTGGCTTGTTCTGACGATGTGGTCTGTGATTGGTTGTTTCCTTCGATTGTTGTGTCATTGTTTGTATAGACTTTCCTGTTGGCTGTTCCTCTGCTTCACCCCTGTTCACCTTTCTGTCGTTTATCATTTTTCTTATTGGTTGATAGATCAGGTCTGTCTATAAGTCTATTGATTGCTGACTGACCTGAATGCCAAGCTTCTAGAAATTCTTAGACATTCTTTGTGTTTTTCTCTATTCAAGATCCTTACCTTGTTGAAATTGAATTCATGTCCATAATTATCCACATAGACTGAAATGAGTGATGAAATGTCGTGACCTTTAATAGCCGATTGATGTTTATGTAGACGAAGGTAATGAGGGTGACCACTTTGTCCAATGTAGTGTTGACTACAGTCATCGCAGTTGATTTTGTAAATGATATTCTGTTTATCTTCTTTGCTTGTTGCATCCTTTGGTTGGTAGTGATTGGAGGGAAAAATTTATGAGCTACATCAATTCCAAGTGGTCTCAGTAATTTTGTTGTGATTTCTGATACATTCTTTATGTATGGTAGGACGATACGTTTGTTGATTTCTGTCGATGTCTTTGTAGTTGATGATGCACGAGATAGGCATCTTATAAAGTTTCGTGGGTAGCTGTCCTTCTTTATGGTGGACATCAAGTAATTTTCGTCGTTTCTCCTTGAAGTTGTTGTACTGCAGTGTGCTCTCGTTCTTTTGAATAGAGTCTGCACGCAACTGATTTTGTGTTGTTGGGTTGTTGCTATTGTAGTTGAAGATTTGGTCAGTGTGTGCTGGCTTCCTGTACACTTGGGTTTCCAGCTTTTCGGCATTTGTCCTACTGACTGAAACATCCAGGAATGATAGCTGATTGTTTGACTCTTTCTCCATTGTGAATTTGATGACATTGAAAACGTTGTGGATAGAACTGTTAGTGTTTTCTATATCATCTTTTTTAATGATGACAAAAGTGTCGTCTACATAACGAATCCAAATATTTGGTTTGATCACAGGTAGGATGATGGCTTCCAGTCTCTGCATCACTGTTTCGGCAATTAATCCGGATATCGGTGATCCCATTGGATTTCCTTCCATCTGTTTGTCTATCTTGCCATTGAATTGGAAGTATGTTGTCATACAAATATTGATGAGTTCCGTCAGACTTGAACATTTGAGTTTTGTGCATTCTGAAAGGTTTCTGTCTTCATTGATCAGGAGGGATATCGTTTCCTCGGCCAATTGAGGTTGGATGGGTGTGTATAGTGCTGTAATATCGAAGGATATTATTAACTCGTCTTTTTCTATGTTAATACTTTTGATCTTTTCTAAGAATTCCGTTGGTGACTTGATGGAATGTCCGCATGATTAGACGAGGTGTTTCAGTTTTTCGAAAGTTCTCTTGATATTGTTGTATGTTGCAGCTCCCGGAAGTGAGACTATTGGTGGTAGAGGGATATCGGGTTTAAGTAGTTTTGGTCTGCTCTAGACCTGATCTATCAACCAATAAGAAAAATGATAAACGACAGAAAGGTGAACAGGGGTGAAGCAGAGGAACAGCCAACAGGAAAGTCTATACAAACAATGACACAACAATCGAAGGAAACAACCAATCACAGACCACATCGTCAGAACAAGCCACTAAATCACTCACGGAGAGATATTGACAGCTCACTTCATAGTGAAGTTAGTGCTGATGATGTCGTCTAGCAAGACGATAAAAGCTTCACGATTAAACAATCCAGCTCAGAGAACACAATACAACCAAGACACTGTTACCACGCTTCTTAATTCATGCTCATTTACATTCTTTCAAAATTATGTAACTATTCAATCTTTTCAATATTCATATCCTTATTGTTATCCTTATTATCACTCACTCATATTATCACTACTATGATCAATATTTATTTTTACCTAATACTCATGTTCTCTTAGTGTGCACCTTTCCGGTCCGATGCTCTACCAACTGAGCTACGAGGTCCATTATCAACTGCTTACCTTCTCCCAATCACATCTTAGGTATGTTTGACATGAGTAAATGGTTCATTCCTTGTTGTCATGCCTCAGTCAATGTCTTAGTTTGCTGCATTATGTGTGTATATATATTCCTATATTGTACAACAGTAGACATATAAAATCCAGCTTTAATTACATTTGTTGCTTGTTTTAAACAGCACATATGTAATCACACTATACGAAGGGACAATTGCTTACCATTTGAATATTATATGCATGACAAAATATTACTAAATACGGTCGTAGTGATTCTAAATCATTAATATGTACTGGTAGACCAACTGTCTTCTCATTGCTAACAATTCCACCGCCAGTAGCAGCCAATAGTAAATTAGTTTTATTTGGTAATAATAGACCATTGACATTCATAACTGATGTTTGTGGAATATATTCAGCAAAACGAAAATGACATTGAGGTTGTTGAGAAGATTGCGTATTTTCAGTAACTGTCTGTCTCTTTTGAATATTCACTGTATTTTTATCACTTGCAAATTTAACTGATTTCATTTTCACATTTCTACCTTCATTTGGTGTATTGATCTCATTATTTCTATTTAATTGATTATTGTTAAAATTGTCTGTAACTTCACTGGTTGCTTCATTTTCATTCTGTTTTCTTTTATCTTTTTGTACAGAAAGAGGTAGATCATCTGTATCCGTATAAGAATAATTTGATACTATACGGCTAGCACTAAGCTTATTATCTTTGACTTTTTCATCCGCTTTTGAAGATTTCATAAGCATACCTTGATCGTATGGACTTTGATCATTGAACAAATTCACCTCCGTTACACTACCTGTTTTACTTTTCTATGTAAAAAATAAACGATAGACAAATAATATGCATTTAAGTTAACATGAATTTCATACCCAGTGGTTACAAGATGAAATGAGCAATGTAAGATGATGAGATGAATTGAAATTGAATGATACTAAAGAAAAGATTGAGGACATTTTATTTCCGAGAACCAATAAATGAATTGAAAAACCTGTTTAGAATTTTGATAAAAGTGATAGATTTTTAATTCTGGCACTCACATTGTTCAACACGCTAATGAGACAGCCTAAGATCGTTTTATACAGCTTAGTTCAATAGTTTGTCATGCTACTGTTGTCCACTTCTACCTGACACATGTTTGAATAAACGGTGACTTAATATGCATAACACATATTGTATCCTTCCTAGTTAATTAAAATTCACAATGTTATTTACATTCTTACCTTCTTTTACCATTACCTCCAATTCTCTTCATAATAGCTCACTAGATAGTGTAACTACATGCAAATGAGGCTACGTTTACAGAAACTGTCGAGAACATGTGTTGTCATCCACAAATCCTCCAATTTTGTCAACCATACTTCAGAAGTGTATAGTGAAGAAGGAGTTTGTTACTGTACAGTCCATTCATCGCCTTTGAAGCACTCGAATACTGCACTATTGTACATTGACTTGAAGCTACAAACAGCCTTCAGACTAATTTCACAAAATATGAAGAGGATTTTGATAGACAGATGGACAAAATCAACTTGAAACCTTGGACACAAGTTCATCAGTTCAAGTTGCCACACTTCATAGTAGTATAAAAAAAACAACTGGATAGAAAAGAGCGACATCAAAGTGAACGAAGTTATGTGTAAGAATAAGCAATTTGAAGATAATGGCTACTGTGAAGCTTTGGATGTCAGCACGTGAATAAATCCACAGCCCTGTGACCGATGTGTCATGTCACTAATAGTCCCCAACCACTGATTCCTATCACCTCAAAGACCCCAACCAAGTAGTCCTTATCTCACCACATGTCTCAGATCAGTAGTATCAATTAAAATATATTAGTCTAAGCTTGACATCAGTAGTTGCTGAACAAGTTTCTTAAGAAATTATCACCTTTTTAAATGATGAAAAGTACCTCAGAGCTGTATGCTAAAGTTAATTGCAAAGTTAGAGTAAAAAATAGTACTTCATACAACTTAACACCTTCTTATTGGTAGAATAACTCTTAATTCGTTTCAGTGAACATGTTAATAACAGAAATCCAGCATAATAATCTTTCCAAATTTCTATCCTAACCTTATCCTTACAATCGACAGTCTTGGGTTCAACGTGATTAAACTAAAGGTTATATATTTGGGTATACACGCCATTTGGCACATCATGTTACCTTGCGTTGTTCATATGCGATCCTTTAGTCACTTAACCAAAAAGTCCCGGTATCTTCTATTGGTTCATCAAACATATTATTCTCACCTGGCTATGCTATTGCTTTCTTTCCTGGTCTCTCATCCATGGGTATTCTGTAAGTATAAAGAATTATTGATTTATACCTGCATCTACCAAACCTACATATGAACGATTTCCAAAGTTGGTTGAACATTGGTTATGAAACACTTCACATTCTTTTCATCTAATATTATTGTAGCAGGGAACCCGATAGTTCGATTTCTAGAGGGATCCACATGTAGTATTAGATGGTCGGAGTTAGTCGGTAAGAAACCCTGAAAGTAGGTTTTCTGCTTCTCACTATATATCGAGGCGTATCTGTAACCATAATGCGAGTGAACTGCCTGAGTGAATGAAACCCGTGTTACTAATTGGTGAAGTCAGAGACCTATCTAATTAGCTCCTTATGTCGTAACTTCTATCTCGAAAGACTGGATTGTGCACACAAGTGTCACATCAGTTATTTCTTACTGACCACATTGCAAAAGCTTTATGCATACACTTCGATCAGTGCAGCTAAATGAGCACTAAATACTAAATAGACACATGGGTTACCCAATGCTGACCAAGCCATGTAGAAACCGGTTTATCAATAGGCTTTTATTAATATCACCGTTAAACTATGACGAATTGGAACAACTGCATGCTACATAATTCCGCAAAAATTACAATCAACATGTTGTAGCATAGCCAAAAGAAAACAATATACATAATCTGAGGTAAGACAACATCATTTCCTGGAATTAGGCTATACTTAAGAAAATTGAATAACTGAATAAATCTATAATCAGGTTTCAAATCATTTCAAGAAAACTGTATGGGGAAATGGTAGGACTAAGATACACAGGAATTTTTCGAAGAACAAAGTGAACATTTGGAAGGTGTACAGAAATAGGTGAAGTTTATGGAAGCCTTACCTTGTGGTAGATATTTGTTGAAGTTATAATAATTTATAGAACTACATCTTATTCTAGGCTGTTTTCAAGAAAAATGCAACCATTAAAACAACCCGAATATATATTCAGTCCCAATCCAGTTACATTGGCCCATATTGTGACAGTTACTTAAAGAACACAGATAAGAAAAAGTAAAATCTCCCTGATCTTGGTGAATAGCAGAGGAATTCAAGACGTGAGTTTCGTCTTATTTGGGACTCGCTAGGTGAACGCACCCGTACCCCAGTGGGTACTGTTGTTCCCGCTTGGGCTCAAACCTAATACCCGTTTCTTCAAACACCAGATCGTTGTCCACTGAACTACTGGGGCAAGATATCCACCCCTTGTGCAATGGGTATCAGTTGTTGTTGGTATGACTCCTCTCCTACTCATTAAGACCAATATAAAATCATGAATATTCAGCAGTGCTGAGGCATCGAAATAAGAGTCCGTCTGCCAACGGAGGTTAAGCAGTTCGACCCTGTATAGCAACGAGAAATTACTAGTATCATATGAACTAAGATCTTTATTGTATTTATTCTTTGTGAATAACTGAAAAATGAACTAATTTCTACTCATTTTATCATCGAATAAAAATTACTAACGGAAACCTCAGGACAATTAATGGTATTATAGTGGTTAGTTAATAAATAGAACATCATTTTTCAGTATTGACTAATATACTGATGTGTAATTTGTTTATTCTTGATAAATGTTTGTGTTTTCTATACTAGAATGACAGTTTTCACATTTTTGAATCTAATTCAAAAAAAATGTGAGGAATAAGCTCTCTAAATAACTTTCATCTTCGTTACTAGCAGCGAAATCCAGAAAACACTTGCCTCCCCATTCAGCACTCTTCACCTGAATATACCTGCCTCCTAGTGAGTGATGTTGTTTCCACTGAGACTGTGAAACTAGTACGCACTGCTTCAAACGTCAAAACGTTATCCACTAGGCCAATAAGACATGAGATCCATCTTTGGTGGAAAAAGTTTATTGATAATTACAATTTCTTGCCGCTACTCAGGGTTAAATTGCTCAACTTCTGTTGGCAGATGGGCTCCTTTGCGGTAGCCTCGAAGCTGCAGAATATTCATTATGTTGTATTCATGTTAGTGACCAGCACTGGAAACCAACAGATGAGTATCAAATAGGACGAAGCGCATGTCCTGAATTTTATTGCGAGTCACCAAGATGAATACAACGTCATGAATACCTTACACTATCGAGACATTTGCATAGGAGCTCGTCTGGTAACAAAGGTCAAGCAATTTGACTCCGTAAAATAATTTATGAAGAATACCTTAAACTCTTCAAAGTATTGATAAAAAGAGAATGGAAATTAAAGCAGACATTTCATGAAGTAGATAGTGTATTTGCGAAAGGTCAATAGTATCAAGTAAATTGGCGCCCACCGGTAGAATTAGTAAGATTTCAATGTATACGGCCAATCAGCTGTCGCGTAAAACATAGAAGGAACACAGGAATTAATGGATGAAATTTTTTATTTATCGCTTTACCGTTCAAATGTGAATTATACAGCGATATATCAAAGTGGCTAGATATTGAGTAATTAATTAAAAAACAGAAACTTTGTTAAAACGGATGGGAAGAAAGTCTACAATAAAATTAATACCATTAAATCATAACAAGGAAATATAAAAGGTAGTAGAAAAGATTGTTGTTCACCTTCTTGGCACTATAAATATCCTTTATGGCGTCGGTGGGTGCATTCAGTTTTGTATATTTAATTTTAACGCGTAAGAATCTATCTTTATACAATCGCTGTTTTACGTCTCATTTGTACTGATTAACAACTTCATACTCAGAGTTTATATTTCAGCTATTTATAACCAGATAAGTAAGAGCTTTTTTTAATCAGTTAACTTTTGACAACAGACTAATATATGCACTTCTCTTCTGAGTGTTTTTATTATCGAATAGGTGTTTTCTGCTGCTTTTTTTTGTGATTAATATTTACATATGTGTAAAACACTGATAAGTTTGATACTAGTCTACACCGATTTATGTAAGAGTGGTCATGCATTAATCAGTAGTAATATAACCAGTCTTTAACAACCTTTTAAATATAAGAGAATATCAAATTGAATTCACTACTTTGTGCACAGGTCTATAGTCTGAAGTAATAGACTATGAAAAGTTGAATAATTTATATTCTTTATGGACTACTTTGTTTAGCTTTTTTGATTTCATAATTTTTAAGCATAAAATATACGTTAGATTTTCTATCAACTTGGGTACTTTTTGTTTTCAAAGATAATAATGATAATATCAAGTGTAAAAGAATTTTAGAAAAGATGATCTTGAAATCTTATGACAGCATAATTGTATTACCTGTTTTGTCACCCAATCTTTCTAACATTTTGCTGTAAAGACAGTAGTGTTAGGTGAATTCTATGAAAATATAAATGTTTTATTTTACCACGTAGTGCTAAACTAAAATCTACTTCATCAACACCAAAGACATTAGTTAGATAATCAGATAGATTTCTGAATCATGAGTTTTTTTTTTGACATAGTGTTAGTGGTTCTCATTTTAGACAACCTTTCTAAACATCCACAGGTTAGATGACTAAAAGAAATTAGTCTTTTGTTCCTCAGGATATTGCATTGAACCTTCAAATGATTTCATA